TGCGCCATCCAGCGACACGGTCACTGCATTCAGACTGATTCTAGGCAATTCTAGGTGTTTAGGCGCTGCTGCTGCTTGCGTACGTTGCTCTATTTCGAACTTTTCAGAGCCCGCAGCCGCGATTCTTGCATCGGATTTTTGCAGATGGGCCAGCTAAAGTCACGGGAGTGTGTTTGACTGCATGATGGCGCTAAGTCTCCAGCCCGTGGACTCCAGGAAACGGCAAGTGAGGATGTTCTCATCGTAGCCTGGTCGGGAAGCACAGTATCAGTTTTGTTCCAGGTCTGGTAACATCCGCTTCTTCAGGCCTGCAGGGCTCGGAGACAATGTCGCCAGGAGGGTCGTTCGGCTGTTGCTGGCGAGGCTGTCGGATAGCCTCAAGGACAAGCAGGTTGATGAGTTGCACCTTTTTTGCCTTGCCTGGAGAGGCAGGGTGAGGGCAAGCAAAGACAAGTGCCCTCTCAGGCTGCCGCAGCATCGTCAACTTGGAGTTCCTCTCCGTAATGAAAGGGCGTGTAATGACCAACCTCCCCCTACTGCTCTCTTCCCCCGCTTGTTCCCCGCCCCTCTGCCTAAAGGGAACATGGTCGCGATTGCCATCGCAGAGTGCATGAATGCAACTCGCCAGGTCGAAGAGACTGCGGTTGATATGCCTGAAGCTTGGCCCGAAGCGTCAACAAAAAACTCTTCGGGGGCTTAAGGCTTAAGCATATGTGCGCATGGTGGGGCCACAGCTACTGCAGGAAGCTACTGCAGAGCTACAGTTGAGCTGCCTGAGCTCCCGGAAGCGGTCGCCCTTGCACTCCGAGGTCTGCTCGTTTTCACGCCCGGCCAGATCAACGACCTTCGTGGGTCCGGTCTCGTCTGTGGCTTTGTTTCAGCTTATCTGTTCTCTGACAATCTACAAGACTACACAAGACACGGCGAGCCTGCATGGTGGACATGTGATCTCCATTCGAGGCATGTAGGACTTCAACCTTCCAAGCCATCACGATGCCAAGTTGAACCAGTTGCTGGCGGTGACATCAGTGCATGTTCAGCCGCAGCTCCTTGAAGATGAAGATGGTATGCGAGCGACTTGAACGGTCGTTCATCGTCGTCCTGAAATGTCATCGACGGAATCTACCAGGCATTCGCAGTCAAGCATAGATTCCGGGAGAACTGTTGCGAGGAATCTATTCCAGCGGAGATGTCCTTTCCACCTTCTTCGCCTTCTCTCCTGAAGACAGAATGTGGTGAGCCTGGGCCTGTTCTGTACCTTTTTTGGTGCTTCGGACATCACTCCGGCCCAAGCTTTGCTCAATCTGTCGTGCCCACCCAGCCCAACACACATAAACATCAGGAAAGAACAACAAGGAAGCCTCATAGAGTGGGTAGCAGCTCTCTACAAGGCAAGGCCATGGGAAGATAGACATCTGCAGACATCATCTGCATGACATTGTCGTTGTCAGCACCCCACCTTTTGCCACCAGGCGAGCAACGTCCCGAAGGTGTTCCACAGGCAGCTCCTCCCAGGCTCAGAGTGATAGATGTCTCGAATGGCAGGCAGGATAGTATCATACCGATCGCTTTTCGACAATCAAGTCCTGTAGGTTTTCCACGTAGACCCCAACGGCGGGATGATTCCGTATTTCCAGTCGCGAGCCTGCGGCAAGAGTGTGGCAAGTAACACGAATCTGTCGAAGACAACGCGCTGCCGGCTAACTCAAGGTCTGCAAAGGATGGTGTCATGTGTCAAAGTCCTGCTGCACCTGCTGCCGTCCCACTTGTTGGCGGCCCCTTCGACAGCCGGCGTACGCTGCCTTTCGACTTGGGGGAATTTCAGGCAAGGCTCAGGCAAGGAAAAAGAGCCGACGAGGTTGTCTGACAAAGCATGTAAAGACCTATCCAAGATCACTCCTCCCTTTAGGTCCGTTTGAACTCTTTTGAACTTCTGAGTCCCATTAGCCAACCAAAGTCTACGAACTGGGGTCTTTTAAGAGGACTGCTCCGGGAAAAAGGCGCGCGCTGAACAAAAAGGGCGACCCGCGTAAGGACCGGGCTGTCGGTTTCCACCCTAGATGGACTCGGCACTGCATGCTCCAGCAGATCTCGCAAGCGGTCGTTGTAAACCTGCTGAAGCCATACATGAAAAGAGTCCTCTTCTTTCTTTCATATTATCATTTATCATTCTTTGACCTCTTTGTAAGTACACGAAAAGAGTAGCAGGAAGATTAGTACGCCATGAAATTCTTGCTCAAAGATCAGTCACAAATGACCAAATATAATTGTGATGTGTCAAAAAAATATGTCCAAACCCCTTTCTGTTTTAATCCTTTTACTTCTCCTCTTATTGTCAAGGTCTATCGGTCTGACGAGGTTCACCAGGCCAGCTCACACGTGCTGCCAGCCTCGATGTAGCTAATGCGTACTCGCCAAGACGCACCTCACAATGAAAGCATCAGCACCAACCGTTTGGGGCCCGGGGTGCAGGTTCAAAAGATCCAGTGTTCAAACCCCCAGAAGCCTGGCCTTCCGCTCGGCATTGCGCCAGGCGTTGAAACAATCCTGTGGGAGGCTCAGTCTCGTGCAGTTGAATTCTGCTTGTAGCAAACCCCCGCTACCACACTGCGAGGTGCACCGGGAACGTCCCTCATCGTCCCTCATGCCTTCAGAGATCCGTGGCAGGAGTCCCCGCTGCTCTTGGCTTTGCCAGTCGCCATGCACGGTGTGTGTCTTCCTAAGCCACGGAATGGGCGTTCGCTCGTTGTTTAGGGAATGCGGGCAGAAAAAGACGTGTCGGTTGGTGAGTTCTTCGGCTGCCAAAATTACAGGACACTACACCGCATCCCCCCCCCCCCTCCACGCGCAATCTCTCTCTGAGGCATCTGCCCTGTCCCGGTTTGCCCATAGGCAACCAAGCAACAGTTGAAACCTCAGCCAAGCAGCCACAGAATCTGTCTCACTCTGCGGTCTGCGCTCGGAAATGCCACTTCGATGCCTATCAATACACAACTATGCTTCGCTTCACGTACCATCCATGGCCGTGGCCAGTGGTTCCGTGCATGACCATTTCCGCTCCGACGCTGTTGTAGATAGTACCTGACACTGATTGACTGGCTGACTGAGGTGGAAGAACCACGGGCTTTTTGGCCTTTCTCAAAGTGCCACTGTACAGCACAAGCAAAACAACCTCGGAAAATCGGACCTGTCGATACAAAATTCGTAAGCGACGCGAGATACCCCGGGAGCCTAAAAGAAGCAAAGCAGGCTGCAGCGAGGAAATACCCCAACATGTGCAGCTCACGCTGATCGGCGTAGTTCTCCGACTTGGGCCGGCCTCGCCATCCCCAAACAGGGCTCTCTATAGAGATTCCAATCAGTGGTTTTGGTGTGAACCAAGGCTGCGGCTGGAATCAAAGGCAAAGGTACATTCGAACTCGCGTCCGGGCTGCTGTGGCTTCTGCAGGCATGTTCAACATAGCCAGCCACTGCAAATGAACGCATATGCCACAGGTCGCAAATCTTGTGATCTGCCCGCCTCCGGATCGGAGAGGACGACGTGGCCGTTTGGCTTCATCTGGCAAGGAGATATCACAAGTGCCACTGGCGAAAAACCAACTCCAGTTCAAACCCACTTGGGTGCGAAGAAACTACAGCCAGCCCTGGCTTCTGGAAAAGGGCGGAGGCCTCTACGCAGCTTGCCGGGGCTGCACCCGACTGGCAGATCAAGAAAGCATGAATCAGAATCAAGCATACACCGCTTATAACATGTGTGCCTTGCTCACTTCATTGTTCAGGAAGGGCCGCAAGCGTACTGCGGTTTGCACCTGGGCGAGAAGTAGAACTACACCTAGACAAGCACTACCCTGGAACCCCTACACTACACCCTAGTAAACTTGTAAACAAGTTTCATCCTAGTGCTCTTCACCAAAGAATCTCGGTGACGGGCAAACTCGTTGGAAGCGCGTGGGCTCCTCTCACTGTGCCTCCCTGATTTCGTAGGAGATACAGACCTGACACAATGCGGTGGCGACAACAAGGACAGGACTCCATGAGAGTATCGGCTACAGCGTGGAGTGGGTTGGGTTGGGTTCAGGTGAGGGCAGCAACAGGGGAGATTTCAGGTAGATGAAGTGATGAAGAAGTTGGCATGCACTTGGCTTACATAGCATTGACTTTCGACCTCACGCTGGCGTAGCATTGGCTTTAGGTTCTTGGAGAAGATTGACACCAGGTACTGTTGCTACCCGATCTAGTAAGGTAGCCCACTATTATGCGAAGTTCCCAGAATTTCTCCGCGAGCCCTATTGCTGGGGTTACCCGGAGTCATGCGAAGTTTCGAGGCAGGTGACCCTGTCAAAACAACCAGAAGGCCTTGAAGCTTCGGTTAAATTCCCATCACGCGACTTACTGAAACATTGGGAAAGATGATGAAAAAAAACATGTATTTCCCATGTTCAAGTAGAACCCTCCTCTGTGCTCGTTAAGAGGTGGCACCTTCGTCTCGGGGAGTCGCCGCGGCTTTGGGCGCCCTTCAGCGGAGACGATGCGATTCTAAGGCAATCTTGGGTTTTAGGGCTTTCATGTGCCACGCTCCTGCACTGCTCCACGAGGAGTGAGGGTTGAGGGCTCAGTGCACAGCCATCTCTCACAGCACAAAGACCACGCTTGTCAAAACCGGGAATGGCCTGTGGGAAGAAAGACGACATGGCGATAGGCCATGGAAACCCTGCACCTCGGCGGCAATCGCCCATCCGGAACAATTTTGCGGCCCAGGTTTCACGAAAGCTTTCAACATGGCGAAACACCCGGTACTTGGCAGAAGCTGTGTAGGGCCTAAGTGTAGGAGCTGGGGCCGCGACATCCCTCAAGGAAGGCATGGCTTGATGACGTTACTTCGTGAGCCAAAACGAAGCCACAACAACAGGCTCATTAGCAGCGTGCGGCACGTCACAGAACTTGCATGCACCCGCAATCGTCCTAACAACCAGCACAGAAACAGTGTCCCACATGGAAGCCTCAAAGATGCCTTCGCCAGCTTTCGGGGTCTTCCTGCCGAGTTCTTCATGGCTGCCGAGCTTCTTGGCGCGAGATGTGAGACTTTGCACCAAGGTGTTTCTTGTCCCGAGATTTAGACGCGGCCTGGGCAGAGGCTTGAAGTACCAGACGACCAGGTGCCCATCCTGTGCTTCTCTCTTTCGAAGATGCTCACACTCCTTCTTTTCCTTGTCTCACCCTATACGAGCTACGCCAATGGCAGCTAGGTATGTTCTGCCTGAATCTCTTCGCCTTCTCAGCCCTAGTTTCCCTGCACTTCCTCGGAGGAGGTGGCGACGAGCCAATGCGGCCCGCTCTTGAATGACTGGCCACGACAGCAACAAAGGCAGCACCTTGCGCAAAGCGAGTGTCACACACAGGCACTAGTTGAGACTACTCCCCGGCAATCCCTTGTCACAGAAAAGCTCGAGGCATCTGCTGCAGGAGCCCTCTCCGCTTCGGCTTCCTCAAGAAGACGGAGTCGTATGGAATCGTGAGAGAACGGAGCGGGGGTGCCATGGGGAGAGGTTGCTTATCTTATCTTACTTTATGCCGAAGACTGCGAAGCCAGCGCCCGCTGCAGGAAAATTAGCACGCCCCCAGGAGCCCTACTCAAGGCGATCTGGAAGTTGGCTATTTGATTGGCAGTATCGATCGCTCTCCAAGGGAGGAAAAAGAGCGAATGCTGAAGCTTGCGGGTCTCCACACGCGGCATGCGGACTGTCCCCTAGGCCCTCAGGAAACAGCGACCCCAAATAGAGTTTTCTTCTAGCATCTTGCGGATGGACAGACTTCTGAGCATCAGGCTTCATAGAAGGCACCGCCTGCGTGACTATTTTGTTCAGGTCAGCATCACAAGCAGACAGCATAAAATGTAATGGCACTGGCGGGTAGACTTCGGAACTGCCAGATGCACACGACCCGCTACCCCGATCTCCCACTCTCAGATGCCTACTCGAATGCTTCGTTCACAGGATATTTGCAAGTGCTTGTATCAGTGCGAGCTCTTGAGTTATGCTGCCCTGCGCTGATTGAGTATCGTGGCAGGATTACCTCTCAAGGCTGCTCGCCGAGTTCATGCCCTGTCTGCTACTGGTAGACAATGCAGACGGAATGATGGGATGCTGTAGCACTGTTGCCCCAAGAACAGTTGCTCGTTAGTATACGCAAGCCATTGCCCGTTTCCAGAGCGTGGCTGATCCCGTTCCTGATCTATTGTGTCCTCCTGTGTCGAATTTTGGGATCCTGCTTGATTTCCTGTCCCTCCTGTGCTCCCGCTCCTGCGGGAGAGGCGCGTAGCTACAAGAGTGTTCTGCTAACAATTGGGCGCCTTCCCCAAAGCATGCACCCTTTCAAAAGCCGTCCCATCCTGCCGATGGGGCCCCTCTTCGCCTTCAGTGGGACAGGCCCGGCAGCCTCGCTGGGTGCTGTGGAGACGGCCTGGCGGCTCTCCACGTCAAATGCAAAGAACACATATCCAAACGGCCCACAGGTCGGATATCCCATAAGGGAGAACGCGGGAAATTCTGCGGCGCCTGCGTGGACTTGGACTTGGGACTCAGGTCGGCTTCAGCCTCGCTCATCTTTCGTTTGCAAGATCCTAGAAAGCCCGACAAAAAAGCTGGCTGGCCTGGGAGCCTTCCGACCTTGTGACAAACAAACACTTACCAACAAAAACAAATGTACTCGCCACTCAAACGAGAGGCTGGAAGACATTTCGAGGCTCGCGCTCGCCTTTCCAGAGTAGGTCCTGCAAGCACTGTTCTACCGGGCACTGCAGGTTCGTGCGCGTGCGCTGTTGAGCTTCTGAACGCACATGCGGATAGGAAGCGCAGCTGATCGGATGAGCATGGAAGCCTCCAAGGCTTCGGGGATGCGGCTGCTTCTTAACAGCAGCGCCTCAGGCTGCTCGTCTCCGAAGAAAAAGGCGATCTGAAGAAGTTCAGAGTGCAGTGGATGCAGAGATCGTTGAGCCTGGGAGATGGCATCCGAATGGGCTTGCAAGACGTGCACCGGCTCGGTGATCTGCGTCCCGGGCCTCAGCCAGGGAGACAAAGAGACAGGGATACATATAAGCTCTGCTTCCACATTTCTACTCAGACATTGCAACGCGTACAACGTGCCAAGCGAAGCTTTGAGATGGCCCTTCCCTAAAAACCCAAGTGCTCAGAGCACTGCGAAACATCCCAGCAGCACACTGCGCCCTTCCCATCGGCGCTGAGGAGGTAGGGTGAACCTCAAGCCATGCACACGGATTGGCACTTGCATGGACAGATATACAAGCATGCTAGAATCGGCCTTCCAGCTCTGCAAGGGCCGTCACCTCGGAACAGAGACACGCAACTCGACTCCTTACCTCAGTCGGCTTCCCCTGCGAGAATTTCTCCAGAGCCCGGTGTCGCAGCAAAGCTTCAAGGGCACGGAGCGTATATCTGCCAACTTCGGTTGCAATGGCCAGTGTAAAGGGAAGGGCAGGGGCTCAAAAGCACAAACACTCAAGGATTTACTGTACGAACTGTGGCAGGCCTCATATGCTGACACGAGATGACATTGAGCCCACCCACGGTAGTCACTAGGGAGACATGGAGCCCTCCACAGGACCAGAGTCGGCCCAGCCAAAAACTCAATCTGAATTATCTGGCCAAGACACCTCTTCCAAGGGTTGGGGGTTTGGGGGCTTTCAAGGTGAACATCTCCACCGCTACAAACTTCCTCGCTCATGCGTGAGACAATCTCACTTTGTACAAATTCATGCACTTCCTGACATATGTGGTGTCTTGGGCCATGGCATTAATTACATGCGAGCCCCGTCCTTCCTTTCCGTTACTCAGCTCTCCTCGCCCGGCGAAGGCTGCAGGATGCTTTCGGAAGGATCCACGTGGGCGTCATCCTTGATTGGGGTGGTCAGGGCCTCCCTGCCGACCTCGTGCAGGGGTCTCTTCACAGGGCGTCCGCACTTGCAGTTTCTAGCACCTCTGCCTCCCTGAGTTCTCACGTGTTACAATAAATAAATATATATATATATATATGTACATAGCTGTTGCCTCGGTGCACATTTCTTGCTGTTCACAAGAGCTCCAACCATTGGTGGCAAGGCGCGTGCGTCCGGCGGGCCTCGGAAGTTCGCGAAGCCCTCGGAGTCCGCGGACCTTGCGGCTGAGTGTTTCTCCTACGCTTTATCCGCTAATCCTGCCACTCACCCGAAGTCGACCCTAAGCTCTCAGGCGCCCGAAGAGTCCGAGCACCGGGCCCAGGGCAAGGCTTTCCTGAACCAGAATACGAAGCTCTCGGCTATCCAGCTGCAGCTCGCGCACCTCGCTTCTGAAGGTCGTGTCCCCAACCAACCACAGGGAAGTTAGCAAATGGCGTGCCTTAGCCTGGAGTTCAGTGACCATCGCCTGCTCAGAGAACGTTCTTGACTCTGTGTTTTTGCAAATTTTCCCAAAGTAGGGGCACCCCTGATACACCTAAATGGCTTCCACAATTCTGAACATCCCAACTCTTGTTGGGTTCTTTGGTCCGGCTTTAGGGCCAGTGGTGACGGATCGCGCGCAGGTTTCTGGGTGACTTCGCCACTGAAGTCCGCCATCCACACGTGGAGAGCACATTGTCGACGTTGGAGAACAAAAGGCCCAGGACTCCGAGAGCATGCAAAAGTCCAGGATGCAAATGGCTCGGCACAAGGAGAGTTGGCAATCGGAAAACTCTCGCGGATCGTCAGGTTGGCTCATGACTTGAGTGGAGGTGCCTTGCTGCACATCCATATGTCTGCTTTGCGGGGTTGGACCGCCCGGTCCCAGCTCTGACCAGTGCAGTGCCTGCGGCTCGTTCTCTGCGCTCACCTGTTGGCCTGAGGGCCTGAGGGTGGCCCACCAGACTCGTGGTGTCACGCGCCCATCTCCGCAGTTACACTGCTCAGGCTTCTGCCTGAGGCTTCGTTGGAGGCCAGACTTGGAACTGGCACATCCTGGTCCACACAAGGCAGAAGCAAGGCATTTGCCCTCTCTGGCATGGCCAAAAAGCATCCTCACATGTACCGAATCATGCCCTTGGGCTGCCTGCTGCTGTCCACACGCCTAAAATAGGTATTCTCGCGCCCCCCCCCCCCACCCTCCCGCTGCTACATGACCCTTGTCGCGGCCTCTCGTTTCATACCCTGTGTCGTGGACTGCAGTGGCATGGCTGAACGGGCTTGTCACAAACCGGCTTGAACCCCTTTGGCAAAAGGCCCCCCCCCTCGTGTTACGAGTCTATACAAGTCCTGTGTTTTGGCCCCCAGTCCAGGCCTGTTCGCGGGTGTTCTCTGCCATCTTCACCATGCGCTGACAGTAGTCCAGCAGCTTTTCGATGTCCTCGCGGCAAGACTGCCTGAAGGAAGCTCGGGTGAGATGTCACGGTACGAGTAAGAGCTGCTCCGGGGGCCCCGCATGGATGAAGCTGCTCAAACTAAGGGCGTGGCATGTCCTCATCTCTGGAGTTGATGTTGAGCATTTGCCGCTCGAACATCCCTGCCAGAGATGGCACGGCCAACAGCACACACAGGAATCTACCTGCAGTGTTTGGCATTACAGGCTCGAATAGGTCTGTTGCAGACTGAGCGGCAAGTGAGCCACCGCATGCGGTCCTCGATTGGAAAGAGGGTCGGCACTGAAGTTCTCAGAAGCTTCTGAGCCGTGGGCTTCAGTTGACGGCTCGGCTGAGCGCATGTCACCTTCGTAGCCGGCACCGCCGACACCTGAGCACCACAGGCGCTATCAAATAGCGCATGCAATCGCGCACATAGCGCGCGCAATGTATGTCCCAAGTGGCCAATCGTCTGACATCGGCAACGTCGGCAACGACAAGTGCACTCCTGAAAATCGAGTACAGGACAATGTTATGGACTTCGTCGACTGCTTTCACTTTACACTAGAACTAGAAAAAGATTGACAACAGCTTCAGGCAAGCAGAAACTTCTGCTAACAACCAAAGTCGGATGGAGCTTCCTGTGAAGATCGCTCCCAGCACTCTCTTGCAACCGAAGCCAAAGATTGGCCCATATTGCCTCTGAAGACTCACGCACGCACACTGCCAGCCGACCGGATCATGCCTTCAAACCCGATTGTGTCTGACAGGGGGGCAAGTGTTGTGGGGACGCAAATGAGGCTCTGGCAGCAGGTGGGAAGTGGCGCGCCGCGCAGAGGAAAGGCGATCTTTCACGCGCTGTGTCTTCCTAGAAGCAGACACCTGTAGATGCTGAGGCTTGTTTTGCTACCTTCGATGGACCCCAACTAGCTTTCGAACATGGGTGGGGGTTTCGGAAATGGCGTAGCTTCGAGCCAGAAGGCCACCCAGAACTTCTGTGCAGCTTGACCAAGCAGTGCCCTGTTGCTTCAGGCATCTGAGCACTGGGCATTGAAGGAAGGATGCCTAGAAAAACAGGGCACCAGTACAGTTGAGGAGGCCTGAATCACCAGGCATCCTACAAGCAGTGTCACTGCCCCTGACATCTGAGCAATGGGCAAGACCAGCCCAGGCTGCACTGCCTGGCAACAGTCGTTTGAAAACGGGGTTGGTGGGTGCACCCCTGGTCTCCGATTGATTGCCACACTCTTGGAGCCCTTGGCCATCAGTGCTGCATGCTACAGCAGTAAAGAACCGCCAAGGAAGATCGAGGACAGTCCGACTTTTTAGGCCTTCTACAGACTGGCAGATTGGAAGGGATCCCGCGGAAAAAAACCCGGCCTGCGGAGGCTCTAAGGCCTGGCAACGACGGTGCTTGAGATTCGTGTACACGGGCTCGCACTAAGCGTCTCTTCCGATAGCACAGACAAGTACAAATCTAGGCGAAGCACAACTTGCAAGGTTCAGCAGGCCGAGTGCTTACGGCACTCCGAGGAACCAATACCTTCTCCCCTTACATACACGAAGGTCTAACCGTAACCATACAACCACCGGCCGCGCTCGAGACCCTGAAGCTCCTGACGGCGCGAGTTCGCGCGTCGCATCGCTTTGCTGAAGCTCCTGAAGACGCGAGCGGCGGAGCTTCACCGAAGCTCCTGAAGCTTGTGAAGACTCGAGTTTCGGAGCATTGCGTTTCAACAACGAAGCTTCCTAAACCAACCTCGGCACGCAATATCTTATCGCATCATCTTTGAAAGTTTTGAACTATATCATATATCTGTGATTATATGCGTGAAATCGTTGTCGCGCCTTCGCCATAGCCTGGCCCCGCGCGCCGCAAACGGCAGCGCTCGAGGCCCTTGGGAATCATTGGGAGTCCACCATCCCGATGCCCTATTCCCTGCAGCATCACAGACGACGCGCTGATGCTGTGCTGCTGAGGCATCGACTCTGTGTCATCACCAAGCTCAGCTATCAGCTGCAGCCTAATCCCCTGAGCTTAGTGCTGCAGACATGGATGGACATTTTGGTGGCAGAGGGTGCAAGGAATGCTACAGGCCTTGGGCCGGATCATATCCTGATTTCATGATCAGCGACACGTCGAGCCCTACACATTCTTGTCGGTGTCTGCCCAGCGCCAGGCAGAAGCTGTCTACAGCTACGTAATTACTTGGATCTGTGCCAAGTCTACACAGGCTGAGCCACAAAGTCGAACAGCGTGTTCCGCATTCTCCAGCAGAACACGCACCATAATGGCAAGAATCATCCTGCCCTGACAACCGTGTGAGTGAAACTCGTGATCACCTTCTTCTGCACGTCAATCGTTTCCTTGCCCTGTCACCGGATCCTGAGGCGAGGCAAAGCGTGCGCAGTCCAATTAGCTGTGCTCATGCCCCCAATCTGAAAGTACCCTGTCAAAGGCAAGCCACGTACATTTTACCTCGGTTTGCTCGGTTCAAAGCAGGAAGAATGGACACACAAAGGCCAGTCTGCAGCTGCGTGGCCTTTGTAAGGATCGACTGCCAAGCCTGCCAAGCAGGCCGTATTGACATGCCACAAACATGCAGCTGCACATCCACCCGCAGCTTGGACGATCAAATGATCTGCGCAACGAAATTGCCTCATGGTCAGCATCCTGCAATCGCATCAGCTTACCTTTGCTGCTCACGGGCTTTGCGCCTGTGTTGTCGTCGATGTAGCTGCCATCGTCCACAATCTCCCCCGAAGAAGCGTCGATCTCCTGACAAAGCCGTCAACTGGTGGATATGGGCGGAATGCTAAACCCTAACCTGCACCCTAAACCCTCAACCCTAAACCCTAAGCTCCCGCAAGGTCCTGCCCGGACTTGCCGTCGAGAATGTGCCCTTGGCTCAAGGGCGACATGCCGTACCTTGCCTGTGCTCACGCTGGTGTGCCACTCAAGTGCCAGGGGCTCAAGGTTCAAAATGGGACATGCTGCTGCACGGACGGGCTTGCTGGAGTCTGACTATTTCCGGGTGTAACCCCAGGAGCCATATCATCGGAGCCAAGTAGCCTGTGTCTGGATCAACCACAACCTGAGGTTCTACGTTTGTGTAGCTGCTTTTAGAATGTTGTGGAATATCAACCTCCTCCTCATGCAGACACAAGCCAACAGAAAGGCTGAGATCTGCGGAGCTGCATCTTTCAAGGCATCGTCCTTCTTCTCCGTGTCGCTTTTCTCGGCTTCCTTGCCTTCATGCTCACCCTCCTTGCCTTCATGGTGTCCCTCATGCTCGCCCTCTTTCTCCTCGTGCTCGCCTTCCTTCCCGAGGTGGGCAGCAGGATCGTAGTGCTCGCCCTCTTTCCCATGCTCCCCCTCCTTTCCGACATGTGCCGCTGCGGGGTCGTAGTGCTCGTCATGTTCACCCTCCTTTCCGACATGTGCTGCCGCGGGGTCGTAGTGCTCGTCATGCTCACCCTCCTTTCCGACATGTGCCGCCGCGGGGTCGTAGTGCTCGTCATGTTCACCCTCTGCTCCGACATGTGCCGCTGCAGGGTCGTAATGCTCGTCATGCTCACCCTCCTTTCCGACATGTGCTGCCGCGGGGTCGTAGTGCTCGTCATGCTCACCCTCCTTTTTAAGACGTGCCGCCGCGGGGTCGTAGTGCTCCCCGTCTGCAGCACTGTCATGTGACTCACCTTCCTCTTCGCCTGTGCCCTTGTCCTCTCCAGCCATTTTGGACGGGTCGTACTCATCATGTTCGTGGGGCCGCTTGGAACTGTGCTCATGCGCACCTGCAGGAATTGTGCTCACAAAAAAAGGGCCAGACATGAATGCTTCGACAATCGAAACTTCATCGCAAGCATCAATTCTTTCACGGCTCAGCCTTCTGACCCGAAGTGCGTGGAAGTTGACGCAGGGCGGTGCGTGTGAGCAGCCGCCCACTGCAGCGCACTTGATCTCTGACCTGTCAAGGAAGAAGCAAACTCAGTCACAACCTCTCTGCCATTCTTCAACATGGCTGCGCGAGTATATGTGCTCTGGAAAAGGCCGAAAGATCGCCGCTCACAGTTTTAGCTCGAAGATGGAAAGTCCTGCGGCGCTAGCTAGCTGAGGGATAACGATAATGCAGAGCTGGAAGCCTCTGACGAGTTCGGGCTCTCTTAAACTGGTCACCTTGGCTCGTTGGCCACTCCCTGATTCTTCTGTTTCTTGCCGGGCTTCGTGGGAGAGCCCCTAATTAATCATTCCTAATCCTACAGCTTAGCAGGAAAGCTTCATCAAGCTTCGGTGCGCCTTGGCCCAAGCCAGTGTGCAAAGTCCTTTGAAGAAGGGACGCCGCAGATGTTGCATCCTGGCCATCCGCATCGACCCCAACAGCATCCGTCCAGCGGGATAACGCCTTTGACTGACCACCCAAGCGGGTGATCCATCTGGCCGCCAGAGACGCCGTGCGCGCCACGGCCTCTGGTGGCTCCGAGGAGCTCAAGGGGAAGGTGCTGTCTTCAGCCTCGCCGAAGCCATCCACAAACTCGAAAGATGCCCGGATTTTCCGGAGACCCCTGCTCCCAGGGACTGGGCCCCTAACCCTGCATGACCCTGGGGTTTCGAGCCGATCGCTGAAAAGGAAGCTCTGCAAGCTCTGTCGTCGTCCTCCTGGGAATCCGTAGAAAACGGCATCCAGTGACCCTGGGTCTTCCAGGGCCTGCAGGCCTTTGGTCATCGGCGCTTCCGACCCATGGCACCCCAAACTTCTGGAGAACGAGGAGTCGCGTCTTGAGCCGAAGCTTCTGCACGGGCCTCTCGATCGCTGCATGCTAGGTCCTAAGTCTCAGGTTATGTGGCATATGTAGCATGTGAGTGCATGTGACAATGTGAGTGCAATTTCATTCCTCCGCAGGCTACGCAAAGATCTCCTTGTCATATCTCAGAGGTGAGAGTTTGTCTTCAGCAAGGCCATTCCCATACAGCTCCACACTTCTTCTCATCGTCGCGATTGCTAAAGCCATATCATCAACCTGATGTCAGCTTGCTCAGTTGTTCTGCAGTGCTTTGAGATGCAGAACTACCGTCAAAGAACCCGTGCAAGCGATCAAAGCCGAATGTCAGGCGTCGCCTTGTAGACCCCGGTGCCGGAGACAATCATGTTAGCGCCAGCTTTGGCAGCTTCATCCACGGTATGTACCTTGACACCGCCATCCACCTCTATGTCCTCGGGACAGCCGCTGTCGAATCTGAACAGGCCGCCAGGCACGAACAGCATATGTGCAACCGAGGCACCTTTTCTGGGCACTTGGCACGCACGGAGCGGACTTTCCTGAAATTTTGGACACGGAGAAAACGCTTAGGACTGCCAACCTGGCATTGACTGGTGCCAGGCAACACGCCACCCGACTTGTTCGCTCTTGCAGACGAAGCTTCTCCATCATCTCTACCATGAAAGACTGCCCGCCCTTGCCAGGCACAACGGTCATGACAAGTACCATATCCACCTGCAGTTCCAGAAGTCTTGTCGCGCTTTTGTGGTGCATGTTGGAATGCTATAGAATTCTCGGATGAAGGAGGGCTGCACTGCGCACGCATTCTGCGTGCCTGTTCCAGGTACGGCTGCAATTGCCTGAGCAGGTCCACATGGAGCTGAAGGAGCGCAATAGGCTGTCATACTGCTGTCACTTTTCCTGGAACTGCCGCTGCGTATCCTGCAGTGCGAGTTAGGAGCTCGATCGGCGTGGCCGGACTTATCGCAAGGCCAACCAACATGCCTTGCTTCCGACTTCCGGCAAGAAGCCACACTCCCCTTTCCGACCACCGGCGTCATGCTCACACGACTCACCCAGATGCCGGTCATGGCATCTGAAACGGACACGAATACGCAGCCTAGACTCCATTCTTTCGTGCGAGGTCGATGACCTTCTGTGTCAAGCCTGCACCCAGGGGCAAACTGCTCTTTAGCACCCAGTGAGCATGCTGTTTCGATTGCCTCTTGGCTCCGTGGTTTCGATGTGGAAAGTAAACTGCAGCAAGTTCTTGCCGGTCTCCTGAGCTCGAACCGCTCAAGGAGGAGCACACAAACTATGAAGGAAGAGAGTCTCAGTACATCCTGGCATCCTGGCATCACGACCTCCCTTGCTGCGACCCTGTTGTGCCCCCTGTTTTCGACTCCTTGCAGCACCTGGCTGAAACACCTGGCTGCATTTAAGGACCCTTTTAAACAACTAAACCCTAAACCCTTTTTTTCTTGTAAGCGTCGGGATGGAGAGCCTTGGCCTCGGCTATAGCCTCCACTTGCTCCTCGGGCTTCTCCACCATCATGTGGCAGTCGAAAAACACCTCGGCAGGGACTGAAACTCACGGAACTGCTGAGGCTTTTTACCCTTTAGAAAGGAAGCCTCTCCTGATCTGTGCCTTCGGGTGATGCCGTCGAAGATTGGCAATCACCTTCGGCCCGAAGGAAATAGCAGGGACCTTACCAACTTGCATCACAGTGTCACAGAATGCTTGAGTTCCAAGGCTGCTGCTGAGGTTTGAGAGCAGGTTTCTAAATCGCAGCTGAAGGGGCAAAGTGGCCATCCATGACGTCCAGATGCAGGTAATCAGCGCCCGCACGCAGAGCACGATCAGCCTCGAGGTCAAGCGTGACACAATAGTTCAATAGGATACAAACCTGACCTGTCGAAGGCACACAGACGTCTTGCCTTCTTGTGACATGCGGTGAGTTGCTCTAGAAGCACTTCCTCCTCTGTTTTTGTTGCCTGAAATCTCAAGCCGAACACCCACGCCGATACACCCTGATCTCCTTGCCATGTCGCACGTGCACAGGCCCGAAAGCTGCAAACGCCCGGAGTTCCGAAACAAGGAGCTTGCCTCCGTGGCCAGCATGGAGGAATCGCAATCCAGGACCTCAACAGAGGTTTGCTGGCGAAGACCTTGTCTAGGCACGAAGTGCGAAGAAACACCGGCCTGTTCTAGGAACGTCAGTTATTGTGGATAATGTTAAGGGGGTGTTCAATGACGATTTGTTCATGAAACGGTATGCTCTATGTTCTTATCAATGTAAGACATGAATTACTCCGTTTTTTGAATACCTGATAATTAAGTGTGAATGCTGAGTTTGTTGAAGTTACGCTTCCAACAGTGGAATTGATCCAAAAATCTTCCTCCAATACCGAATGCCTCTTCTGCTCCGCTCAATAATTAACAACACTTGTCTTTTTATCGGTCCAACTGCTGCTGCTCGACTGCTGCAGTCTACAACTGCGCCGCGTCGTTCGTGCATGCTAAGCCGATGCTAAGCCGGAGCACGGATGGGCCTATCTTGGCGGCGCAGCAGTGGCATGCTGCCGATGAGGCTTGGCTGTATCCTCCACAAAGCGCCATGGGGAACTCCCAGCTATGATCGGCCCCGCAACGCTGCGACGCTGCGATGTCTTGCATGAAAAAGCAACCAGTGCACATGTTGCCCAAGAACTGCTGAGAAGGAATGTGACAACGGTGGCAGCTGTCTACTCTTTTGCCAGATCCCGGGTGACAAGAGTGTATCGAGTCTACAGCAGAAACCTGGTACGGCTTCAACTGGCTGTACATGAAATTGGATGGCCACAGCTTCTCCTGCTGCAAAAGAAACGTGTCACTGATTATGATGGCTTCGTGTGTAGTCTCTGCAGACAGGAGTGGATGGAAACAAGTGTCAAGAGTGTGTCCCGTATCTTGCCATCCCAAGGACGCCCTGTGCAACGAATTTGTATTGGAGACATATAAACAACGTATGTACACGGGAGCTGGCCCAGCAAAGCCATGGTAGCTACACGTCCTGTGCCAGAAGCGGACAGACTTCTGGCCTCTCAAACCACGTGCAGCTTGACTGATACGGGCAGCTTCACGAAAGGATGGCCCGTAGGCCGCAGGTATTGAATTGTGTATTCCCTTTTTGCTTGGAAATGCCCCACAGCATTCCACGTTCCAGGCAGCTCTCATGCTGAGAGAGAGGAGTGCCATGGCGTGCCATTCGCAAAAGAGCCAACTTGAGATCGACACCTTCAATGCAAGGGTCTCACCCAAATGGAGCCGCAGCTATCGAAATCGGATTTGGCACCCGTGCAAGGAAACGTGACCTGGCACTGCTGCTGAGGCTCCCAGCCCCAGATTCCCTAGATTCCGAGGAGTTCATAGAAGATTATCATATGTGGGTCATGGCTCGGCTGGTTCCTCCAGATGCGAGCCAGCGCCTTTCAGCGTGGCATCGTCCAGGCCCACGGGTTTTCGAATCGGAAGTTTCCGGATATGCTGCCATGACAGCTAGCAGCTTAAGGCAAAGAAGCATGTGCACGGGCTTCCGCTGCCCGAAGCCTAGACTCGAGCGACCTCTCTGCCGTTAACCCCCCCAAGGCCAAATGCAAAGGACCCTCCAGCGTGGGCTTACAATGCTCCACTTGTCTCCACCTCACAAACTTGGGCAACTGCACTAAGGAGCTCATACCAGCTCATCATCCGTAGCACACAGCTGGCTAGGGCCCGGCCAAGCCCCCTGTGGGGCTTCGGCTTCTTCATCTTTGGCTTGAAAGCGAGGAGGTCATGGAAGGATCGGCCACCCAAATTCAATGCATCTGCTCCCGTCTGTACTGGAGTATCAGGAGCCCCTACACCCTACACTTCCACTACTCGAATGGTTACGACCCGATTCTGCACACCAAACACCAGATCACCTAGCAAGGGTAGGGGGCAGTTCAATTAAAGCTTCAAAAGCCGATGTGAATTGCGGCCGATATTGAGTCTCAGACCGGTTCACTGCCAAGACTCCCATAGCTCTACACCATGTCTTTCATGCAGGAAAACCCGAATTGAAGGAGATCTGCAAAAAAGGCTCTCTCAGAGCGTTGCACACAAGGGATGCAACTCCCATTGCTGGTCTGCTAAGCCCTCAACGCTATCTCGTCTCGTCTGCCTCGCATCATGTGGTGCCAATAGCCCATATATACCACTGACGAAGATCAACTTAAGTGCAGCATGAGCAGAAGATGGACTGTGCAGTCATCGAAAATCGCTGTCAGCGAACTCGCCATCAACGAAACTGGAAAACCCTGCGGAAGAAACGCGCAGGGAATTGGCAGTGACTCTGGCCGCTGTTGTGGAGCTGCCGCACCCCCTCTTCTGACCGACCCGTTTGTTAGTTAGCTTCCTGCGGAAGGCCCAGTGCCGGCACTACACAGCCCTCATCTCTAAAACCCAAGTCTGCTCCAATCAGTTAGTTTCACGAGACTTGTATGGCCTAGGCCTACTCTAGACCAGCAATGACAGCACAGTTCCCTGCAAAGCTCGCGCTCTGCCACCGCGGTCGCCCCACAAACCTCCGGGCACCATGGCATGTCATTGCGTGCATCATCACAAAGCAAGCAAAATAACTTAAAATAACCTACCTCCCATGACCCCCAAGCATACATGAGTCAAAAGGGGGGGGGGGGGGGAAGTTGTGCTGCGTTCTGCCATTCGTTCTGCCGTGCTGCGCCTCCTTTGAAATTGACGAGCCCTAATCTAGGATTGCAGGTCCGACTCCGACACAAACCTGGAAAGCCCTTAGCCCCTGGAAAGCCAAGGAGCCATTCACCCTTTTGCGAGGCCTCGGCACGGCTCCGGTCACAGAGATCAACACATGCTGGCAAGGAATGGGAAGGAAACATCAGGCAGCATTGTGTAGAGCAAAGCACTCTACGGCCTAGCAAATCCATCAAACCATCTGTAGTAGCGTGGGATAAAGCCAAGGGTGTTCCTCGTGCCCGGGCCATCCAGTGCGGATGGCCTACCAGGCAAGACCATGACAGGCAGTCAGGCACTGCGCGGCATGTATCGAACAGTCAACGGGTCTGCATGGAAGCTTGTTTGATTTGTGCGAATTACCGGGAATCCAGCATGCCGATGGCTGTGAATCCAGCACGGTTCAACTCAACAGCCGAACTGGCGTCAACTGCTGGCCGTGCTCAGCCAGCTTGAGCTCGTTGAGTTTGAGCCCGACATTCTTCAACTCTCTGGCCGCGAATCCGGCAGACTTCGCCGCTGTGATCGCACAGGTGAACTGGCCGCGCAGCAGCCTCCGCTGTCACACCAACGTCCCGTAAGTCCTCCCTGGTAACCTTCCACGAGATACGCAGCGGAAGGATAGTATGTACAGTGTACTTTGCTGAAGGATCCTTATAAGGGTGGAGCACCGCGCAAACGAACCCAAACCAGATCACCGACTCTTGATCCATGCCGAAGGTTGAGGGAAACAACTTAGGCCCTGCGGGCTCAGGCGCTGGCATCAGTGTGTCAGCAAGAAGTGGCAAGGTGCAACGGCTGCGGAGTCCTCAAGTCGGTGCTCTCAAAGGAAAACAATACATGGATGTGATCATTACAGTATAATATTGTAATGTCATCGAAATATACAGAAATATACTATTTTGATATGATCTTGTCATTTTGTAATGTTATCATGATACAGTAATATACTCGTGCAGGGTCACGACCAAATCGCTCTGAGGCACGCGAGGGGGAAGATGTTGGGTTGGACTGACCTTGGCCAAGGCTCCCTAAACCCTAAACCCTAAACCCGAAACCTAAACCCTAAACCCTAAACTCTAAACCCTAAACCCTAAACCCCCATGTCCGCCCGAGCGCAACACGTAAGCAGGCTGCCCAGGTTGGAAGGTCGGGCCCCAGCCGAAGCAGCCGGGACCAGGAGCTCCTGGCAACAGTAACAGGAAGCTTGAAGTCTAAACCCTAAACCCTAAACCCTAAACCCTAAACCCTAAACCCTAAACCCTAAACCCTAAACCCTAAACCCTAAACCCTAAACCCTAAACCTCTAAACCCTAATCCCTAAAAATCCTAAACCCAACCTAGCTGGGCTAAGACTCATTCCGCACACCTGATATGAAGGCCAAGCTGTTGGTGGTCTGGCTGAGGATGACTCATACTGTGACGCCACTCCTCTTGGCCTCCTTCTTGGGCATGAGCCGAGCACAAAGGGTTTAGGGTTTAGGGTTTAGGGTTTAGGGTTTAGGGTTTAGGGTTTAGGGTTTTTAGCCCAAACTTGAAGATAAAAAGTTAGCATCGCCTGGACCTTGCTGCCAGAATGGGGCCACAGCTTCTTGGGAATCTGAAGTGTGCAGGGTGCATACGGTGTGTGTGTGTACAGTCTGTTTAATATACATAGATATATATATATATACTAAGTATGTAATGCATTAGTACATAGAAAGGAAACATACGGTAAGTACGTCGCAAATATACCGTATGTTCTAGCACCTGGCCAGAAAATGCGAGCCTGAAGGAACCCAGAGGCAGAAAAATAACATTCAGAAGCCTAGAAGAACAGAAAGCAGATAAACAGAGTGAACCGACAACATACAGAATCATGCAAAAGCATAATGCAAAAAGGCAACAGGCACAGGCCGAAAGCAAGAGCCAGAAGCAAAAGCTGATAAACCTAAAAAGCAAAAAGCAGAAAGCAAGACAGCCGGAACCAATAAGCGAAAAGCCAAAAGCAGCAAGCAGCAAGCAGACAGCAACAAGCAGCCAGCAACATGCAGGAAAGCCCAAAGCAGAAAGCAAGAAGCGTAAAGCCCAAGCGAAAGGCAGCAGTGACTCAGCAAGTGAAAATTACAAAAACAAGAAGCAGAAAGCAAACAGAAGGCAAGTTTATGATAGCGTAAAGCATGAACAAATAACAAGCAAGAAGCAAATGGCTGAAAGCGAAGAGCAAAAAGCGATCAACGAAAACCGCACAGAAGAAGCAAAAGCAAGCTCATGATTGCATAAAACAAAGACCAGAAGACGACAGCTACCGAACAACAATAAACAACGTCCTGCCCCTACTCGAACTCTTCAGCCACCAAAACGAACTGTATTCGCCAATTCAAAGAGACAACAAGTAGCTTCATATTCGTTCAGTTCCGGATTTGGTCCGTTTTTTTCCACTTTTGCCCGACCGTTGAGTTTTGGATCGGGCGTGGAACTATGTCCGCACACAGGGGTCGCTCAATTTCCCCACACGTGCGACAATCCTCTGCGTGGCAAGACAAGCTTCGTGTTTGCCTGAGCATCCAGAAAGCAGATTTCTGCAGAATCGAAGTGATGGCTGTGGCACACAAGGCAACGCGTCACTCTTCCCGAAAAGGGGACGAGGACGAGGCGTGTCGGAAGGGAGCATCACCTACGAAGGCCTCCCAGCGCCAGCTACTGAGAAACCTCCAATCCTGCACATTCTAGGACCTGGACTGATGAACGACATACGAGACTGTGACACAAGGCTTGGTCGCGCCTTGTCTTCCACATCACCTGGCATTGTCGCGAGGTCACTGCTCCACGTGAGCATGTGTCTGACATAAGGGGAATGCACCGAAATCTTCGACGACGGGTGGATGTGCAAGTAGTAAAAGCCCTGAACATGCCCAACCTCTTGCCGCAGTCCCCCACTGAAGAGCCACCTGCATGGAGGTCCTCGAGCTCTGCTTCAGATGCTGTCGAAGCCTGGGACCAGGATTCGCACCACCTTGGTAGCAAGGCAATAAGAGAGGCACAGGTAGGAGCTTGGGCTTTCTTGTGGCAACATTGAAGAGCGCGGCGTCTTGCTGTTTTGCCGCGAATGTGTCCGTGAAGGCTTTGCCGTCGCAGCCAGGATGGCGGCGTCCAGTGCCTGGATTCTGGAGTCGTTGCAAGTTAAACATGACGTGCAACTCTAGCACCCTTCTCCCGTCCTTCCCCCACTTGCACTTACCCCACCTGCGATGCACGTTCTGCTTGGACACGTGCCAGGGCTTCAAGGATGGCACCTGAGACTGGGACTTTGAACGGCTCAGCACCTGACCTATGCCAATTCAAAAAGCTCATACGTCGGGTGCGAATTCGTGCGATGGACATGTAGGGGAAGTATGGCAAGTATACAGAAGACCCAAAGCGAAGCCGCGCCTACTATCCTGTACAAAACTTAGAGGAGATGTGGCACGCACAAGGGACAAGCAGAAGCAGTGCTGAGTCAGGTCTTAAGCGTGCATTAGTGCGAAGTCCGAGCTGCTGGATGGAGTCTTCGGCCTCAGCGCTGAACTTGAACGCACGCTTGGGAATAGAGTCGAGGCTTCTGTTCTTGTTGCACATTTTTGCACACCGCACACACACACACACACACAGCTCGCATGACGGGCTTGGAATGTTGAAGCAACACCTCTTGACGGCATGATGTTCTTGCGAAGCAAGCTCCCATGGTTGAAAAGAGCAGGTGGCTTCGGGGAAGGGGGGCGGGGGTCCGCAGGCCGCCCCCTGCCCCCCCCCCCCCGTTTTCAAACACAATGTTCGTATGTTCGTATGCAGGGTTGGAGCAAATCTTGAAGCTAGTCCTCTTCATGGCAGGACGTCCTTAAAAGCAAGCTTGAATGTGGGGTTTTAAGCAATTCCTCTTTGATGGCATGATGTGCTTCAATGCAAGCTTGCACGGCCGCGCCTAGGGAAAAGAAAGGGAAAGCCGTACCTGGGAAAAGGGAGTCAGGCCAAGCCAAGCCGTCCTCAGGCACGCCAAGCAGCACCTAGGAACAAAAGGGTGCCAAGCCGAGCCAAGCCAAGCCGCACCTGGGAAAGAAGCCCCAACTTAGGCTAAGCAGCTTGCCAATGATGATGGCTTCGCAAGGACAAAAACGAAAAACAACGCAATCGTTTGCCCGTCCTCTTAAGTGAAATTCAGCCAAGGGAACCCACTGCTGGGCGGCGCCAGCCCGGGGGGTGGATGCATTGCCTCGGGGTCGGATCTTCGCAGCCTAAAGATAGGACCTACGGTAGCCTGCGTTGTTTGTTGCGGACGCCCTCTGAGGTGACGGCTGAGCGAAGCTGATGGACAGAGTCCTGCACGCCTGTGGCTTCTGCACAGCCACAGAACTGTTTCCGACTGCCACAATAGGCAGTGTAACCCTTATGCTGACAGTCCTTGATAGGGATTATAATCGGGGGGTACTACAATCCCTATTTAGGACGGTTAGAAACGGAACATCCCAAGTGTAACCATGTGCGAAGCAAGGCTGAAACAAGCATCCTTCGGGAGAGCAGCACTTTGCAGATGGCATCCTGCACGGCCAAGGGTTTAGGGCTTACGGTTTAGGATTTAATCGCTCACACTCGGACAAGCCAGGTTTAGGGTTTAGGGTTTAGGGTTTAGGGTTTAGGGTCCAGATGATCCAGAAGTTTTCGAGCTGACAGACACATGGTGCTCACCATTGCGCACCCTCTGGTGCCGGCGGTCCTTGTACTTGGTGTTCAGAGCTCCAAGAGTCTTTCTGAGACTGTTGAAAAAGCTGCAGGTTCAGCCCATGTCACGTCGTGGGGTGGGAGGGAGGGGTTCCCAACATTGGGCTTCCTCTTTACAGTCCGAGGCCCGAAGCCTCACTCACATGCAGGGATAAGGCCAAAAGGGACCGCAATTTAGAGAATTGCCTGCGTGCCTCATACACTGTCTCCACACTCAAACCTCCACTGCAGCATGACTTCTCGCAAGTGTACACTACAGGCGGACTGACAAAGCTTTTTGGGGCAGCCGCTTCTTCATCTCCTTCCGCCCTTCCGGACGATTCTCTTGCTGCCTTTTTATCGAAGCGGGTCAGTAGAGGCCACTGCGAAGCCATTAGTCCTTGCAGATGTCATGGGCAACAAACTGCCCACCTTGCCTAGATACCTAGATACCGCCCAAAGTTGCAGTGCTGGCTTGTAGCCCTAGCTCCCCAAAGTCACGGCACCGTCTTCACGCACTATTTTGGCATCTCTGGCCTGCTGCAGTCATCAGCGCCCAGGAAACAGCGCGGAATGCAGCGCCGGGTCCCAGATCATAGAAGTGACCTTGCAGTGAAACAGACAGGATACCCATTGCCCACAGACATGCACAGTATATTGTTTGTCGGGTGCCGGAGGTTAGCAGCCACAACGAGTTTTTGCTGCCAGGCAACCCACCATGCTTGGCGAGAAGATGCGCCCCATGGAGCAAGCCTCATAAGACTCAAGGGGTTCAGGGCTTGTTGACATAAATCAATGACTACAACCTTGTGAAGTGTTTGGACAACACGTGTTGAGAGAAAAAGCAGGAATAGCCAGGGTTCAACAAGAAACCGATTGCCAACCCCTTGTAAAGGCGGCTTCTCTCTCTCGGAGCTCATGAGACTGCCGAGCAGCCATCGAGTCCGCAGCGAAAATCGACCCACGGCTGCTCGGGGGGCAGCACTTGGCGATCAGGATGTTTACGGTGGGCGTGAAGAAGGTGATCTTTGCGGAAAGAAGGCGGGGTGGGGGGCGGGGCGGCCCGTCCTAAAAGCACGTAGACAGCAAACCCAAGACCCAAAAGTCCGCGAAGGCAGCTGAGGCACGCCGAAGGACTGGAAAAGGAGGATGGCCACCACCTATATAGACCGAGAGCATTGCCACGATCATTGTGCGACCATTGTGGCTTTGAACTTCACTTCTGCCAAGTGACCATTTGGGGCTTCTGGACCACACTCATGGCTGCAAATGACAGGCCGATTGATGCAAGGCCTCAGCAGGGCACTAGATGGGGTCCAACATGGCAAAGAGCAGAATTCCTGGCACCTACTCGTACGCCCTCTCAACCAAGGCGACTGCCAATAACAGCCCCAAGCAGGGTTCGCCCCTCCTTCCTCATGAACCTGTTCACTGCCAGGGCAGACACGCAAGGTTGCACGAAGCTGACAAGCGAGCTGAGGCCCTGCCTGCGATAGAGAAACGCGTTGCTGCAAAACGCCTCAGTTCAGGGCATCCTGCCGGACTGCATGACTTCGAGTCGTGAGCTAGAGTCATAGTGGTATAAGAACAATAAGAACCCAACACCACCAACAACTCCCATGAAGGCTGAGGCACACAGATCGCCGCAAGAGTCTGGACGGAACCCAAGCGAGCTGCAGTCCATCCGAAGCTGTCACTGCACCAGACCTTATGAAGATCTCCAGACGCTCATGTGGGTAACAGATCACGAAGTTGGGCAGCGTAGCTAGCCCGGGCGTGTTCCGAGCAGAATATCGCTTGCTCGCATTCGAGCTGCTCGCTGGCAAATCAGAAGCAGCTACGGCAACGCAGTATTAACACAAAATCGACCGGCCCCATCTTCATCGTCCTCTTCATCGTCATCGTCATGTTCATCCTCATCATCGTCATCCTCATCACCATCCTCATCATTGTTGCTTCTTTTCACATGCCCAATGGCCACCCACCCCACCAGAACCCGAAGTCAGAACCCTGGATGTCCAAGTGCCAGAGGCCGAAGTCGTGAAAACACTTGATCCGCAGACTTCTGTGCCGTGTGACCCCGAAGAAGCTTTCGTAAACCGATGTCCCGCAGATGTACAGGACGTGAATGAAGATGATGTTGAACCTCAGGCGCACTCGGGCTTCAACTGCGGAGAAACACGGCCGAGCTACGATGAACACAGCTATCATCTTTTGCCTGCTGCCTGCCCGGTCTGCCAGGAACGGTCTGTCCGAAATCTTCCAAGGTGCAGTAGAACCCACGACAGTCCGAACGCAGGCAGTCTGATCCCCCGCTTCTTCTGCTTCTTCTTGTTTGCGCGGCCCTGAACACGGAACCGCGCAGCTTCCAAGATTAAAAAAGCAGCTTGCGAAGCGGCTGTTTCGTGGACACTGGCACATGGGGGACCTGTGCAGGCATGGGGTCCACGTAGACGAAGACCAGCGAAGCAGCGATCAGCTGCCTATGTCACTGCACGCATCTGCTCAAACTGATTCAGAATGTTGAATTGGCGTGGTGCTCTTACCATGCGTCTCTGTATCTTGATGCAGCCTTGTTGCACAAGGCCACTGACAAGGGTTACAGAGGTGATGCCGCCAAGCCCGTAGAACAGTCCCCCCAGTGCTGGCCCCACGACGAAGGCCCTCAGACCAAGCCATTTTCGAGCTCGACAGGTTTGGCCATCCTATTGGCACTCATCGCACTCATCGCACACTGGCTTGTGCCCAGCAGCGAAGCAGCAGCCAATTCTCCTGGCCGACGACTTCAGGCGCATGCCCCTTCAGAGGATCCCCACAAGCAGCTGAAATGATGCAAAACGAATCGTGCCAGATGAGCGATTGGCCACAGCTTCTACCATGACCTCCGTCTGCAGGTCGGCAATAAGAGCTTTTATCACCTTTGTGGGGAGGGGTTGGGAAGGGGGAAGGAAGGAGGGGGGAAGGGAGGGGGAGGGCAGCATGCGATGCAGCATGGCAGGCATTCGCATTCAAGCCGCCACAGCTGCTCCAGCAAACGTTCCGGCCAACACACGCAGCTTGAGGAATGTCTTGAAAGGCCACCGGAAGATCAGCGCGCAACCCTGCAGCCTGGCAGGCATGGTTCCCTAGTCAGAGCATGACAAGGTCATTTTGTCCTGCAAGATCGTGCAGTCGAGATGCAAAAAACTTATGCCCACACCAGCCAAGCACACCAAGAGCACTGGCTTGCCTCAGGGCCAAGCAGTTATCCATCGAATAACGCGAGAGGGATGGGTCACCGGTCAGCACTCGGATAAAATATCACAAACCCATTTGTTTGCTGATGTGTGCTTCGGAGGTACGAACGCTATGCCACAAATGCGGCGGAAGCTCCCAAGCCCTAAAACACATTTAAGACGTATCCACAACCTCTCCAAGCTCAAAAGCCCCTGAGGCCCTGCACTTGCTACACCCTAGAACCTCAATGCACCATCTTGCATTCTTTGGCAAGTGGCGGCCATAGTAGTCACTGGCACGCGGAAAGACGGACACTGCCTTGGCCAACGTTAGCTGGCGGACCATCTGAAGACACGTGTACATGACACGTCAACTGGAGACCCTTGATCCAGCCCAATCTGGCAAGCCACAAAGAGCATACCAGTCGGGAAGGCCGACGTGATCATGCCCGTCTGGGCGGCCAGAATCTTGAAATGGGCCCTCAGCGCTGGCAGAATGGGTCCTGGTTTGGAAGTGGCTCAGACATCAATGCTTGGATTCTCATTCCCAGCATTTCCCAGCCCGTGCTGATCGCAGCTTGGGCGAAGGACTCGTTTCGGCTCTTGGACTAGTGCCTTCAGACTCATCCACAGGCATTTGTCTTGAAATGAGTCTCCTTGCATGGTGAAGCCCAGCAGATGCAAGAAGTACACCTTAAACAAGGCATGCGTGTCGGTTTGGGGGGACCCTAGCAATTTAAAACAAAAAATGTACTTCACATGCTGGTGACTCTCTGCCAGCTGTAATTACCTGGGACAGACTCTGAGAGTGGCAAACGAATTCTGGCCATATGCCGATAATTCAGACAAGCTTCCATAGCGATCCAAGTCCTCAGCGGACGACACTCTCTAGCACCCTGAGGCTGCGCGGGTATGAAAAGCGCAGGATATAGAAATCTATGGAGATCGGAGCAGGACTGGCTCGAGCTACGGCTTTCCCTGATGAGAGGGACCTATTGTGCAATCACATTATATGGCTGTGAGAGAACGAGCCAAGGAATGCATGTGGACAAGCGAACTAGTGAGTGACCGATATCATATGAAAACCGCGACGGCGTTCCCCAACTGCCAACAGTCGCTGTAGCCCAACACTCCTTTACGACCGTCTTCGAATCAGAAACGATCTGCAGCATGTGCGAGCCGCGACACTTGATCTGGCTGGTCAGCGCGTCCATCGGTACATCTTTGGTCCTGCAGAGCAGCTTATGGGCAAAGAGCCGCCAGAGGATCACATATGGCCATGTAAGGCCACCTGCAGATGCCAAGCCAGCCACCAGAACCGCGAGCTTTGCTCGAGGCCCACTGCGGTGCACTTGTCAGGCTCGTCGAAGTTCTGCTCATCTCTATGTGCCCACCTGGCCATCTGCAGGCTGCAAGCGGCTGCTTGCGCATGCTGTTGGTCCTATCCGCGTATCCCTGACACCCAGAGCACGGGTCTCACATGCTATTCATGAGACTGGAACCTGCTTCGTCAGTTAAGCCTACAAGATTCAGGATCCCCAACGGCGCTGGGCCCTCAATGTGAACCTCGAGGAGGTGTAGATGTTCAGCCCTGTCAAGGCCTTGTTTCGCGGCTTGTTGCCCACAAGAGAAAAGCTGGGATTTGGACCGCACTTTCTTCTGCTGGCTTGGTTTGGTGCATCTTAGAAATGCTTTATTCATCCGATCTTTTCTGTGCACGCTGGCAATCCCTGCAAGCACCACTTTCGCACCACCTCAACCCATCACATAAATTCCAATGTCTCTTGTTAACGGACTTCCTGGACCGCGCTGAAGAGACTGAACAGGGTCCAGACTACAGACTCGTCGCACCTAGTGGTGTACTTAATTTTATCTTATAATCATGTGTGCTGAATCTTGCTGAGACGGCCTATCCGATCCTATCCGACATTCACTGAGTTGCAAAAGGCTGTGCTTGCACTTCTGCGCCTATCAGATCCTATCCGACATTCACTGAGTTGCAAAAGGCTGCGCTTGCGCTTCTGCCCCCCAAAAGGCCTGTCGGCAAAGGCGTGTCGGGGACATTGCAGGGCCGCGCATCACGGAAGTCAACTTGGTCACCCAGGCCACAGTTGGCGACAATCAGCCGCTCCACGTTTGGGAGCTTCTGCTGCGGCCGAAGCATTGTCTCGTACTGTGTGGCACGTTCCTCGCGCTTGGGCGCTAAAACCATAATGCCAGCCGAATCGTACTGTGTCGCACGTTCCTCGCGCTTGCGCGCTGCAAGCATGATGCCAGCCGTAGAGATGAGTGCCATTGCTAATCGAGCGGACGATACTGTTGGCTCAGTTTCACTTGCCCATGACCACACGTCATTGCCAATGCCAGCAGCCACTGCGGACTCCACCTGCTCGGAAATAAAGTACTCCTCGCAGGAAACGCAGCATCCACGTACCGCAACTTTCTATTCTGCCAAAGCATGGAACACTCCGCAAGAGATGCAGTCCTGAAGCCTCTCAGACATGCCGCTGACGGGTGGAAGCTGTACAAATCCCAAGCCCCTGCCGAGCAAACAGAGTGCCGAGATGGCAAGCAGGGCTTTGTAGCGGCGCCGCGAGGCCTCCACAGCCGGGGCTTTGGTATGACAAGCACGCCCATGCGAAAAGTAATGTAACACATAATAATAATGAGAATCATAATAACAGTAATGATAATAACAATAATGGTAATAAGAAGAAGAAGAAGAAGACTAAATAGAAGCGTGAGATACAGCAATCTGCAGTTTGAGGTGGGCCCCCTGCCTTTGCCATCGCGGTTCTCAGATCTCCCGGGGCAGGTCCTGGGGCAGCGCCTCAACTGCAATGACGAGGACCACTGTGAGGCAAAAGCACCAAGGAAGCAACAGGGCCCTGTATAGGCTCAGGTGAGGCAATCTTGCGTCGGGCCTCAGTCCTGCCTGTCACCCTTGTGGTGCGAATGGAGACATGGAAGCTGCGCATCTCTCATGCAACTCGTGCAGTTCATGGTGCGGTGAAGCTTGCAAATTATTGCATGGGATGTTGGTGCGGTGAAGCTTGTAACTATGCGACAAATATGTGAGTCAGGCTGTTCGATGCCAGCTCACACATTTCGCTCATGCGCTGTATCTGAAGCTTGTTGCTCATGCTCTGCATGTCTGGAGCTGGTTACCTGCTCCCTGCACTTGGAGATGAAAAAACAGCTGGCTACACACGCCAAAATTCGCAACCTCGCGTTGCGCACCTGTCATGGGAAAAGAGCGTGCGCTTGCAAGGCACCTTTTCCTCGAACTGCGTTTGCCCATGACCACCAGAACTCTTCCTGCGAGGCAAAGAGATGTTCACGTTCTACATCGGCAGCTCCTCCGCTCAGTTCTCCAGCGTCTCAGGAACGGAAGCTGGTGTCAGATCAGAACGGCTTCTCTTCTCGGACCACCGCGGAATGCCACCGCACACACTTTGAGGGAGCTTGAACTGCTTCAATGGCAGGATGGCCTTAACTAAAAGCCTCAGCCCAGGAAACAGGTTCAGAACCTTTGGACTTGCCGGACTTGTCCTTGGACTTTCCCGACTTCCCTTTGCCCTTGCCGCGTGCGGGTGCCGCGGTTGCCAACTCTTCCCAGGGTGTTTGCATGGCCTTGGCGGCCGGACAGGAGCAGAACCCCTGGTCCAAGAGCTCGATGGCCTGCATCTCCCGTGGTGTCAGTCCAGGCCCACCGAGCGCCGCGATGTTGGCCCGAATCCGCTGCGGGTTCACGGACTTGGGGATGACGACGAAGCCCTTCTGAAAGGCCCAGCGGATGCACAGCGCGGCCTCCGAGCATGCCCTCTGCTCAGCCTCGGCTCTTTTTTTTTGGGGGGGGTTCTCATGGCGTCATCGACCTCGTCAGAACCGTGGGAACACGGGGGGGGCACCTCGTACGTCGTACAGAAATGTTTCACAAAAACGGAACCACGTAAACATACGTAGTATGTTTCTTCGGCTCCGAGGGTCGAGCTGGGCCAGGCCAGTGGAGCCAAAGAGGCTGCCGCGGGCCAAAGGGGAGTAGGCCATCACGGCAATGCCCAGATCGCTACAGAGCCTTTCGGTCTCCTTCTGCTGCCAGAAGCAGTGGAGCTCGATCTGGTTCACCTCGGGGAGCTCTCGGCCTGCCTGCTGCAGGGACCGCAGCTGCTCAGCTCCGAAGTTGGAGACGCCGATGGCGCGCGCCAGGCCGGCGTTGCGCAGCTCCACCAAGGAATCCCAGGTCTCCAGCAAGAAGCCGCCCCTCGGGCTGTGAATCAGAAAGAGGTCCACGTAGTCCAGCTTCAAGCGTGAGAGAGATGCTTTCAAAGCAGCTGCGGGGTGGCTGCCCCCATGATCTCGGCTGCTAAGCTTGGTGACGACGAAGACCTCGTTCCTCTTGACCTCCGCTTCCTGCAAGGCCTGTCCAACGTCGGCCTCGTTGCCATAGACCTGTGCTGTGTCAATCAAGCGATAGCCGGCCCTCAAGGCTTCGGCTACAGCCCTCTGGCACTCCCCACCGCGATGTGATTGCCACGTGCCGAGGCCAAACCGAGGCATGTGAATCCCAGACCTCAGCTGCAGCACTGCATCGCTGTTTCGCGCTTCCCTGTAGGGTGCCTCCCAGATCTCAGTGTTCTTGAGGCTCCCTTTGTCGCTCTCCTGCCCAGATCGCCGAGAGCTTCGCCAGCTTTGCACGCTTTGGGGTCGATCGGCCACCCTCAGAGTTGCAGAATCTGCAACCGGGTCACACAACTGGCCAGCGCCCATCTGGCTGGCTTCAGCACGCGTGTGCCGAGACCAGCGGTTTCCAGCATAGGCCATGTCCACATGGATGCGCAAAATGACGAATTTCACGCGGAACTTGCTCGACAGCCGCACATCATTTTCGCATGCTTCCTGAAAAAGCGTGTTTGCCTCGATCTCAAAACGAGACTGAACCGTAACATTTCGGAATGGATTCCGACCCTTCCTGCGTCATACATACATGCATGGTACAGTTAGACCAACAGACAAAGATAGACTCATACTAAGTGCCCACAAGTATACAGACAAGTATTCAAACCTGCCGCCAATCCTGCGGACAGACAGTGACATGGACGCAAGCATGCATGCAATTGGCTTATGCGTTCATTCATGCATCACAACCAGGTTGAATTCATGTAGCGTGCATGCCACCGCTCTCCCTCGTCTTTGTCTTCCTCTTCTCCTTATCCTTCTCCTTCTCCTCCTCATTCTCCTCCTCATCCTCCCTCTTCTCCTTCTCCTCTGCGGGTCGGGAAGCTCTTAACTTACCCTGCAGATGATATGCCCGCCTTTTGTCTCAGAGCGAGAACCTGCCTGAAGGTTGAAATCCGTTTCCTACTGCTCAGAGGGTCACTCAAGTGACACTTGGTGGGTTTAGAGTGAAAGGAAATCAAGGGAACACCGAGCTTGATACTTCGCCCATACAATTCCGGTATTAGCTCGAAAACGGGTCAGGAACAGGACTATGGCGGTGGATATGGGTGCAACTCATCTCAGTCTTCATCTTCCACACCTGGGAATGAGTTGCTCCATGATCCTGACTCACGCCATCAACTGTGTGGAATGACTCGAACTGGGCACGCCGCGATCCAACACGGGAACCCATTTTGATGGTGTCGATACCGGAATCTCCTTGGTGCCAGGCACATAAGCGGGGCGACTTCAGCATGCCTCCAGCCTCTGTCAGCTTTGGGCTTCTCGACTGCTGACGTCCCAGCACTGGTGCTGAGAACTGAGAACCCGACGTTCCCAGTAGACTTGTTGTACCGGACCTTCTTCACAATCTCCATGCCGTCCTGGCACCAGCAAAGAAGGCCCTCTTTGGACGCGATACATCGCACAGTCAAATCATGTCAAATCCCTTTGCTGCCCCAGGCTCTGCAGCTTTGGGAATCGGGTCTCAAAAGTCGGGCATCCCAAAAACGGGCTGAACTGATCGGCAGGCCTCTAAGGTACGCTTCTCGAAGCGCACGCCCAACAGGCCAGCTACCTCCTCCTCTTCGTCGTAGTGCATGACCTCAGAAAGAGAACGTCACTCATCTTGATATTCTTCTTCCTAAAGACACGCACGTCGAAGGCGGCCCCATCATGTAGCTGCAGGTGCTCTTGGATGCCGCATGCTCAGCAACGTACCCACGACGAATGCATGGGAGCTTCCACCTTCGGTCAGCAAGGATGGCGGCTGTCCATGGTTTTTCACCATCTAGAACCCGTCAGCGTGTCTCCAACCCCAAAACAGCACGTACCAGACACAATGTCACAAACTCGAATGCGGAGAGCTTCTTCCAACATAGCCAAGGCCAACTTTATAGATTTCAAAGTTGACGTGTTCGAAAAGTGTTGTTGCACGTCGTGCCAAAGCCCGAGTTGAGGCCCTAAAGCTGGGTTGCACCTGCACTCGCTGGCCCACCTCATCCTCACGCATCGGCCTGCACGCGTGCTGGCAGTACTTGGACTCTGGGCCGGCTTTTGGGGCGGGGCAAAGCATTCAACTTGCCTGCACAAAAAGCATGAATCAAGGCAGCTGGTTTGCCCAGGCCTGACATGCTTGATGCAGTAGTTCACGCCCAGGCAGAGGATCTTGTTCCACTTCGGGTAGATTCTGAGAACTTCCGTAACCTCCAATCTGGAGCATGCCCATTGCCAAAAAACCCTTTCTCTAGGTACTCAAGCCTCTGACTTGCAGCTACACTTGCCATGCAATGCGAGGCCATGCGATGCCCTGCTGCCTTGCCCTTGTCCTTGCCCTTCATGACTTGAACGATGTCGCCCGGCATGACCTAACATCAACAAATGTCGATGATCACGATGCAACACTTGAACTTTGTTGCTGCCTGCCTCCTTTTGCCACCGCGCATGAACAAAATGCTGGGGTCCACTCGTGCATCTTGTATCGCACGGGCTTGTTTGTGCGCGGATTCACACGGACGGCCAACTGCCGGCCCATGTAGATGGGCCTGCACCGAACCAACGCGCACTCCTTTGCTTTGCTTAGAGTCAGGACCGCTGAGAGATGAGAGATGTCAGGTCAGGCCCCGCACCTCTTCCTTCCTGCGGCCATGCGCCGCTTGTTCTTGGGGCTGCCGGACTCGGACAGTCGGACATGGCGATTGTCCCCAAGGTGCGTCGCTGGTCGTGAGCTTGACGCAACCACTGAACAGAATGAGCAGAAGCCAAACCCCCCATGAGGACTTGCGGGATCTTGCTGGGCCGCCCGGCCGGCGTGGTAGGCTTCGCTGACCTGCCAGAAAGCAGCATGGAACATTCCTACCATCATCTTAGATCACCTTGTACGATGGCATCAAGACCACCTCAAGCAAAGCCTACTGGTCTCAGGTAAAGCAGAGCAGCCTGGCATGCATGATGACGCGCGGGGCAGCCGACTGGTTGCGGCTGAGCACATGCCGCCTTAACACCACTGCTTCCCTACAACTGGCAGCTTCGCAACAGCTTCACCTTTAACATTGACATGCACAAAGTTTTGCGACGTCAATGATGTGCTGGGGGCGCATCCTCGGCGCCAGCAATGCAAGGACAGCCAGCCCGGCGCAGGCTGCAAAGGAGTGGCTGGGACGACTGGGCACGGATTCAGACGAAGCCTCAGCTGGCATCTGTGGGCTCAGCATCACCTTCAGCGCGCCATCTCTTAGTACCAGGCTCCAGTTCGAAGAGGTGCTTGATTTGCCTGAACAGCCGATGTACCTGCGACACCTGCGTGGCTCGATCTCAGCATTTGGATCTCAAGTCGCGGTCGTAGGGGGGGCCCACCTCGACTAGACACCTGGACGTTCGAAGACACGAAGTTCGGCTGAGACCTCCAAGGCATCCGGGCTGCTTGTGGATGCCATCTGGGCGTGATCCAGACCACCAGCCAATGCACCCTGCCTCCCAAACGTCGAGGACCAGCCTGGAATTCGGCCAGCCGCAGCAAGTCAAGCTTCGGCGTGCGAACTTTCATGGTCTTCTGGTCTTGGGCTGCTACAAAGTAGGACAGCAGCAGCCAGGAACGCCTCAGCTAGAAGCAGGATCCCCCAGCATGGACCAACATGTTCGAAATGGGTAGCGAAGAGATGTGCCAAGGCCTGGACCACTCCTGGCTGCCTGTCGTCGCGCAAAGGAAAGCACAACCGTGAGTTTAGCAGCCAGATTTGCACCAAATATTGCACCTCGGCTTTCTCAGAAGTCCTGCCAAAAGAATGCAGGGAAACCCCCCTGCATCCACTAGAACTGGATTCAAAGGCAACTTTGAATCTCTGCAGGGTCCTGGTAGGGACATGACGCCTTGAGCCCCCGCTCCCCAAACCCGAAGGCAGGAAAGTCAAAGCTGCGGCGAGTGGCAGCTGGCTCGTCACAGGACAACACCTGCACGTCTGCACAACTCCTTGCCCTCCAGCGGACTCCAGCGCTCAAGCGACGCTGAGTGATGTTCATGGGTTTCCGGGTTTACACGGACCTCTGGGCTGCCTTGCTCTGAACACATTTTTCCCACAATGAAACACCTCGCTCAGGGTATAGGTGGCGAGCTCGCTTGGCAGTGGCATGCTTGGCATGCTTGCCAGGTACCCTCAAGGTGTACGGGCTGCGATGTGCTAGGTCGTCTCGGCTGTTATCCACATTTGCGGTACAAGGCTTCTCTTCGCAGCAGCCCGAAGCGGCTAAATGCCATCGAAGCTTTTACCGGCCACTTTGTGAAGACTTCGAGACTTCAAAATTTCAAGAGTTCCAAGACGTGCAATCCTGCAACGTGGTGGACCCCCACCGTGGCGCGTCTATCCATGCAACCATTTCTTCATAAGCGCTTGGCCAACGCCAAAGGCTGTACATGGTGTCAAAAAGGAAAAACCTTCTCTCCGGGAGCCTTCTCTCCGTCCGCTTTCGGACACTGCGTGGACCCTGGAGAACTCAAAAAGGCCGTGTCTCGCCAACCCTCGCAACCCTCGCAACCCTCGGGCTGGCAGCGTGGCCACCGAGCGAATGAGATCTAGAACAAGAATAAGCCTTGTAAACGCCTTAGAAGACGAAGCATATCGGCAAGACACTTGCGCATGCATTGGCAACTCACAGCGTCTCGGAATGAACGACTCCGGGCGCGCTCCTTGGGCAGTCTCTCTCTCTCTCTCTCTCGCAGCCTCGCGTCCGTCAGCTTCCTTTGCTAGTCTGAACTGCGATACTTTTTGCGGCGACAACCCAGGATGCAAAACCAACCTCAAGATAACGACGTCTGCAAGGATCATGCCCACACCTTCGCGTGAGAGGAAACCATCCGAAGCCAAGTGGCCATCCACGCTCCTCCAGCAAGAACCATCCTTTGCTCTCTTGGAGCGCTTTGAACCTTAGTGCTGTTACACTTGGAAGCCCATTTTGACTTAGTTAGTGAGGTTCGTAAGGTGGATTATGGGAGTATCGTGGGATTTTCTGCGCCGCTACGCGATGACAAGGGGGCCCCAAACCTCCTGTGAATCATGAGGAACCAAAGGAAAAGCGCAAACAAGGGCTTATTCTTTAAGTCCTAATAAGGGAAGTGAGTGTTCCGCCCGGGGCCTCGTTTCATGAAAGCTCTTCATCTGTCGAGTTGGGCATCATGGACTTTTTCTGACATGGTCAAGCGCTCTTTGGCGAAAGCGGCGTGACACTGGACAAGCAAGTCGTAGTGGGCCGCAACATAATTCACTGCCCTTGGCATGATGAAGCCATGGAAGGCACAAAGCATGAATTCCTCCCACCCTTGACTCCTTTCCTTTATTCCTCACTCACTAATTCGTCGCATGGCAAAAGATGGCCTTTAGCCTCAAGCTTCTTCCTTCAACATCGATGATGTGGGCAAAAGCAGCTTCATGAAGCCGGGGCAGTCGGCTAATTTGCCTAGTGATGCCGGGGCCAAGCAAGCCAACTTTTGTGGCAACTCTAGTGGCCTGCCAGCTGTTCTTTGAGAACCATTAAACAATCAGAGAGACATTGTGTAGGTCTTGTCTTGTCAGTATCTGATCATTCTGACGTGAGTGCTTGATCTACTGTAGGGGTCCTAAGCTTCAGGAGGCGGAGCTATGCGCCAGCAGCGGGAAAGAGACCACCGGCCTCAGATCGTGAGATCATTGACACATGCACTCCCTGTCTCTGCTGTAGCTGCGGACGAACCCAGATATCCCAGATGCTACCTGTTAGGGGCGCGCACCATGCCTTTGATGGGCAGCTGCACCCCTGCACCCAGACAGAACATGCTCATCGAAGTGGCCCTGCCAAAGAGGCCGTTCGGCTTCTCCTCGGAAACTAAAAGTTCCAAAGAAGGTTCAGCATGCTCCGAGGCGATAAACAAACAAAAGGACCGCGATGCGAGCCACCTTGGAGCTGGCCAGAAGATACGAGTGTAGCTGACCCACCCGCAGCCGGAAGGCCGGGAAGAAGCCTTGGCTTCGAGTCGTAGACATACGCTCGCATATGCTCGCACGTCCAGGTCGGCCGGAGCAACAACTCAGGGACAGGCTGTCAGATTCTTTCTGGACCTTGCCAAAGGTGGCGAAGACCTGCCCGAACACCATGGCCCTTGAAGCAACGCACTGCTGTAGCTGTTCGTCCTGACATGTGAGAAGCCTCGGCCGGAATGCCCTTGCCCTGCTTCTCCAGCCAGGCATTGCATCCCTTCTCGACGTCTGCCGTGACGCTGCTGACCACCGCCAGAAGCCGGGGCGCCCGTGTAAAGTACAGGCCTGGAAGGATCCATTTCAACCCAACTCCTCTCGCCCTTGTTCACAGCCATCAATTGTTCTTGGTCCGGACTCGGAGCCGCAGGGAAAAAAACTTGCTGCAAAAAAAACTAGCAAGTGCCCGAGAAAAAAGAAAAACAAAAGCAGCTTCAAGTTTCGAAACCTTGAGCCCCTGTGTGTTTGTGACCCCTGCCTGCCAGAAGCTCAAGCCAGGCAAGCGCAAGCTGAACCAGCCACGGCAAAACGACCACCAAGACCCTGCTTCCCAGAGGAAGCACTGGGACCTCGGCACAACGAGCTTGCTCAGAAACCTCTCGCGACCGAGCCCTGCACCTCTCCTTGGGAATCTGGGCATGAAGCAGCACCCCGTGTTGCTGTTGCAACTCACAGTTTTGCACAAGCTGCCTGCGACGCGTGCCCATCATGGTCTTCCTGCTGACTACTCAACAACATCCAAGCACGCTGCAATTTGGAAGCTCAGAAGTCAGCTGTGCAACTGTGGAGTCTTGTGCTCTGCTGCTGCGCAGGAAGGCCTGCATGGAGAAGCTCACGTCAGGGAAGCGAGCCTCGGAATTGACAGCAACACGTGGCGGCCCAAAAATTGTAATCATGTAATGATAGATGTTGATAGTCCATTAACTTACTTATCCATATAATCTACATATGTTTATACTTGAACTTTTTACTATGAGGAAAAAACTTATTAATAAGTACTCGAACTGTTGCTACAGCTTTTTATGTATTTTGTATCATGTGTATATATATATATATATATGTGTGTATATATCTCTCTTTATACATACACATATGTATGTATATTATATATCTATCTTTCTTGCTTTCCGTTTGCTCTGCCCACGGCCTTCAAGTCCTTCAGCAGCATGCCTTCTTCACTCCGGTCCCGGAGGCGGCGGCCCAGATCCCAGTCCTGAGCTCATGAAGCAGTTGCAGGCAGTTGCGAGGTCGAAGGGAAGCAAAAAAAGACAAACGGCCAGGCACACACTGTCCGAGCATCGTTCACTTGCAACCCCTATCGGGCCGATAGCGATACTGACGACGACCGAGCGCCACAGCTACTCCGGTTGTTCGCTCGCTTCAGCTCTCGTTTCAGGATATGTGGGACATCGCCGATTCTTTCTCCGGGCGTGTGACTGTACGGGGGCGGAGAGCAGGGACGAAAGCCATCATATATTTGCACGCTCCACCTTTCATACTTGTCGCTACCAACGCACCTATTACCTGCCGTTCCTGTTGTGGGAGGATTCCTCTTAGCCCCTTTTCCGATTCTTTCCTTATCCATCATGCTGGCTCACGCTGGCTCACGCTGGCTCACGCTGGCTCACGCTGGCTCACGCTGGCTCACGCTGGCTCACGCTGGCTCACGCTGGCTCAGTGCGCACGGGCTCCCACGCAGCACACTTTCCACCGAGATGATTGTCATTCAGTCGCTTCGCCAGAGGTGTCGGTTGTCTCATCTGGGTGCCACTCTTGCACCATGCCAGGAAAACCCACCGTTGAATTCACAAATTAGATGCTCAGATTCCCGAATTCCCTGTGCTTGGGGCGAAGGGCTTAGTGGGTTTTAGGGATCAGAAAAGGGAGAAGCCTGAATCGCGTTCTGACACCAAGAAGGTCCAGACCGAGAACGCAGCACTTCCAAGATCTTTCAAAGACTGAAGCCAGACACCGGAGTATCCCCTGAGCACCGTGTGCTCAGGGGGATTATAAGCTTCTGTCAGAGCTTCCAGCGGGTTGTCATCCAAGGAGGAGGGAGGTGCCGGTGCTTCAGAGGGCGACGAGAGGGCGGCGGCCAGATCCACAGCGGCTACCTGGTGGGGTCGCTCTCTTGTTCCCAAGGTTTGGGGGGGGGCAGCTTCGGATTCTGAAGATACTTGTGTAGGCTTTGAATTGCCTCCCTCCTGCTTAGCTGGGGCGAAGTCGCCCGTATTTGGGGCAAAGTGCGAGGAGGCCTACATGTCAGAAAACAGATTGCATGCAGAATGCCTCGGAGCAGATGAGGCCTACCAGATTCAGCACCAAAACGAAGATCAAGGGCACCTGCACCTGGGAAAACTTGTGAAGCCTCTTTCCCGTTTGCGCGCAGCCGCCACTAATTTCTTCTTAGTTTTTTGGGGTGTCTTTAGTACAAGTGGCCAGCCAGCAGTTGAACGCGGATCTTCGCGTCACCAGGCTGCCATAACGGTGTCTCCTCGGGGCGCCAGTGAAGTCTTCAGATTTCGTGGACACACAAGGCTAAGATCGTAAGATCTTCGTCAAGAAGTGCCGCGAAGCTTCTGCATCTGATCCTCCACATGCTCGGGCAGAGCTGCCTGCCGAAAAAAAAGCGTGAGGGGCAGCGGAGGGGGTCCCGAGTCCCCCTAGAACTGTTCTACCACAGACTCTCGGCACGGAGAGAAGCAGGAAAAGCCTTTGCTTCCTCCAGGAAGTTGCTGATTCGGCCAGCGCCTTGGCTCAGTGCGAAAATCTGTGCTCCGCAGTCCCCGCCAAGTCTGAAGTCTGAGTCTGCTGCACTCCACAATTGGTTCGCGCAGGCTGCTGGTGGATGGCACCACAAAATCCGGGACGGACTGCTTCACTTCGTTCTCGTATTCCTGCATATGGGTTTGGTGGTCCAGTCGCAATGAACATCTATGAAGCCGTGAAGCAGACCTCACACATGTCACACTCACTACAAATCCTGCATACGCTTGACCATCATGGCTTGCTCCATCTCCACCATGTCCACCGCTGACTCCAGTGTTTCAATGGGTTCGACCAGCTTGCTGCCATAGCAGTCCACCGGCGCGTCTAGTGATGAAGTGAGCCTGCCTAGCAGCATATCCGAGCACAAATGCCGATGCAATGCAAGGCCCTTTCTTTCGTGCTTGCGTCATCTTGCGTCTTTTGGCCACGTGGCCCACTGCGCCATTCAGCGCGAGGAAGATCCAAGACAACTGATGCGTCCACGCGTAGGCCAGAGCAACAAAGTGAAGAAGCCTCCGTCTTCGTTTGGATTTCGTTTGCAATGTGCCATGAGCAGAGCTCGCGGGCATCTGCCACGCACTGCAAGGCCAGCAACAGCTCTCAAGCTGAGCCACCCTCGCCCCCAGCTATCTTTAGCAGCACATTTGACTTGCATTGCACATTGCAGGCCAGAGGGGCAAGCTGAAGATCGCAGCCATCAGGCTCGCAACATTCGTGTCGATGGGGCCTCGGGATGGGCAATCGGTCGCAAAAGAGAGCTGCTCTCGGTCTACGAGCCTACTACGAGAGCCTACGAGAGTCTACGAGAGTCTACGGGAGTCTGGGCTGTACAGTATTGTACAATGGAACCTCAAGTTGGGCTATGACGGCTATGAGAAACTGCAAGTGCTGTCAAAGTGCTGATGGCGAGCAGGCCTGTCATGACCAAGGCCATCAGGGCAGCTGCACCGGTGTGACGGATCATGGCATTCCGGGAGGGGTCGGTCTCCATCCCCAGCCCCTCCAGCCCCTGCCCAGGCGAAGCGCTTCATGTAACCCATGGCCCATGGCGTCGTTGCCTGACTACTGGTGCGCCCCACCTGCGCTCCACAACTCGATCCCTCCGTAGACTGTGCGGCGTGTCCTTGGCACGGAAAGATGGAAAAAACGGGTTCAGTTGTGTTCAGGCCACACTGGGCGGGCAAGCTCAGAACAGGGCCCGGGAGCGTCCCATCCTCAAGCTCGAGCACGCTGCCAGATCTCTCACCGCTTCCCGGCCTCACTCAATCTCATGAGCAGCGTGGTTAGTTCACAGATGGGCCCCCTGATGGCCTGACGTTTCTCCTCTTTGTTTTTGTCGTTTCCCGGCCTCTCTGGTTGCTCAAGGAGGCTGCTGGTTCGCGCTTGGCGCATCTGTAGATACCTGAGATGAGCGCCGGTGCCGACCCTTGCCAGATGTCTCCTTATCGCTGGATCTCTTGCAGGGTCAGGGACAAATCTTCGCCGCGAAAGTTGCGCACCTCGTCGAGAACTTCCTTGACCCGGTTGTGCGCACGCCCCCCACCCTACAAAGAGGTCTGAGACCTCCTTTATTTGTGACATTTGTGACCATGCGAGAGAACCTTAGAACATGTTCGCGTTTCTGTCCTGAAAGCGTGCCGGCTCTAGGCGCGGGAGGCGGAAGCGTACCTTTGGCACGTTTGCGTGGAGGAGCTCGTTCATCCGCTCTTCCTTGGGAAGCAGATGCATGAAGCTCCATGAGGCTCAGCGCGCAGCTTGGGGGCCGTGGGAGACATCGGAAGAATCAGCGTGGGCAAATTATTAGGATCAAAGCCCGATATAGTCTGGTGAACGAAACGTGCCGGGATTCTGCCTCGCCCAGCTTCGGCTGGCATACCTTGCCGTTTCTCAGAGCTGGGCTGGAAACGCACCTCCCTCCCATATGACATGAACTCCAATTCAGAACATTCGAAGGAAAACGCGAGGGTGCATGTGTCACCCATTTACTCACATGCTCCCGCACCTCGATCTCCTCAAGAGCACGTGCAAGTCGCGCATCAGCCTGGCTATTCCTGGCCAAGAGACTGAAGGAGACTGCATAATCGAGCGACCTCAAGCACACACCTCACCACGAGGCATTTCGCACCAGCGGCATCAGCACGGCACAGCGACGGCACCGCTTTCAGGAGCGCGCTCATGGCTTCAGATTGGCTTCAGCTCTTCACGGCTGCTGGAACGTGGAGATAGCTAGAGAAAAACATGAAAGGTGGCTGCTGCGACCTCGTCTGTCATGTCCGAAAAATGCCGGAAAGCTACACAAGACCGTGGCATGATGAGCCGGAGCACAGCGGGCAGACCCATGAGACATCATGAGACTACCAGGTTCCTGAAAGCAGTCCGCTACTCAGGCGCTCCCACTAGTCACCGCGTTTCAACTTGCAAGAGCACCTGCACCAGGCAACCTAAAGATGCCATAGAGTCTAGGGCAGCCGGACCCAATACTGGGCCGAAGGCATTTCCGAAGCATGGACTTCATCTCCTACCTTGCAGGCACTGTGCGAAGTGGGGGCATTAGAATCTGACCCTTAGGTGGACATCTCAGGAGAAGGCATTCTTGTCAGGATGCCATCCTTTTTGACGCACGAGGCTGCACTCTGACTTCCACATGTATTGCGACAGCGGCGACATCTTGATTGCCGGTGATATTTAGACAAGGCACGTAGCTGCAGTTCTTTGAAAAGCTTCTTCCGGTCCGCACTTGCGGTCATACCTCAAGTAGTCCCAACAAATTTAATTCTCGCCCTGGCTGCCACGACCTCCTGCAAACCCGAACTGTTTTGACACCACAGCCCCCGAAGCCAAGGCATAGATGGCAGAGTCCCACCGGGAACTGCCAAGCCCATGCTTGCTTCATATGTTCAGCACTAGCTGAGGCCTTGACGCCTGACATGTCGGAGGTGCTGGACCTGAGGACCACAAGTTCTAGTGCCGCAAAACCGACGCACCTGGTGAAGCCACGGGGCAGCGGAACTGCCTCACTTTTTGTCACACGTCGCTTTCCTCGCGATTTCATTGTGCTCCCATCTCTGCCGGTCTTGTAGCGATGGCCCTTTTGGAGGCGTTTTGGTCGGCTGCTGCTTGACTCGCTTGTGCGCATCTCGGTGATCCTCACGGTCGGCTACCGCGAGCTGGAAGCCCAAGGCGACCTGCAGCACGAATAGCAAGTTGGCTCGCGCTACACATAATGCACGACACGTGGATGCACTGAGAATCTTCATGAGTCTGTTCTTTCTGTTGTTTCATGTCGAAGCAAAAGTCGACTAAACTAGGCCACGATCCTGCGTACAACCCTGCACCTGCTCAGCAAGCACATCGCCAGCAGCATTTTCACGGACGAACTCGTTGTTCCTTGATGTACCTAGCATTGTCAGCGAACCACTATTTGACATCTCAGGTGTCTGCTCTCCGCCATGGTCGGACGACGGCGACTCAGTCTTCGATGCATGTCGCGAGAGAGAACAACAAGCGTGATGGCTCTTCTGGGGCAAACTTCAAGAATCCCATAATTTAGTTGATGCAAGTTCTTAATCTGCCGAGGCCTTGGGTCGTAGGTGTTTGGGTATAGCATAAAGGGGGTTGTGGAGGGGCTAACGACAGGGGATGGAGGTTTGGGGGGGAGGGGTAGGGGGTAGGGGGTAAAGGGGGGGTGGAGCAGCAGGCAAGGGTGGCAAGAGGGTGGGTGGAGAGCGAGGGAAGCGACGCGGGCAGCAGTACTTTCCAAATCAAAACTCAAGTTCTGCCCGAGCTGCGAGGGCAGTCTCCCATCTCTTCCATCACTCTGCCACATCTTTGAGTGGAAGGGTGGACGCAAAGACTCTCTGCATAAAATCACCTCGTCTCACAGCATGGCACCATGCAGGAGCGACAGATACCGACCGGCGGCTATCATTTTTGCAGCCACGGCGCTCGTAGGAGCTCCCTGGAAGCAGTGGAAGGCAAAACCCAGCGAGACCAGCCGATCGAAGAATGCCAGGTGGGCCAAGTGGTACACGGGTGTCCCCCATCCACTCCGCAAGTTTCCTCCTGGACATGCTTGGGGTTGCCACAGGTGAAGTGTTGAAGGCTTTAATGGATGCCCGGGGCCTTTGTCTGCCGTGTCCAGCAAGCAGCACGCGGCCTCGATCATCATGGTGGCTGTCCCCTCGTACCTGAGCGAACTCTGAGTCATTGCAGTCACGGCATGATCTTCTGCCGGGTCGCCGGTCCCCCACGCCGCCAGGCCCTGAGACGGCCCAGTCTCCCATGACATGGTTGTGAGATGTAACAGGGAGGCTCGATTCCGGGCCTGCATTCATAACAATGTGCATCTTTGGCTCATTTGCAAGGTCTGCCACACCAACGAAGACCTGAGGATCCACTTTCCACACCGAGGCAACAGATCTGGACATGCGAAGACATGTAAAGAAAGACCGCAACCGACAGCAAAGCCGGGCCTTCGTCACAAAGGTCTCCTGTCTTATCCTCTCCTCCCAGGTTTCTGGCAAGATGGTCTTGCGGTCTTCATACTGACCTGCATGAACCTGGCTCCTTATTTGGATCAGGACCCCCGCTACGAAGGCTCCAAACGCCGCATCCCGCAGCACACACCATGTGCAAGTATCAACCTGCTGGGGAAGCCTGTGCCCTCTCAAAATCTTGACTACTTGTCATTCAGAGCAAACTGTGCGGAGTCCTTCGGGCCCCAGCCAGGGGGTGGGATCTTCTTGGCTTCCACCATCAGGCTGTGACCAAGACCGCCGCCCAAGCTAACGCCTATCCTTATGCGGTCATGCTACGAACACCCACGCAGGACTTTTCCCGAGACAGGCATCATATGATGCATCCACACACGAGGATGATGCCATGACTCCTGATGTTCGGGAAGGTGCAGCCAAGCCTCCCCGACAGTCGCGAGGCCTGTGCGCTCTCCTGCTTAGTCATCCTGGGCACGCCATCTGACCAGCAGAACATCACAGAACCCAAGCACAATGGACCTACTCAAGGGCCACTGCAGCCAAGAGCACTCTTCAGGCCTTTTGTCCACTACCAGAAACCAATCCTGCGCATTCCAGCCCCTCCCCCACGCCCTGCCCCGCTGCAGGCATATACCATCAGCGTCTACCAGCGTCGGTCAGCATTTACCAGCATCTACCAGCCCCGCTATCCCGAAAGGCTCCCCAGCCTTGAAGAGGAAGTTTTGGCCGTACCGTGACTCAGGTTCCAAAGTCTCCATCAAGCCGCAAGTTCCTCGAACCTGCGAGGGACATCACAATGACGAGGCTGGCTCGCCTGCGTCCTTTCTATGCTTCTATGTCGCCCTTCTGCAGCTCAGGCACCACCTGTCGATCCACATTCAAGCCCGGGTAGGCGATCATGGATGAGTTCCTGAGACCGGCACGGCTTTTCTAGCCAGAGTCACGAGAACATGCACAGTCTGTGAGTCTGCGAGGGTCTCATCTTTGTGGGGTGGATCTGCGCGATCTTCGGTCCGCACGCCGCACGGCCGCACCCCTCCAAGCACAAAGGGAGCTCCGGCCGCGTTCAAGTCCTGGCTCAAAGCCAGACCTAGGGGCAACTTTAACTGCAGCGCGACGGCATCGTCCTTGAATGTTGTCTTTGTTCCAGTGAGTAGACTGGTGCCACTCATCACAAAACCTGGCAGGGATCATGCAGCAACTTGCCAGACATGTCAAGATTGCAAACGTGTCTGAGGCCTTGGGTGTAGGTATAGACGTCCACCTTCTTGGTGTCACTGCCAAGCTCTTCCCGGATCTCACGGACCAGCCGCCATACCTTGAATTGAAATGCCTCTGGAATCGTTATGACAGGTGACACTCCAGCCAGGCTTCTCCGAAGTCGGTGGGGACAGAGACATAGCCAGCATGAAGAAGAAGGCACACTCCCGCTGCCTCTCAGCCCACTCAAGGACGGACCACAAGCATTGTGAAAACCAAGGCCTTCGCCGAAGAGTCCAGCGCATCCTAAGTACCAGCAATGAATGATGCCGGATGCTCACATCTCATCTCTGCTGCTAGAACGTCAAGGCATTTAAGCCCTCAGCCGCCCACCTTAACCTCCTTGGAAAAGAGAATGTCGCCCGTGTTGTCCTTTGGCATCCAGCAGGCATTGGGCGAAAAGCAAAGCTTCTACAGCCAGCCGAAAAGATACGCGAGATGCATTGAAACGCAGCAGCAACCATGAATGCGAAGACTCTATCAGATGCGTGCCGGTCTTGACACAGGCCTGCAGGATTGCACAGCAGATCAAGCCAATCCGTGACAGCTCTGCTCGTGATGCCCTTGCCTGGGCCACGGCCACCCCAACATCGTGAGACGGCCCAGTGCAGTCTAACACCACTCGTGCAGTTCCCACCACCCGCTCCAAGTCCTGAGGAGCCGGCAGCAAGCCCTGGTTCAAAGCTCAGCACGCGGCCCTTGCATTGTGCAGCATAGCAGCTTGGCGACTCTCAACGCGCAAGGAGCGCTGGAACGAGCTGTCTCGCCCAAACTTGTGCTCCAGCAGCCTTATGTGACAACCTTCGACACATGAGGATCCATATGATCCATCAACCCCTACTTTAGGCAAGAGGCTGCAACCTACGCCCGCTGCGACCAGCGATGGCCCAAGAGCGGCCTCGCGGCGAGCGCTGCATCACCTCAGACTCGTGCTTCCAGAATCTTCCAGGGGAGATCCCTCCGTCAAGATGTTCCTAATTTGTCGAGCAGTTGCTTGGTAGGTTCTGGAAAATAAAACAACACGAGTACTGGGGTGGATGGGCTTGTGTGGCAGAACAAACTCAAAACAAGAGCAAGTACCAGAATCCCACAACTGCGCATCTGAATGGTGGAGCTTGCAGAGCTTAATTTCTGTCCAAGCGCCATGCAGGCCAGCGTGCCCGTGATACCTCGGATGAAGCACATAGGGCGGAATTTCCTCACACTCTGCAAACATGCCTCGAAATGCCCCTCAGCACATGTTCAGAATTGTTCAGCTTTGGCGCCCGTGGCTCCCAGGATGAGAAGGTCAATCCGTGGATCTGGCAGTTTGGATGGGATGGAGATCGACTCCACCTCCTGGTCGGGCTCGATTTCGCCATAGATCTCCTCCCAGTCTGACCTGAGAAATGAAGCTTAAAGCCGTGTTTTTTCCAGCTGAGAAAGTTCAGCAAGGTTTCACGAAAGCGGGCAATGCACCCATCATCAGGCGCACAGGCGTGTACATGCGCGCACGTGGTCGTTCATCTGCTCAAGACTGGGACATTGCGATTGGGGCGCGGGCCACCATGCCACGTTAACCGTTGGCGTAAGGAAGCCGTGGGCCTCATTGAAGGCACGACGCTGGTAGGGATCGAGCAAGAAGTCTTTCGCTTGCGTGAGCTGCTGGAACCTGAAGGGGATCAGGATCGACATGGGCATGGGTGAGTGGCGCTTCACTGTTGCAGGCCCTCAGTACAATACAATCCTTCTGACAGACGGGCAGAGCTTCGCAACGCTTCCGCGGATTAAATGGAGAAGCGCTGCCAGAGCAGGGCCAGAGGCCCGTCACCATGCCACAGGTGCGCGCGAGATTCTCCGTTGGCTTTGGTCTTCTCTGGACGACTGACTCACTGACTAAAAGCGGTTGCTTGAAGTCCCTATCCCTCTCTTCCGACGGACCTTCCGCAAGCCTTCCGTGGAACATCACGCCTGCCTCGAACCTTGCCTTCCGTAGCCATTCCTACGGCATGTTTCGCTGCAAGAAAGATCCCGACACCGAAGCAGACTGCTAACAACGCCACTGCGCCGCTCACATGTCTCACATGTTTCCATCGGGGCAGGCAGGGCCTTGGGCGTAAACACACACGCGGTCGCTGATTAAATGTACAGCGGCTGAGGCTACTGACATACGCGACTAACAAAGGGGTTTCCAGAAAATAGGGGTACCTGTTTTGGGGGTTCCTGTACTAAGGATTCTACTAATATCTACTAATTTGGGGGGGATAGTAAGGAAGGATAGCCCTGCTTGAAAAAACACCCATATGTTTTCCGAAGCATCGTCCTGCTTGCAGCAGCCGGATCTCCTGGAAGAGCGGGGTCCAATTCAGCCGTGCAATTGCTTTCCCTCCCCCCTCGTTTTCATGAAAGGCTCCTGGGCAACGATCTGGGTGCACCCTGAGCGAAAGCTTGCGGAAGGTGGATTTGATGGTGGCATCTGTTGCATCGTAGGGAATTCCGAACAGCTGATAGGGATCTGTGCGGTAGGCGTCAAACTCCTGCACGTCCGCGAGCCACTGACCAGCACTGGTGTCGCCATCCTTGGACTCCTGATGGCCCATGCCAGCTGCCACCGGTGCCGCTACCAGCTGCACAGAAGCATCGTAGACCTCTGAGGCCTCTGAGAAAGGTGGGCATGTCTGCAACAAGTCCATGTCTGCCAGGAGCCGGAACAGTTCCAATTCAGTGGCCGCTTTCATAGGTTGGACGTCATTCCGGAAACCTTACATGGATGGTATGCTGGTCCATCGAGACGAAGTTCTGTTGAGGACGCATACAACCAAGACAAAGTCAACTGAATCGAGCGTGAGCGACACGCGTCCTCCAGCTCCCCTCTGCTTGGCAGACAGACGCGCTGTGCCAGGGATTTTCCCTTCAATGCAATGCTCACCTGGCGAGACTCAGTACCCCAATCCAACCCCTTTTCACAGCTCAGGCCCAAGCCATCCAACCAATTCCAACCATGCCCACTCTACAAAATCCCTTGCCAAACTTGCCAAACTTGCCAGGCCACCCAACCCTCCTCTGGTCCTGAGCCAGCCAAAAGCCGGTAGTGCAGCCGCCCTGCCAACAGCTGCACCTCCTGTTGAACTGCCCCGAACTGCGTTGTCTGTGCATCAATGACCCAGGTACATGCACACCTTAACGCTGTAACGTGTCCCGCTGACCCGCTAAGTACTTTTGTCTAGGCCTACGGCCCAACTGCAATCCTAAGAAAGTAACTTTCCGGCATGGTGACGCCTGAAAGCGACGAGTGCATAAAAAGCTCTGCGGCCAGTCTTAAGACCGTTGAGGATGCAGTCAATGCAGTCCTCGATCAGGGCACCCGTCGTCAGACGACGCGGTGCCTGTGCTCACAGCAGTCCTGAAAAACCCACCCAACCCTGCAGTCCGATTAAGACAAGTTCGCCTCGCAAGAATCCAGGGCACGGCCCTCTCGAACGAGGAGGCCACCTTTGCCTTGACCTGGCCAGTACTACATTCAATCCAAGACATCCCGGAAGGAGGCATCGCACGCACCTCACCCGCACCCAGGCCAGAAATCTCAAATCCTCCCCGTTCCTGCCTCCAGTGACCTGCCAAAGATTCGCCATCGTCTGAAACCATGGCGCCACCAAGGGATTTTTGCCACCTGCCTAGCAGCCTCAAACACTGCAGGCGAACCATGTCTGGTCTGTGTGTCGTAGAATGGCTGAAGCCTCACACTACGTGGGGTCGCCATGGAAGCCAGACGACATACTCCGACGCCCAGACCACTGCCAACACCATTAAGAGCCAGGGATTGACACCAGCTTTGCATCTTTGAGATCGTGAATTCGAGCCATGGTGAGAGACACTCAGGGCACTCTGTGAAGTTTTGCCACCTGCACTGCACATGCCGAAGCACCCGCAATTCAAGGGCTCTTAACCGAGTTGGCGGCAAACTCCTGTGCATTGGTCTCCTTGTCCAGGATGCCGTAGTCTACTTCCAAATTCGGAGCCGTGTCCGCTGGTGTGCCTGAATGCACATGCACAGGTTCCAGCATGAAAGCATGTGTGGACCTGGGTTAAGGAGGCTGGACGGACTCGACTAATCAGCTACATAAGCCAATGCAAACTACTCCCACATTGCACAAGAACCACGCGGGTAGCTGCAGCTATTCGCGGAGGGTGTCTTTCTGGCAATCGTCACGGTTCCGTTACACTTGCGGCCAGCAGACAGGGGCGTTCACACTGACCGTGGCCTGGCAAGTCGAAGTACCCATGCCAGCATGTAGCCTATGGAGACTCGTGGCATCGTTTAGTGATGCAAGCCACTACCTTGCAGCAGCTTAGCTTGGTTCTAGAGAGGCACACCCACAGTCCAAGCCCAAACGCGCAACCACGTGCTACTTTCGGAGAGGCCTGGAAACGAGGGCACAAAGCCACCTCAGCAAAGGTGCACGACAAGCGCCCCTCTCTGGCATGATACGATGGTGTTCGGAGTCGGAGCGTTTGCGAATGCATTCAGAAGACATTTAAAAAGGTCAAACTGGGAGGAGGCCTAAGAAGCTTCGGCGGAGGCCGCGCTTGCACTGCTCAGGTCTCCACGCTGGGAGGCTGGAGGCCTCGGCCGGAAGGGGACCTCACAAGAGGGACTCGAAAAAGCTTGGATTGAAGCATTGTACGTATGATATGTCAAGAAGCTCCGCGGCATAAGCTTGAGCCGCGCTTGAGCCCCCCTTCCCACACTGGCAAGCACAACACCGAACCACGGTTCACGCCTTTTTGTTTTGCGCAGAGCGCGGTCTTGGTTAAGAGCTTTGTGGCTCCCTTGTCTCTGAGCGGGAGCCTCTCTGATCCGGCATCCCCGCATGTCTGCTGAACGCTTTCTTGCTCGCCATCCCGAAGGTCGAGGCCCGACACTTTGGCAACGGTGCAAAGCCTCATCTCATTTCGGTTGAGGCTGCTCCTGCCTCTACTGAGCTGCTGTCTCTGTGTCCCGTCGAGCCTAGAACGGGGAGACCGCTCGTCACATGACAGACAGCGCCAGATAAGCCGCGCTCACGACTCCAAGCGGGCTCTCCGGGTGCAGGTCTCACTTTGCAGCCTGCACAGCGGGCGCCGCTGCCGCTGCTTTGGTGCTCTTCCAGTTCCTCCCAAACCGCAAGTTTGCAACTGACGCTTTTGGTGCTTCTCTCAAAACCAGCAGTACTCCCTCAGCTCCCGCCTGTACATCATGAAGGCTGCACCCCAGATGATGGGATTTCCAGACACCTGACGAAGATTCAGATAGAACATGACCAGAATACACCCGTGCCTGAGATGCCACAGCCCTTCAGAGGATCCCCTTCAATCAGCGCCGCACCAGCAGCAAGCCACCACCGCCAATGTACCCCACCTTAGAAGGGCATGGCTCCAATCACACGCATACACAGCAAGCAAGAGAGAGAGAGAGACAGAAGGGCCCACAAGTGCACTAAGACATCGCGGTGGCAGCTCAGCGCCACTGAGCGCTGAGCCGTCTGAAAGAGTGGGATAAAATCCCTCCAAGTGGTTGCCTGCAGCTTCGATGTTTCTCCAAAGTCCACGGCAACATTGGGTTCTTCAAACGCTTCTTGGGTGGGTCGACAAGCTGGCGGGGCACCTTTGCTTCTTCCAGCTGGGCCGCCATGATGTGAGGCGCAAAGATGGCGACCTGAGAAGGAGCCAAAACTGGTTAGGTCAAAGGGCGGACAGACAAAAGCAGCCTAACAGCAGCCCAGAAAAACAGCCCAACAGCCCAGCATACAAGGACTCCGCAACGTGTGCACTGCCCACACACTCTTTGGTCTCAGCACGCAGATTGCAACGTTTATGAGCGACTCATGGAGCCCCTTCAGGGCGCCGAAAAGTGCGGAGAGGTGACTTCATCCTTTGCGTCAGCGCATGTGGTGTGTTGCTAGATGTTGCTCGTCACCCCCGCTTTCTTGGCAGCGAATTCCGTGAGCCACCTCAGGGCCTTGCCTGAACCTACTTGCTTTTCAGACTTCAGAACCCCTAAAACTTCAAGAAGAGCCCTTCAATCATTAAACCCTCTTCCTCAGGCGCAGCCGGCTTGGGGGGAGGCCCTCGTCTTCGAGATCGGTACTCGGGTGGTCCACTTTAGTGGGGGAATTTAGAAGTTGTGCAATTGGCACCAAGGACCCACCGTGCTCCATCCCACCGGTGTTTGAAGAATGTAGCATGCCGACTCTTCCTTCCGCCCGGGATGGAACCTCTGTAGCCAACACCTTCTGTGCCAGATCATGTGGGAACCTTGTGGGCGCCTATGCAAGGTCATTTGCTGATTCTAAGCCCGCCCGTGCCACGTGGCAGGGTAGGGAATGACATCTAATGCGCCTCACACTGTGTGCGGCCCAGGACAAACACTACTGACTTATTTCTATCCCAAAAGCGACATATAGCGACATACCGATATAGCAAGCGCGCCAGGATCTTGAGAACTAGGGTATAGGGCACGAGACTACTAGCTTCACACAGGTTGGGCTCTCCTGTTTCAAAGCCAACGGAGGAGCACCCGTACATTCAAGCAGGCTGATGTCCATCCACAGGGAAGCTACACTGTAGTTACTACGGGGCATTGGGGTCGACGCCTGAAGCTCCAGAAATGCGCAAATCTGCCCCCCGACTGACTTCCGTGCATTGGCCGGTGCACTCCGTGCATGGCCACATGGAGAATGGAGCCCGCCATTTTAGCTACTTTGGACTGGGAAACCAATCCTATTCTGCGCGGCCTCTCTGAGCCTTGCTACAGGCATGGAGAGCTACGGGCACAGAGAGAGCATGTGAATTTCACACCCTGCTGTGCTTTGGCTTCGGTTCGACAAATCTTTCAGGTCTCTGCCGTGGAGGAGGTGAACAGCAGCGTTCTGCCAGAGAAAACGGCTGGCTGCCATCCGTGTTCTGTGGTGGGCCGCGCGCCATTGGCCGCGGAGCATCGGGAACGAAAGTCTCAAGGTGCCCATTCTGCCCTTGAGCCACACGCTCCAGGTACAATGCTGTCTCCCGCAAACTCCTGATGTGCGCTTGCAGGGCAGCAGTATCTCCCGAGAAAGGGAGACCAGCTGGGTGACCAGCTGCCTCAAGCGGTTTGCCAGGGGTCAGGCTCAGGTCCGGCCGGTCCGGCTCACCGTCGGTTTGCGTGGCCACAGATCTCGAATATGACGAAACGGCGCTGGACTGGCTGTCCGTAATCTTCATTGACCCTCCCATCGTGGACTTTCTGATGTCATGTCGAACCTTGTCAATCTTTTCATCCAGTGATTGCACATAGTGCTTCATGTCCTTCATCTGGCTGCGAAGGAAGAGCAGGCTTAGAGTAGTGTCCTGTGATCTCATCTTCACCACCTGCTCAACAAACTCTTCATATTGAATATCACCAGAACCATCCTCATCCAGGACCCGGAATAGAGACTGCATGTCCTCTCTCTCCACATCCATCAGACGCATCTGCTCCTGGAACTCAGGCAACTTGTCGTAGCCCTCCAGCAGCTCCTCGAAAGACAAGGACCCGCTGTTGTCGTCATCCAAGAGCTGGCACAAATGCAGAAGACTCCGCTTCGCCATCTCGAAGGCTGCCTGCCGCTGCGTGAGCTGGAACTTGATGTCTTCCTGCTGAGCTTGATGGGCTTTATCAACGATGACGGACAAGATCCTTGCAGCGCCCGGAATTTCAAAGGAAGTAAGTTTAAAAACTTGCTAACTCTGAAGTTCTTAAACTCGTAGACTCAGTTTGCACAAAAACGGCGTCCCAACATCAGTGCTCAAACTCCCAGCGTTCTCCAAGAAACAGGTTGAGAAGGCCCAAGTCAATTGTTATGAAGACCATGGCGAAGTAGGGGGTCGTTAGTGGGTACCGCTCCATGATTGGAATAGTTACCCTTCCCCACGAATCCCCAGCAACAATCTGCTGCCAGAACGTAAGGGCTGACATCCAGACAGTTTCGAACGCGCGAGGGCACCGCTCACAGTCTCCGTAGACCCCTTCCTTGTGCAGCGCCTGGGCCAAAGGATGCACCATCTCAACCGCCACGATACCCAATATGAGCAGCATAACGAGCCTGAATTGCAGGGTCCGAGGAAGTAGGTTACTAAACTTGCTAAACTCTGAAGTTTCGAATTAAACTTGTAGACTCAGTTTGCACAAAAACGGCGTCCCAACACCAGTGCTCCAACTTCCTGCGTTCTCCAAGAAACAGCAGTACCGCGGCCCAGCCAATGGCCTTCAAGGCATTTAGGAAGCCATAGAGCATGATGTAGAGCTCGCGAAACAGGTGAAGGGTGCGGATACTTCGCAAAACTCGAAGCGCCCGAATGACTCGTAAGGCCTTGAAGAAATCCGAGTCGGGAATGGCATCTCCAGTCACTGTCCAATTGATGATCTGCAGGCTCCAGTCGGAAGCCAGGATGAAGGCGTCCAGCAAGTTCCAGTAGGACCGGAAAAAATCACACCGGAATGCATAGAGCCGAAGCAAGGCTTCCACCGTGTAGAGGATCAGAAACACAACATTGGCCAAATCGATCGAGGAATCAGATGGCATGCCCAAGCCTGATTGGTTCGTTTGGTGCACGATAAGGCCAATGTTGACCATCACCAAGATCCCGATCACCATGTCGAAATACATGCTAGTCAACAAGGTGGCTATGAACACTCGGCGCCAGGACCATTCCTTTGGGTAACTCGCCGCCTGTGAGATGCTGCCCTGTATACCACTTGGGCCCTCGGATTCTATTCTGCTCAAGCTCGGATTGAGCTCCGGGTTGTCCAGTGCGAGGTCCAGTCCAAGCGCAAAGGAGGCCTGCGTCTGCAGCTGCGGTGGCACATCATCTGGCTTTATCATGGCGTTGCTGAAGCCCGTCGCATCAGCTAGGGGGGGAGGGGGCTACAATGGGCTTCGGCTTGAGCCCCCTGTGACAATCGAAGCGAGTTTGCAAAGCAATTCTCGGCTGGCAAACATTGACAGTGCACGGTGTATTGTAGGAAGCCTCCAACAGGCACACGGACAATGTCGATTATTCTACGCGAGCAGCGGCAACCACTTGACAAGACTTCCCTACAGATCCGATGGCTTAGGGTTTAAGCGATTTTAAGCGATCGGGGGTCTCTCGGCACATGATCGATGCTCGGCACTCTCATGCGGCCCCACAGAATTTCGGCGTTCGGGGCCTGGCCGCTTGACCTCCCTGAACCTCACTAAGCCTCGCATGGCTTTGCTCAACCTCGCTTGGCCCAGGTCGCGCTGCCGCCGCAATCGCTTATCGCTATGGGCAGAAGGGTTCTGGGTTTAAGGAGTTTGAAGGGTGCAGCGTTCAGGCTGCGTCTCGGATGCTCGTGATGGGACGTCAGCGCAATGTGCGGGGATCTCTGGAGATCTAGGGCTGCCTTGGGCTGTGACACTTCAGTGTGCGCCTCTGCACCCCCTTTAGGAGATTTCTGGGCCTCCAAGTGCATGGAAGTGCCGGGGCACCCCACTCGACCCTCGCTTGACTGGGCAGATTTCCGCACGAACCGGGTGCTGCCGCAATTGGTTCTTCTCTGTTGATCTGCACTGGCTATGCCTTCCCTTTTGCATGCGTCCGTTCGGCTGAGAACTTGGTTCGAGGCCATCAGGCGATCCCACACGAATGTGCCCACTAGCGACAGCAACAGGCAGTAGATGACCTTACGAGGAGGTGCACAATAATTTGCCTGATGGATGCTGAAGGGGACCCTGTGGCTGACCCGCCTTCATCCGCAGTTCTTCAGGAACTACTTCGAGGTTCAAGAGGTCGTTGAGCCAGGGCAAAATCCCCCAGGCGCACACGGCGACCTTGCACACTAGCGTATACAGTACCCTGCGGTCCGCGGCAACACATGTACGCGTGTGCACGTCTCTGCATGCACGCTTGCAATCTGTTGGGCTTGGCAAATCTCGCGCTCGAGCACCTCCCTGATAAGAGCAGGACCATGCCAATACACGAGAACAGCGACAAGAACAACCTCAGAATCTGTGGCTGGCTCGTACGCACACTGACAAGTCTCTGGCAGAACTCCAACACAATGTTTGGAACGTGGATTTTAAAAGTGGGAAGTAACATAACAACACCGCACCACTACGCTCCCAACCACAGTGATGCAATGCACGGCCGTTCTTGTGAATTTGCACCGATCGGGCAGGATTGTCCCGCTCGACAGCGTGTGACGGCGGGCGCGCACCCTGCGCCCGCTGACTCTCTGCGGGCTTCTTCTGAGGGCACTCCCGACGCTCTGCTAGAAAGGAAGCCATGAAGGGAGATACCAACCACCCTCACCCACGGGGTACAACCAGCTGCTGGGAGGCGCCTTCACGCCCCCGCTACATTCTGCCACTGCTCTTGTCAAAAAAAATCGTGTGGCGCCCCTGCATGGGATTGTGTACCCAGGAATGCTGACATTTGCTGACATTTGCGTTGCCCTTCCACAAGATCCGCTATGCAGGTCTATGCAGTCTTGCCGCGGCTGGTTCTCCAGCAGCCCCTTCATCCACGGTCTGCCTCCAGAGAGCACATGTTGGCGTCTTGAGAAGCTTGCATGCCGCACCGGGCCTTTGTAGTTCACAAAGATGACAGACACCTCCCGAAATCTCCAGAGGTTGAGTAAAAGCCGGATGCTGACTGCCCCGGGCCTGCTGGGCAGTCTCAACCAACCAGCAGCAGGTGTTCAGCAGGTTATTCCTTGGCCAGGTTTGCCAGATTGGGCTTGGGGAACGAGCATCCAGTTGCTGCTTCCTCCGCTTACAGATGCTTACAAAGCCTCAGGCCGACTGAACAAGTCCAAGCGGCTTGAAGGGGACAGAGCTGAACCAATTCCACTCTGACATTTCCTCCTTCATGGGGGCCAAACTGGCTATGCAACGATCCGTCTCTCAGCTGCCCTCCCGGCTACGAAACAAGAATGGTGCTTCTGAGTATGTGATAGTATGTGCAGAGGGACTCTAACAGCCCGGGCCTCAGTGAGGGCTGCGATGCGCTTGTCACGCTCCTGCTGACGAAGCACATGTTGTCATGTAGAGTCGGCTAGGGTCAGCCATGAAGAGCAAAACCGAGACAGTGCAGAAGGGAGACGGGCAGCTCAGGTTAGCTTTCCGGCTTTCTCAGGGCTGGATCTGAGAAAAGCAGTTCCTTCTCGAACTCGATGACCTCCCTGACACCCTCTTCGCCCATGATCTCTTTCGCCAAGTTGGCGATGTAGACCATGCAGAAGAGGTGAATCAACAGCTGGCCCATCATGCCTGCTGCAACGGCTGTCCCCCTGGCTTTTTCCCACAAAAACTTAAATTTTGTCACTGTATGCCAAGTTGCTGAGGAGATTTGCAGGATGGAACACAGAGGACAGGGGCCGAACTCGGTGCATGCGGTCGACGGGCTTTGCGAAGGAAAAGGCGAGCGAAGCGACGCCAATCATGGTTCCACTCGCCATCATCTGCGGCTCAGACGGGCGGGTGCCGTCCACAGACATTGTTGACATCGTGTACGCTGCAATCATGGATTCCAGCATCATGATCTGCATCTGCTGCACTGCAGACAGTAACGTGCAGCGACCCTGGCGGATAATGTCCACCACGGAGGATATGGAGGGCGTCCTCGAGGTGAAAGGCGCCGCGGTCGAGGCATCACCCAGCTGCACCATGGGGGTGTCCTCCATGGAATCAAGGCCCTCGGCCCACTTGGCTGCACCGGCTGCAAAGGCGTTGCCGTGCTTCTTCTGCTGCAGCTCCTGCTCCTTCTTCATCTCGCTCTGAAGGCGGCCCATGACGGTCTTCATGGCTGCGAACTGGGCCATGACCCCTACGTCTTCGCCGGCCTGCCGTCGCCTTTCGAGCTCCTCTTGAATCCACTCCTGCTGCTTGCCAACTAAGTCCTTCTTCTTCCGCTCAAGCTCCACCTTGGACTTCTGCATGATCTCCTGGGCTTTTGCGGTGTTCTCCCGCCGGATGGCTTCGAGCTGGTCTTCCGCCTTGCCCTCCTGGGGCTTGTCATCGTTGTCCGACTTCGACGCATCAACGTTGGCATTGCCAAAACCGCTCAGCAGAGCGAGACCGACGTCGGCCTCCTTCAGGGCACCCACGTCATTCCCACCATCACCACACATGAAGGAGAAGCTCTTCTCGCTCTTTCGTACAGCTTGGATGACCTGCTCCTTTTGGAAGGGCGACATTCGGGCGAAAATCCCCACAGAGCTCAGCTGTGACTGGAACTTTTCACCAAAGCCTTGCCATGCTTTTTCCAGCGGGGCGCCCGTGATTATCAAATCACGTGCCTGGCTGAGTGCCGTGACGCCAGTGGCATCGAAGGGCACGGGCTCGGCTGTGCTGCCATTTGAAGTGATGGCCGGACGCCACTCTAGATCACCGTCCTCTTTTTCTGCTAAGACTAACGCCTTCTCAGGCGAATGCTGAGCGATGCCTACTTCAACGGCGACACTCAGGGCCGTCAACGGCGCATCACCTGTTAGCATGACGCAGGCATGGCTTGAGTCCTGCAGGGATCGGACGACCAGCATCGAGTCCTTTCGCGTCTCACACTTGAAAGCGATGAAACCTCCGAAAGTTAGCTGGCGCTCGATCTCGGAACGCGGCCGATTGGCCGCATCTGAGGCATCACCCGTCAGGCGTGTGTATGCCAAAGCTAGTACCCGCTGACCTTGCTCAGCCATGCGCTTGTAGGCCGCTTCGTACCAGCCTGGCTTCTCCACCAATAGTTCGCCGATGGCTTCGGGGGAGCCTTTGACCAAGCTGTACATCCCATTCTGGCATTTCCCATCGGACGACGTGACTTTGCAAATCGTGCTCATCCTTTGCAGATCGGACGAGAAGTGGAAGCGGTGCTTGATCGCTACGGACAGCTTGCTTGCTTCTAGTCTGTCCTGCTTGAGGGTCCTTAGCTGTCCGACTCCCTGATGACAAGACTGCAGTTACGAGTCATGAGCATTCAGCAGAGTCCCCTGTAGAACACAGAAGTGAAGTGCCCAAAGTGCTTGCTGAAGGCAAGGCTCTTCTCCAGCTCAGCTATCTTCTTCGTGATCTCTTCCTTCTCCTTCTTGTCTGACTCTATCTCATCTTTCAGGCTTCCCATAAACTCCTTTTGTCGCGCAATGGTGATCTCTTTGGCTCTCCAATTGGATGGCGAGGCCGTGCTGTTGCTTGGTTGATAGCTCCAACCAATGCCTCTCAATGCAGCTACCTCGATGGGATCACCCAACAGCTTGTTGTCCACCTCTATCCTAAGTCAGCGAATGCAGCAGCAAGCACAAGAATCCGTAGCCTGCCATGTAGCCCGAATTCCGAAAAAGCCCTTTATGGCCAGAAGAGGTCCGGAATCCCAAAAGCTTCGATTCTTAGCAATGGCTTCTTTGTAGAAAGGAGCACGGCAAGCTGTCCGCAACACAGTCTTATGCGCTAAGGGACAGGGAGTGGCAACCGGCCAGGATGACACAAGCCATCGTAGACGCCTCACTAACGGCCGTGGCCTTTGGCACGGGCTCTTTCGAAGCGCCAGCGCTAACCATCCCTACAGCCACCATCTGATCCGAGGTGAGAGTGCCAGTCCTTGACACAGAGGAACAGATGAGACAAGCACAAGGGAACAGGAACCGGCTTCCCAGCCAGAAACACCTACGCCGCTGGCCCCCCAGTGTCGCTCTAGCCGCTGCTCGCTAGCCGTAAGCTAATTGCACCAGGACAGACCGAGTCTCTTGTCAAAGAAGCAGTGGGAGACTCGTCCAGCAAAGGGCACCCGGAAGGGTTCAGTGCAGTAAATTCCAGCTTTCAGCAGGCTCATCAGGGCTGTGTTTACAGCGAAGGCCATCTGCATGGGAAGCGAAGGTGGCACGACTGACGTGATGATCTGCGTACACCGGATCAGGGTCTTGTATGTCGGTCGCGTGGGGTCCTTGAGCGCTGCGTTCATGACGTAGCCGGCCGCAGCCAAGGCAAAAACTAGAAGGAACATGAGCTGCAGCGCGGTCTCTACTGTGTCAGCGCTGACATTTTCAGTTGAGAACTCGATCATGCGCATCAACTCGCCCTGGGAGGAGTTGAAGCCAGTTCGGAGGACGAAGCATACGATGCCGTCATCCGGTGGGCTGCTTGCGTCCTTCATGTCCCCATCTGACTTCTTCTTGCTTCTTTCGGGAGCAGTGGTCTGGATGAGAGCTGTTCCGCTAAACAGCGCATGTATCCTCGGAATCATGGGAACACGGCTTGCAACCGCAATGAAATCTTTACGCGCGATGCAACATTCTGCAAGTAGCTGCCCCCCCCCCCACCCGGCCTGTGCTTTCCGAAGCAATCCACGACCAAGTTGGAATCTGTGCCCGCGCCCATTGCGTCTTTCATCTGTGGCACAGATTCGCCTGAAGCAAGGAGGTCGTCAGATTTCGTCAGCAATGCTGGCAATGCTACACCAGCGAACCCAGCATTGACTCAGCTGAGCCTGTGAGCGTGGCTTCGTTGACAATTGCGCTGCCGCTGACAATCAGGCAATCGCAGGGTACCAAGGTCTCCTCTGCACGGCATCAGTCCCTGACTGTAGCACTGCAAGCACCACTGCAAAAAGAATAGCGCCAATGATTCATGACTACTGAGTAGTAATTCATGATCAATCACGAATGCTTAATGATGAATATGCATGATTCACTATTTTCAGGTGCCAGTAAGCCCCCAAATAACGCAGAAGCCACAAGAGGGACACGCAAAGGCCCCGAGTCGCTTCGGGGGACCTACAAAGGCCCCCCGACCCGTCACCCGGGAGTCCTTCTTCTCGTTCTTCTCAGCACCGGCTTCCTTCTTCTCTTCCCGGTCCCTCAGCGGCTCGAAACTCATCCCTGCGACACCATACTAAGATGCATACATATGTATATATATATATACACAGATACAGATACAGATACAGATACATATAATTACATAAAACTATAATATATATATATATATATATATATAAACACACACATCGTTTTACTTTGGTTAGCCACCGCCCTTTTAAACCCAGGACTCCTGAAGCTACCCCCTCAGTTATCCACCGTTTTGGGTTTTCGGGCGCGACATGAGTTACCTTTAACAGTCTGCAATGCAACCTTCCTCCAAGCAAATACTACCGCAGAAGACCTACAACCCAAAATAGCGTAGCTAAGTATTAAGTATCATCATTCGTTCGCTCGCTTCTGCAAACCTTACAAGAACCCGCAATACCAGACACTGTGGCCAAGCATCATGTTTAGTGCCAGTCTACATGCCGGTCTACAATCCTCCCAAAACCTGTCAAACCACATAGTCTCTTTTTCCGGCGCCTTCTAACATTCTGCGGGCACCTGATCCCCAGGGTAGTATACAAGAGACATTCTAAGATTCTCCTGGCACCCGATGTGTCCCTTGCATTGTACATTCTTCTACTTCGAACATCTCCATTTCTGCAGGCAAGGAATTTGCTGGCTCTGGATGTGGGCACTCCAGGGGTTTTCTGGGGATACTCTTGGGGCAGCGCACTCCAGGGTCTTTTTTCTTCTAGGAATGTTGAGGGGATGCTCTGGGGCTGGGACACCCAGAGCTTGGGGACTCCAGACATTCTCTGGGGATATTCTGGGGGTGGGATGCGGGTGGTGGGCAGAGTAGACCGGGCGAGGAGAAGAGTTTAGTTTCAAATCTAACAGCCCCACACCTAGGGTGGGGAAAACGAGCAATGTACATGAGCCCAGTGACTTTAGGACAAGCCCGTGCGAGCTACAGTTCTTGGGCAAACTCTTACAAAGCTGGTGCAAGTGGCTTGATAGGATTTTCTAGTCGTCTCCGCTTCCCAGACCACACCTACCGACAAATGGAAGTGTCCCAGAAACTATCCTTCATTGTTTGAATACTGGCGAAATACCGAAAAACCCATTAGCACGTATGTTTCCTATATATATATATAGATAGATAGATATATATATATATATATTTTTTTTTTGCCCATGCTAGAATTTTCGGCGCTGCGTTCTTACCACGTTTAAGCAGATGCATGGTCGTACCACGTGTCAAAAAAAGCAGCCGGGTGGCTTGGTGTGCAAGGAGATCAGGTCGCCCGGCAGGAGATCCTCTATGGGCCGGTCCTCCCACTTCCCACAGCGGAAAACGAAGACCTTGGCAGCTTATCTCGATACTCGTATACATAATACTGTTGTATGGTTATGGAGATCTGTAATCATATTATGATGTGTGGCACTGCAATCACAGTAGAACGCGCTTGGGCGTACTCAGCAGAAGCATCACCTTCGCTTGGCGCACACTGAGGAAGAGGCATTGAAGCCTGGGCGACGGGCCGATGAACTTTAAGGAGGGGAAGACGGCCAATAGCAGAGCAAGAATAGAATTACACTTACTTGCCTATGCATCACCAACTGATTTTTAGACCACCACCATGTCACCAAACATGAGGCATCAGCAGAAAATAGGGATTGCGTTGATGGTGGCTACGGGACACTGAGGGTAGCCCGTCAAACCATTTGCTGCTATAGGCTGCAGAAAGCAGGACCTTGGGAACTCTTCTACAACAAGAGAAGGTTGCGATGGGTGGCCACGCGTACATATCACAATGAAGACAAGAGGCTCTTTGTGCTCATCCCGCGAAGGGTTGCCATGGACTTCAAGCGCTGGAAAACAGTGGAGGCTTCAAACATGAGGATGCTCCCCAAGGTGAAGCAGGTGTATTTCCTGAGCATCGTACTTTGGCAGTCCCACTCAAGTGAAACATGTCTGGATGTGCGCAGCTCTGAAGCCAAGACACCACATGGTATCCATAACCCAAAGGGCCGCTGAGAAGAGCTGGAAAATCACGAGTGGTGATATCAGCTGCTTCTGAAAAAGCCTCAGCATCAACGACACTCAAGGTTCGCTTCCAGCGGGCACAAGTTCATTAACAGACCAGCTGCGTAGTGCGGAAAGACCCCAACACCTTCAACTTTTCAACGGCTGCCTCCAAGCCTGGTCACTGCATGAAAGTCGGCTTGGGCAGGTCGAACACATTGGTCCCATACTTGTCCTTATCAAGAAGCGCCCATGCAGAAGCAACACCGGGGATAGTAGACTTAGTAGATATAGGCTTCATCTCGACACGGCTTGCTCAACAAGATCTATCCTTGGCCAGCTCCACCTTGCTCGACGACTCGAGTCCTTCGAAACATGTGCGGCCCACAGCTGAAAAGCAAAAGCGAATGCGTGTCCGCTTGTCCTTTGCAGTCCCGATATGTGCTCCAAGGTAGGTTTGTTGGACATTGAATCAATCGTACACCTGGGACTTTCTGCGCAGCAAGCTCGATGGCTCACTTCACCGCTCGTGACCCGTGAAGCAGTCGGGCCGGCTTGCGTGCAGATAAGCCACCTGGCAGATCTACGTCCTTGCAGAGCTCAAACACAGGTGAGCGCAGCACAAAGCTCAATGTGGGCTCTCGCAGCGCAAGCAGGCCTACAAATTACATTGCTAGGGAGGATGAGAGTCGGGCGAGGGGTCACATGAGATGTCATGTCAGGTCTGCGGTCTGCTTCTCCACATCGCCTGCTTCTCTCCAAAAATTCTGGAAATCCAAGCTGCGCCCAGGAGATCTGGGTCTTCAGTTCCAGCCTCGACGAACTCAAAGTTCTGGTACCTCTCGGGGGGGGGGGGGGGGGCTTTTTTGCTTGCTTTTCTCCGTAGAGCTCTTACGCCTAAGCCATCTCGCAACAAGCCGCTACGAGCCGCTCAGCAAAAAGAAGCGCGCTAAAAGTCCAGGCATCCTGATCTTTATCGGCCAGGATGCTGAAACTTGAAGTGGCAATTCAGCGTGACCTGTGAGGAGTGTCCCGCCGTCTCGCAACTCATGAGCGTCTGTGAGGATCTCAGCTACGAAGCCTTCTGGCTGGAACTCCAACTTCTTCCCTTCCAGCCTCTGACTCATGGACTTCACAGATGTCCGGCTTGCCCTTGTTGGCGTGAGGCGTCACGCGCACAAAACCTCTGGCTCCGAGGCACTGCTCTACTCCAAAACTTTAGGCTTTTCATTGGAAGATGAGCCGGTTGAACAAAGTTCAGGGTTTCGCGTTCGTTGGTTTTTTCACCGGACATTGCAGAACTCCATGTGCAAGGCTGTTGGGGAGCGACTGAATCTTCAAGCGATTGCAGCACGAGTTTGGGGTAGGGGCTTAGGGCTTAGGAACCACGTGGGAGCACAGTCAAGATGAGCCGCTGCCATGCTGAACTCGTCTGGATGGCTGAAAGAGAACCAGTGCTCGGAAGGAGATGGACCAAACGCACATCAGGTGGAACAGCACATGCACCTTCCACTGGTCCGAAAAACAATGGATTGTGCAGCAGGTGATGCAAGGAGCAAGCTTGCACAACAGAGCTCCGAAAGATGCCGATACCCCAACATGCAGCTGCGCAGACTGCTAACAAAGCTGATTTCTGCATAAGGTGGCCGAGTTGCCACTATGTTCCTGGGAGTGCAATCACATGACATGAACTCACGCAACACATGTTGCCCAAGCATGTGCGGATGCAGCGGCTGCTTCTTGTCTGCCTACGTTACTTTGCCCAACAAAAAAACTGCACCAACAACTGCCGCAGGCCTCTTTCTCCGTCGGCGCACTAGCATTGTGGATTAAGCATCGGCGTCTAAAGCGTCTGCTGCACGCCACCAGTAACTTGCACTAACTCGCTGCCAAGCATCAGGAAAATGAAGACGCACGCAAAAGCACCCGGCATCATCTGAGAGGGCAGGGACTCCTTCGAGGGCCACGTCTGAAGGCTGTATAGGGCATACTCCCTGCTCAGGCCCCCAAGCTACTCCATGCAGCAACTCCATGCAACTCCTCATCAATTCCGAGCTCGGTCTCCTGACATCGCTTTCAAGTGAAGCTCAAAGTGAGGCCGGCTAAATGCAGAGTTTGTCCTTCTGATCTTGTTGTCCACTTGTGAAGGAGACGCCCTTCTCCTGCAGGCCGCAAGACATGCTAAAGTCTGCTAGGGCTCAAGTTGACGAATTGCGACATGAGACATCTCCGGTGGACGCAATTGCAGAAGGCCTTGGCAGCTTCAGCCTTCTCTTTGATGAGCCTCTTCTGTTCTTCCAAGGCCCATTGGTACGGCTGGCCAACCTCATCGAAGCTCCGCACGTTTTTAGCACGGGATTCAAGTATCTGTGTGCGAAGCATCCGGCAGTGGTCGGCTGCTTCCAAAACCCTCAGATAACCCCCACCCCACTTCCCTTTTCGTCCATTTTGGAGGTTTTCAATTTTCTGTACCGAAATCTCATGTGTTGGGTTGCTTGGCATTTTATGGTCTAGGTGCCCTGAATATCCCTAAACCCTCCGTCGTAGTAATCGAGAGTTGTTTCAGGGCTTCGCGACGTTTCGGATCAGGACAATCAAGCTAGAGCTTGGAACGGGGGCGGATATGGGCGGGTTCGCTTCAGCGTCGTTTCAAGATGTCAACCCAGTGTTGCCACGAAAGGACGGGAGGTTCGCCGGCACCTTCGGCCCTCTCTACACGACATTCTGGTACTGATTCCCACGCGCAAATGCGAGCGCGCACGTTTACTGCTACTGTGATTCCGTTCAGAGCGGTAAGTAGGGCATCGCATCCTTCGAACCATGCTGTTCGTGCATGCATGCTACAAGTGTGCATGAACCTCTGCTGACTGGCTGTATGAGCCTGCAACGCATGGAGGAGGACGTAGAAAGCGAGGTGATGTCGTCAGCGGCAAAACTCTGTAAGCTGTTAACGACGGTACTCAGAAAGCGAAATCACGAAATGTATTGAAAGGCTTTCGGTATGTAACACAATCCAAAGGGAACAGCACATTCGCACCGCGATCTAGTTGCTGCACGTTGCTCTGCTGGCTAGCCACTGTGTCCTGCCACAACTTTAGTGAGCAGGCATAATATGCCACGAAGACAGCCGCCACCTTGGATGCAGACTTGCAATATCTTGCAATGGTACATACGTCGACAACATAAACATAGCATGACTCGAAGTCAAAGATCAGCACTGAAGCCAAGGTATGCCTAGGTACGATATATCTCTTCCATGGAGCTCTGACGAGGAGTCTCACATGAGCTACACTGCTCGGATGGCGCAGGCGCATGCTGCCTCCGCTTGGCAAGCAGCAGAACTACTTTTCCCTTTCTAAAGATCCAGTGCAAGCTATGACCTCCGACGAGGTATGCTACCTTTTCGATCATTCCAGGGGAAGCCCCCACTGACCCCCATTTCTTTTGATGATTTTCGCCCCCGGTTGCAATACCAACTGCACCCAGGGAGAGATGGTGGTGGAGTGGTTGAGGGGGTGGACTTTAAACGAGAACCCTTCGATTCAAGCATGGGCAAGCTCTCAAGACTCAAGCATCTCTTTCAGAAGCCTGGCGTGACAGTGTGACTGTTCTGGAGCAGGCCTAGGGCAGGATGGCTGCCCTCCAAGCTACTACGCGGCGAAGCTTCAAAGCCAAAGAAGGGGAGAGCAACACTTTTTCGGCACATGTTTTCTTATCTCTGCTCTTCGAATCACGCGGATATCTGTGGCAGTCTTATCTCACTGTCGATGCTAAAGCCCATGAAAAGTGCAGCAGGCATGAGCCGCTGCCCTGTGGCCGGAGCATCTCTCTGCGCATCTCGGGCAGCGAACCTGGCAGCAGCGGCACCACGGCACGCTGCTGTGCACAGTCGAAATCCGGCCACGTCATGCACATGCCGCGCGCGCCGGGCATCCCAGGCTTGACGCCTGGCAAAAAGGCAGAGGAGACTGGCAAAAATGCCCCATTGGCAAGATAGGACAGAAATACGGATCTTCTCCTGGTTTCCCCTGTGCCTGCTGAAGGCGTGGTCCTGAGACCCAGGGGAGGCCGGCGCTGTTGAGGGCCGCCCCTGATCCTGATCTTCAAGATTCAGAAAGCTTCCCCTCTAGTGGTGGTGTGCACTTCGACGTCGGGTTTTTTCAAGCCAAGTTGAGGACATGTCTCTTCTTTGTGTTTGCCACCTCAAAGCTGTTTTCTTCTACAGGGTACCGGAGAGCAGATGCCAACTCGGACTGCTAGATTTAGGAGTTTTGCTTTCAGAATTTCAGTACTTACACGAATCCTTTACACAGCTCTACCCGAAAAAAGGACCAGCAATACGAGTCTCCTCAAAGTATCTCGTGCTCCCAAAGCTTCAACTGCCATGATGCGTCGGGGCTCTTACAGTGGCTTGGTGTTGATCGCCAGTTTCGGCGAAAGAGAGACATCTAGGAGTTGTGTGCACTTGCTTCTTGCCGTCGGCATAAGGGCTTCAACCTGCAAGCTTGCAATTGGCTCTCGGCCATTGGACATGTCCCAAAAGTTCTCCAGTCCTCGGCATCTCGGAAAGGAGGAGCAGAGCCCGCACGAGTCCTTCCGATGCATCCCAGCCGCAGCCCTGAAAGAAAGCCTGAAACATCCTTCCAGACTTCAGGTTGCTTAAGGGGCACTGCAGTGCTTAAGAGCTCGTACGACTTCATGACGCCTATCTATGTACCCCAAATCAGCACCTCGCCTCGTGTGCCCAGGGCTCGTCGCAGGGCGACCTAAGCTTTTGCTCCGGAAGTTGTACAAACAAAATCCCGAACGCATCGTCCCCATGTCTCAAGTCCCGCGCTCTCTGCGCCGCAGGCTTGCTGAGTCTCGGGTATCGGCCTCAGCTTGCGGATCAAACCCTACTTCTGAGGATCAAGGCTACTCTTGAGGGTGGCTTCCTAGATCAAGCCTGGCCGGGCCGAATCTTGGGTTGGCTGGCATCGTATGCATGCATATCTGTTCACAATTTCGCATTCTTCTGTGTACGTATGAGACACACACACAGACACACACACACACACACACACACACACACACACACACACACACACACAGACATATATTGTCTTAACGACTTCATGGATGCCTCAAATCTTGTACATGCTCGCGGATAGCAACGAGTAGGAGGAGAGGAGGAGGAGGAGGAGCTAGGATGGGAAAGAATGGTTTTTTACGTGAATCTGACATGAAAATTCGACATGTTGCCAAGGGATTGCTGCGCGCTCTCATTCCCATGGCTCTGCTCCGCCTCCTCCTCATCTTGCTTTTCGCGCCAACATACACAAAACATGATGAGAGCAACGATCTGCAGAGCAATGTTGTGTAGAAATAGTTCTGGCATCGATACTGTGACAGCTGCGGTGGCGAGGCCCTGATCAAGTGTTCGGCGACGTCCGACACACACTCACACACACACACACACTCACTTTTCTCCACACGTGCGTGCACGCGCTACAGTACGGTATGATGGCACAGCACGTTGTGTGCGGATTTGCGTCGTGCGACTGCTTCCCCCAAGCCGAGGTCACTGGCCGCCCGTGCCGTGTCTTTGCGCGCTCATCATCTGACAGCCTCATCGCACTTGGACATACTTGGACATACTTGGGGGGGGCACTTTGCGTGGCCATGGCAGAGCTTTGCGTGCCACTTGGACACGGACCCTTCCACCTCCAAGGAGTTGCTCGACGCCCCCTTCCACCACAAGCCCCTTAGTGGGAGTAGCACTGAAACAGTACTGAAACACAGCAGCACACGAGCGCTCCCGAGCATTTCGTCCTCAGGCTGCAGCCCCTCGGCACATCGCCAGTGTGTATCTGGAGGCGGCCCTTCACGGACAGCCGCCTCAACAACACAGGCCGAGCACGTCTTCTGAGCCGCGGAAGCATCCCCAGCAAAACATGCTCGAGAAATCTGCCGTAGTTCAGGTTGTGCATTCAGTCTGTGCCTCTGAGATCTCTGTCTGTCTGTCTGTTCGTCTGTCTGTTCGGCTGTGTGTCTGTCTGTCTGAGTTGCAAGCCTTTCTCGGTCGCACTTTCCAGGCACCTACTGAGGCAGGCGTTGAGACATCACATGGATGCAGTAGCAATACCACATGCAAGGCAGCTTGGGCCCCTTGCAGAATGAAGACTTCCTCTCAAGGCTCGGGAAAGCTGCTTTTCCCATGTCCCGGCAGAGGCGACATGAAATCAGCTGCGCTTCCGCCAAGTCTTGCCCTAGTGCAGTCCTGAAGAAGCAGCCAAAACAGCAGCAGAAGGCTGTCAAAGTTCCAGCCACAATCAGCCTTAGCTTCGTTGCTCTTGTCACTCACTCCGCAGGGCAAATTCGAATGCTCTAGGTACCGCCAATCATTACAATCGGCACTGGCAGCCGTATCATGAATCTCTCAGGCCCTGCGGGCAAGCCGACGAGAAGTAGCAAGAGGATGCTACGCTCAGGAATCAGCCAAAGCATCGGCCCAGTCTCCTGTGACAAGCGGCGTGGGACCTGCTCACACATGGGACCCGTGACAGCTCCAGTGACTTCTCGCCATGTCCCTGCCTCCTCCCAGCCCGGGAAATGCAGGAAGCCTTTGCTACAATTCCTCCTTGCAGAGCACAAGGGTCGAACGGGACATCTAATTTGGACGCCTACCGTCTTCAACAGTTTCTGGAATGCGCAACATATGGGCGCCGTGCAAATGCTTCGAATGCAACTGATATTCCGGCGCCGAAACCTGTCCGTCGCCAACCTGCCAAGCGTTTCACTGTGGGTCGCTCATTGATTGCAGTGGGCATGCCCTTCAGACACTGTGATCTAGAGTATTCCTGTCATTCCTGCCGCATGAGCTTGCCTTCGCATCTACCACCCCCATGCAAGCTACACCACTCAGCACTCCTTTCGCACGGCACATGCTGTCACGAGGCAAGTCCAAACAGAAAGCCTCGCCTGTCTGAGTCCAACCCGCTGCGTGCAAGAACCTGAAGGTCAAAGTTTACCAAGACAGCCCCGCATCCTGTCGAAGCATCCACTATCATCCACTCAGACCGCAGGGGACCTTTTAACATACAGCGATGCCTGAGCACATGCTGAAAAGAGGGCAAACCTTGGCCCTGGCGCATCATTGAGATAGCTTTCCGGTGACACTTGTGATACGTGAGCGCCTCGATGTGTACAAGGTGCTTCCTAACAGTAATGATGTCAAGCAGCAAGAAAGACAAAGGACTGAACCAGTGTCCGATGATATGACAGCTATTCAGCTATTCTATACAAGCTTTACAACCCGAGTCCCACGCAACCCGCCTGTGAAGAGCCTACGCTCTCGACGAATTAGCGACCAGATGACGAGATCAGCTGCAGCTCTTGCAAAGCTTTCAGAAGGGCAACCCGACTGCTGCACGACGCTACATACATCTAAAGCTAGTAGATGTGGAAGTGGGGGGCATGGTGTAGCTGTCTGCGCTCTGGTCATGCAGGGTGGGGAGGCTGCGTTGAGCCCACCATGGACCATCTTGCCAAAACAACCTTGGGCCGGAAGCGACTGCACGACAGCAAAGAACCCCTTGCCCGACTTTGCAGCCGTGACACAAAAGCTCCATACGGTACGAAGGCGCTGCAATCTCTCCGCTCGTCGCCGCTAACCTCGATTTGAGAAGGGCTCTCAAAAGTGTCAGATCTCGAAGACAGATCGATGAGTTGCCGCCAAGCTATGGCATCTAGCACACCCTGCCATCAGGCATTGCTCGTGTCGGAAACTATGCCAGAGGTCTGCATAAATTTCGGCACAAGCACCCGTCTTTCGAATCCTGCAAAGTTGCTGATGCGTGTAATTACATGCACACAGGAACGAACGAGACAATGGGGCCACGCAAAGAAGTCTTAGACAATCTGTTCAGCTCATGCCCCCGCAGTCCTGCCAGAGCCGAATATTCCTGCGCAAATGATGCCGATCGAACTGTCAAGAGGACTGAAAAGCTTCGTAGGCACTCGAAGCAATAACCCCAAGCAGACAGAAACGTTTTGGCTGGCGAATGCTTTGAAACGCCTGTCACGAGCTGAGCTTCAGCATGGACTACATGGGGCCCTCTGTCAGACTGCTACTCTTACCCCGAAGCCCCGAAGCCTAAAATCTACCAGAATACCACCATTGATCCCGCCAAGGGTCTGGAGCTCATCACGTCCAGGACCTGCAAGGTCCGGCGGCATGCAAAGTACCAAACTGCATGGTGCAGGAAGCTTGTGATTTCCCAGCCATGTAAAATAGAAGCTGGCTAAGAATACCTATAGTTTTGCAGGAGGTCCTCAATTTGCTTTGCTTGCTTTACCTCTACATCTTCATAGCCTGTCTGTTTTGTTGATCTATTTCCTCGCGGATTCATGTTTTTCCATCGCTCACAAGCAAGCTGTCCTACTCCGCGCCAGATTCTCCTCTGTATGCTGTCGTGGTTTCAAGCTTCAAGACACTATATCCATTTTGCTTAAGAACACCTCGGGTTCCTCCATATTGTGTAGGTCATGTAGGTCCCAAAGTAAAGCGGCGTTTATCTGAGAACCTAATCCCAAAAGAAGGAATACGGGCCTTCTGGCGTCTGACTTCCTTGCCATGCTCCACGGGGCTACCGGAGACGATGACAATGATACAATTAGAAAAGCCCGCATTGCGAGTGCCGTAAGAGCATTTTGAACCGGGCGACAAACCCTGCCAAAGTTGCAGAGGTGGCCTTATGCCGCTGGGGCCTCATGTTGGCTGCTGCAGACAATGTCCGTTGCTCTCGGACGACGCAGCTCTGGCATCTACGTGCAGCGGCCCCGTTGTTCACCAGCGTGATCTGCTCAAGTTACTCTAGGGTGTGAGGCTGGGTAGTTGTCATGTTGTTGTTGCTCTACTGAGAAAGGCTGGGCCCACGTCATGCAGATGTTTACACGGTGTGCTTGCTGGGGAAGCGTTGTCCTCGTGTTTGGTTGTTTGACCAACCGATGACCAACGAAGACTGCCTTTGTCTGAAGTTCGGCTGCTGGTTACAAGGACATGGTCGACGTGAATCGACGGCAAGCAATGACCATCCGAATGAGCGGGGCTTCCCAAACCCAGCCTCGCGGTGTTGAAAAAGGCTCGGCTTCACGCGCTCATACTTTTCATCGAAGACTTTGAAGTGCAAGCGATGGACGTAGACTGAGAGGCACAAAGACTGCACATGGCAGGCCCCCAGGAGAATACCATGTCGCAACTAGAAACCGAATTCGCCCTGTCTGAATCATGTTGGCTGCGCAACGTACAGTCGCGGCCATCACCAAGAAGTATACACACCTGAGCTTAAAGAATAGGACTCCGGAGCTCTACGACCCCTTCGGACATGTCTTCCCAAGCGAGGCAATGGGTGGGGTAATGTGGGGTACTGTTGCCTCAAAGGTGCATGCCCCAACCAAGAGCTTTATCAAAGGTAGATGAGGAGTTCCGTGTCGGATCCGGGAAGTCGTAGTTTTCCTTACACAGGGGCAATACGCCCAGTCCAGCAGCATACTTGTGAGCTTAGCGGGACAAGTTCGGACAGAACAACTCATGGGACACCTGACTACATGTCCAATCGTGGCTCCGAAGCTGTATGCCCCATCTCGCTAGTATCCCTAGAGCACGAGACTGGAGCAATGCAGCCGAGGAACCCGATCGAACTTCACGATCATACCTCGGTTATCTAGTTACTCGTGACGTTGCACCGCTGCATGCGCTGCACACCTTGTAACGATTGTATGTTCAGGCTTGGTGGAGCTGAGATTCGCAGCCCGCTGCTTGCCAAGAAAATGGGCAAGGATATCAACGCCATGGACACCGCAAAGTGTCTCCACGTGCTAATGTTTGGATTCAGATAATAGCCTTAACTTGCCGCGGACTGCACACATGAGTGCAAAGGCTCACAATAGCCTTGCATCGAGTCAAGGCACAAGCTGAGGCTTCGAATCCTCGCCACTAGATGCAACAATGTCGCGAATTACTCATGCGCTTGGGTCGTCGCACGTCCCTCGTATGGGGTCTCGACGTCTTGATGATGTCTTCCACATATCCCGAGTCCTGCAGGGCCTGCAGTCATAAGCCGAATTGTGTGATAAGGCTGCGCCACACCCACCTCAGCTGCTTGAGAGTGGCAACTTTCGGCCTAAGGCATGTATGGGCAAGCCAGTCTTCTGAGCACGGTGCGTATGTGGCAATGACATTGAGATATTGGACGATGCCAAGCAAGAGGAATCCACAAAGCTGACAGGATCCATCCTCAGCAAGCACGTACAAGTAGACACCAAGAACTGGATACGAGCACAACTGCGAGGCCCAATTCTTTTCCTGTGTGTGAAGCTCCCTGAAGCAGGGAGTGCTGATGCTGCAAGAAGCCAAGGATCGACGACATCGCCTTTGAAGGGGTTCATTCTCTTCTGCATCGCGAAGAGATGATCCTTGGCAGCTGCGAACCCATCATCTGCACGCTCACGCTCCTCCTCCCCCCCCTTCCTCCGCTTTTTCTTTTCATTCTCCTACGAAATCTTTCCCTGTGATCCACGTCTCTCTCCTTCGAATTCGCAGAGGCATCAAGGAGTGGCTGCACAGTTGTGCTGTGAAGGGTCCAGCGAGTTCTGCACCATGAGGCCAGCGACGACACCAAGACTTGCAAAAGCTGTGAGCCGCGCAGTCAAGACGTTCTCCTGCATGGCCGTCTGTGTCTGTGTAATTTCTTGGCCCGGTACTCGTGTCATCGTGGAAGTCTCTCTAAGATCACACGCGCCACTAGCAACTGCTACTGAATATAGCCCAGGCTGTCCGTGAAGAAACGGGGATCGTTGGTGATGTCCATAGACTCCGAGCGAGTGAGATCGCCTGCACACTCAAGCTACTGGGCCCAATTGCTTTGCGCAGTCCCCATCCGCACCTGACTCCAACACGTATTCCGCCACGCCAAGGCCAGAGTGGGCCCCAGCATCCAGGCGCGGTACTTGGATCCCAAGGCGAAGCCAAAACTACCAGGCTCTGCAGAAAGCGTTTCCTCTCGAAACTGCGCCAAGGTTCTGCCTTCGTCATCAGCATCTGCGAGTCGCATGCTTGTATATCTGGCGGACCTGAGTTTTGGCTTGAAATGTTGTTCGGCAAATTTCATGTTCCGCAAGCTTCAGGACAACAGATGCGCCGCCAAGTAGCATCTCTCTTGAACTGTGCATGCGGCGGCTGCCGCGGGAGAGATCCGAAGCCAGATGCTGCGGCAACAATGTGTGAGCTGGGCCAGCGGCGCAGCGGTGTTCGGCGTGCCACATGTCATCTTGCAGAAATTAGAAACAGATGGGCGCCCTTTCTTTCCCGCTCTTCTGTACACTGTGCAGTTCGAAAACCTAAAAAACCCGACATTACCAGACTTGTCCAATCATGCAAGCATCGCCTTGCAGGCATCGCCGCGGCGTTGGCACAAAACTCGGCAACCCCGGATGGACAAAGACTCGTCTACACAGAGCCCGCTTCAGACTGCTGAATTTTAAAACACAAGACGCTCAAAGCTTGTCCTTCTCCACGGGGACGTGAGACATACCGACCGTGCAGTCGAATTTGTTGGCTGAACACCGCTTTGGGCGCTGCTAGCTCCAAGCTACTGCGGGGTACTCAAGCGGAAGGTACCATCAACACTGGTTCTTTTATTCAGATGCTAGGCACATTTCGAAGTACTGAAGATTGGAAACAGCTAGCTGCTAGCTGCCGAATGCCGCCCAGCATTTCCACTCCATCAGCGCAAGTGAAACATGTGCATCATGTATATAAGGTAATGTGCTACAGGACGTGCCGCTGCAAGATGCGCGACACACCGCATGGGCAAAAGAGTCACCTCCTGCCCGGGGACCACGATGCTTGTGCGAAACACCCGCAGAAATCGACATTCCACACCGCAACACATTTGACCCACCTGGGGACGCCCCTCCGCGACATCGTGACAAGGACTTGTTCATGTTGTCGAAGGTTGTCTTCCAGTAGCTTGTACCGCTCATCGAAGATGGCAAAGTGCTTCCGATGAATACAATCTGAGACAGCAGGGTACTACAGCCATTATCAGACATGAGCCTGCTGTGCTGGAGCAGCGCAGAACACAGTGCAACACAGTATCGACATTGCAGAAGTTAAGCCAAACCCCGCCCCCAAAAACCGGACTGCGCGGATTGAAAAGTTGCAGTGTTGGGAAGGGTGCGCTTCGCTTTTGTTTTCAATGTTGGTTCGGAGTTTCCGGTCCGATGGAAAAAGTTTTAAGTGCAGGGTTGGGGTTTAGGGCAACACACCCGACTGTCTGCTTCATGTGTATTTGCGATGGAAAAATACAAGGCACAGCATTCAGTTCGGCAACATATTCCAAGGGGCAGGCTTAAGACTCCAGCTATAGTTCCGTTCAGGACAGTCGTGTCGCCTCCCTGGCCTATGAAGAGACGCAGTCCGGTGCAGTCGCCCGCCTAATTCCGGCCCATGAGCCTCCCTGGACCTACAGCCAGCCTCTTTGAGCCACACGCCGTACATGAGCTTCCCCGGCCGAACTTGCGGGGGCCACATTCCGGTACGGTCGCCGAATTAGGCCAATTGCGGTACAAGACTTGGTCAAAAAGGCACCGGAGTGACCGCAGCGGTCACAGGAGTCGTTGCCACATGCAAGGGGTGGCCCCGTGAGTGGCTGGGCCTGTGTTGTGGTGTTGCAATCGTCCTTGAAGTGGCTGTTACAGCTCCACAACCACGCCGTGGCCCAAAGCACATGGCGAGGCGGGTACAAGACATGAGCGGACCGCCGGTGCCACCCCCACCCACCGCCCCCAACCCCACTGTAACATCCTGAGCTCCGTTTGCCGGCAAACCATGGAAACCCTCGTGTGCAACGAAGCGGCACTTGCAATGTGCGGTATGTCCATGGCCATTCCAACATAACAGAGCGCTGAGCTCATGGAGGTTAGGGGTGCAGTGCAGGGTGTGAGGGTTTCAAAGCTTATGCGAGTTTCGGGTTCCCCATTTTCGGGCTGCTGATGCAATTGAAGAGCTCGGAATCCAATCTAATCGCGGGTTTGGCAGGCTGGGGCGTTCCAATACTTTTTGCTGGTTTTGGGGAACCCACTTAGAGGCTTGCATCGGCCAAGCAGCAGACAGAGAAAGCCATGAGCATGAACATGCCGCACCTGAGCACACATGGCACCAGGGAGACTTTACAAAGGCTCGGCCAGGTTCAGGACCACATCGGCCAAGCCACGAACCGAAGCCAAGCACTCGACACACGTCCGGCAGATTCTCAGGCGCATCCTGCTCTGCCATATTCTCCTCAGGGGCGTATGCCGACGACTGCCGAATTTCTGCTGTGACGCGTCAGTTACTCTTCTCCAAACGAAGGAATTGCTGACCCAAGCTCCCTGTCGAACTTGACCACCATGCCTTCGGCGATGGCACGACTTCAGCATTAGAAAAAAAACAAAAAAAGCGGCATCCCTCCGCCGTCTTCGAGCCAAACCCCCAAGGACTACAAAGTAAAAACAATCTCTGCAAATCTGATCTGTCGGGTTGCGAAGACCAGTGCTGGCCACAAACATAGGCAGACTGACGAGAGCACCCCAGATGGCGAAGTGACGCCAAGCGATGACGTTCTTGTTCAGATAATAGCCTGGAAAGACTTGAGCTTTTGCTCTAAGCACATGAAATCGCTGAAACTGCACCTTGCAGTCTATATACTGTTGGAACAGGTGCATCGGCACCATGTAGGTAGGCGATTCTTGGCACAATGTGTTCATGTCTATTCATGTGTGTGAGCTTCGGCAGTAAAACAAATGATACAAATGGCTTTCGAAAAACTACATTGGTTTGGGCAATAAGGCCCCAAAACGGAACCTTTCGAGAACTTCCCCACGTGCATTCTGAGCGGTTTCTCATGCTTATACCAAGCAGCAGGCCGCCGACTCGAATCCTGAGACCGCACGCTCCCCACGCAGCTAACGAGAGGGTGTGGGCTTGCGACTGCTTTCAACACGAACTCATCCTCAGCACGGCAGTTTGGCCAAGCTTCCGGTAGGCCCAGCTGTCATCAACCGAACGGTATGGTAGGGCTGCGCAACGCCGACGTATGTGGCGATGATATTCAAGAAATGCACAACCCCGAGCAAGATAAAGGCAATGAACTGGCAGGTGCTGTCCATATGCTTGTGGGGTTTATACCACTCACACATGTCCTTCTTCATGTCGAACAGATGGTCCTGGGTGCCGTGTCTTTTCTGACTGCGAGCACTGGTACGAGAAACCCGATCTGCGATGATTTGCCCACTACTGCCTCGAAACAGAGCACCCTCCAACCCCCTGACGAACTACAGGTGATCTTGGACAACAAGTGCACCGATGCACTAACAAGACCGGGACAAAGCATGGCCACAGCAGTCCTGTCTGACAAGGGGTTACCTTGAACTAGAACATGTGCAATAAGCAGGCAATTTACGGTAAGTCCAAGGCCGCACGGTTCGTCTGAGAGTTGTGAAGCTCCCTGAGGGGTGACAAGCTCCGAGTCGAGATGATGAGATCGAGAAGCAGGAGCACACCCAACGCAACCCTGCCACAAAAGGATGTACTAGAACATGCTGCAGCCGGGCACTCCGGGCCCCCTTGTAGGAGCAATTCTAAGCGCAGGCATTGACGAGCAGCGAAGCGGCATGCAGGCGGCCGCCTTCTCGAAATGCCCCAGATTGCCGGCAAGGCCCAGGGCCCAGGGTGAGACTGCCTCCTCCTGCCATACACTTCAGCCTCAGAGTGAGGGGGGGGGATCGTCTCACCAGGAGACCAAGAAAAGCCACACCTCGGCACCTGGCTCGCAGGGCCATGCAAGGCCAAGTACGCCGCTGCCAGTGTCCAGCGAAAGCCACCCAACAAATCCCAACAAGCTCAGCAGGCGTGCTGCAGAACGCATCAGAAATGTCGTGGTCATCACGGGGGCCAGGAAGGCCAGCAACGTAGTTTTGTCCACACACGCAGACACAAACGCATTGAGAGGGAGCGGCTAGAAGCAGAACAGGGATTAACATGTTGCAGCCAAAACCGCACCAGGGCATGATGCAGAAGAAAGGGAATCAAATCACAAACACTCAAGATTGAGGATTGCAGACAAGGCATCCATCGAATTCTGGACCATGAGGCCGGCCACGACGCCGAGGCCCGCGAAGGCGGCCAGGCGGTAATTGATCACGTTATCCTCCAGACTGCCCGAGATGGAAAGGATCTGAAAAACGAAACTGGCTACGTGAGCACATGCTTGAAGCGAAGGGAGACTTTGGAGCAAGGACAGTCGACCGGCAGACTTGCGAAAGCTCCTGGAAGAAACGTGGATCGTTTGTAATCTCCATGGACTCGCTATGGGTCAGCACGTTTCCTGACAACCAGCGCCAGCACCAGCAAGGACGAGCCCTCATCCTCCCTTTGCCCCGCCCCCCGGCGCCACGCGCCTGTCGTCATTACCCGCTCAGTGACACCGAGCTCGGAATAGTCTCCGCCGTTAAGATTGGGCATATTGCCTCAGGGAACACAGCTGCTTGAAGTAGCATGCACCGTAGCCCGCGAACATTTGCGAACCCTGTCCTGCGCGGTCATATCCTTCCCCCATACCTGAGTGGACTGGGTCTGCTGGCTTTCTCTCCTTACATGCCTCCTCTGCACCTTACAATGCACCCAAACAAACAATGAATGGCTGGCGTGCTGAGGTTGCCGCCGTCTCCCAGCAAGTCCGGGCACAAAGCCAGCTTGAGAGACAAAAGCAGCGTCTCACAAAAGCAAGTTTTTTCAAAAAAACTAAAGCGCGCTTGCTAGAACTGCCACGTACTTGCCTACTTGCCACCTAAAACCTCAGCAAAGCGCTTGAGTCCAAAGTTCTGGGAACCATGTGCCAACCCTGCATGTAACAAAAGATCGCCGAGGCTACTCCGAGGCCCAAACCTGGCTGCAAGCCTGAGTTTGCCATGGCAACATTAATGTGGCCACCCTGAGCCAATATCTTGGAATCATTTTTTTTGGGCCCTGGCACTCCAAGAGCAGGCCAATTCTTTGGCGCACCTAGGACAGGTGGAAGCTGTCCGATGTCTGTTGTCTCGACAGACCTTGTTCCCTGAAGCATCTCAGCTGCCCGCGAGTGCACGGCTCTGCGTAGGGGGCATGCAGACCTTGACCTTGTTTCACACCGATTCACACTCGGCCGTGCCCAGCCGGGTTCATTCGCAGTGCTTCGCTCCAGGCTGAACTCAGAGGCTTCGCGAAGTCAAGGGTAACAGCCTGTCAACGAGCACAGGCCGACCTAGCATCTATGTCTTGCACGCAGGGGCTAGCGGGGAGAGCCGGTTGGGTGTCTAGAACAAGGCAAGCCTCTGTGTATCTAGGGCTGCTGGAAACCATCAGTCAAATGTCCCATTGCTTCCCAGTGGTCGAGCCTTTTTCTAGCCTAACAGGAGACCTCACCTCTACAGTAAGATTTGCCTCGGACTCTGCAGAGCAGGCGTCCACCTCAGTGCGCCGTCGGCTGAGCAATGCCAATCGATGGCCACAAGGCTTGCCTCCGGCTCAGCAGAGCTCCGGGCGCATGGGCCTGCATTGCCCGACAAGCCCCGAGCGACATGTTGCTCCCAGGCCTGAAAGACCCAGCTCAGGCTAACTTGACTACATCGCCACATAACAGATTTAACATAGTGACACATAGTCAAAATGTAATTCCATGTCACGGAGTTCACGGCCGAGGCCAAGGCCAGATCGAAGTGCTGGTTTCTTGCCAGGCAATCAGCCAGGAAGGCTTTGGCCTAGAGCGACAGAGCAATCCTTGGAATACCTCTGGAACATACTCGAAAACCGTCGTACCATTCAAGGACCACCCGAAAGCAAAGCACTTTGCATCGTCACAGCTCTTCCATGCTCTTCTACAGCCCCCAGCGAGCTCCGCGAGCTCGGAAGTCCCGAGGCGGCCCAGCCTCCGGACATCTAGAGACAACAGAGAACTCCAAAACATTTTCGCCATGTCTGCGAATACTAACTCTACTTCCGACGAGTAAACTTCTACCAGTACAACATCCCCATGCACGCCGAAGGTTGTGGCAGACGGTTGCTTTCGGGTGCTGATGCTGTAAGGGCTGGGCGACGACACGACCAAGCCTACCAGCAGCCTGCCTCACACACGCACTGCCACTCCCTGAGAGTGCAGCGTGCATGGCATTGAAGGTTGTGTGAATTTTCCTGAGGCCTGAACTCTGCATCCCAGCACGGCCATTCGCGCACGTTCCGCCCCCACAACAACAGGGAGCCTTTGCGGGCCTTGAAAACCTATACCCATGAATCTGCGATGAGGCCACTGGATATGAGATGGTAGTGGGTAGTGCAAAAGGAAAATGCCATTCAGATCAACTCCTCAGCCCCGCTTGGATCTTTCATACCCCTCAAATCCTGGGCTCAACTTGCAGCTGCTCGACTTATCATTTCGGGATCGTAGACAGGTTGCAAGACACAGGCCACATTGCGCCAGACTCGCTGCAAGAGCTTCACACCATGAACTCACGACGTCTCTTTGGCTCCGAAGCGTGGCACCAAAAGCATCCAAGAACATTATCACTCGTGTCGCATCTGTCTTCGGAGAGATGACACTTGGATGTGTGTGAGGGCCCTGTTTGGAGCAGATGAGTAGATCTCTCCGAAAAAAGGATGGTGCACGGCTAAAGCTTCTAAAGCTCAGAGCCGGGAACCAGGCCTCAGTGGCTGAATCATCCGCCATCACCCAAAGATCTGAGGACAAGGGGGGAAAAGCGAAAAGCGAAACGTGCAAACATGGGGCGTGGGAAGCCGATGAGCAGCAGCAACACTTCCGCCGCCACCAAGCCGAGGATCGTCAGGCGCAGCCCTTGGAAGCCACCTGCTTTGGCACAGGGAGAGAGACAGAGACTTACTTTGCAGAGGTTATCTTGCAGGCATTGCACCTGCCTGAAGTCGCCACATGACTCCCCAAAATGGGGCCAAGGAAGTTGGCGAAGGAAAACGCCGCCTCCGAGATGCCCTGCATGGTGCCCTGGCACACTTGAGACTTTGACCGAAGTCGCTTCTCAAGGGTCCAAGCTCGTCACAACACCCGAACACGCATTGTCGCCTGAACATGCTTGGGGAGGTGGCTGGTGTAGAGAGTCCGGGCCGGTGTGCGTATGAGCGGTGCTGGTGCCACGGTGATCACCTGGCGAATTGGCCTACTATCAACCAAAGCTTCAAGTGGTCAGTGAAGCCACCCCTCTTCGGACGCTCTGGGGACAACGCCAACCAGGGCAGCACAAACTCCTGAAGACAACATCTGACGACACGCTGCCGGGGACTTCCCTCTTCTGGATCGGGACCAGGATGCCGCCAAGCTGCAAGGAAGGACCCACCTGCGTGTGCCAGACGCTGGGCGACCCTAATCGCGACGATGATGAATCATTGAATTTCAGTACCGAGATGTCGGCCTACCGCCCAGCTCGTCTGCGCCCAGAGGGCGCCACAGGACATCACAACGACGCCTGCGATCCTCAGCGACTACTTGGTCGACTCCATGTCCCGGTATGGCACTGCGCACTTCACTTAGCAGACCCCTGCAAACCCATCTTGTCCTAGCGAGTCTAGTGCAGTCTAGTGCATCGAAGACCTGATGAAAGTTAAGCTACGACACACAGATACGACAGATACACACACAGCCTCCACGAGTCCTCAGTCCTCAGGTCGACGCATCAGCTTTCGCCCGCTCACCTTCCGACTCAGGACCTGCAACGCAGATTTCAGCCCCGAGGGCCCCAGCGCTTCTAAACATGACTTGATGCTTGTCCATTTGTCCATGCTCCCCCGAAACTCATATCTCGCCTCAACGAGCGCAAACAACGCGAACACTGCCAGCGAGGCAACGCCGAACAAAATCGACGTTGCCGCCGGCGGCAGCCGGAACTCGTCTGTGAGGACGATTGGCGGGACCACCTCTAGCACTGCCAAGAGCAGCGCAGTTGTGACCTGCACTCAGCTCCCGCGACTCTACAGCACAATCCCACCAATGCGTGCGACTGTTCTGGACTGTTCGGGAAGCCTGAAACAACAGGCATGTCCAAATCACAGGAGTTGTCCAAATCGGCCTAAGCAGAGAACAGGACTCAAATTGGCTCAAAGCACGTTGCGAGTGAGGCGTGCTGTAGAGCCTCGTCAAAAAGATCCAATGGTAGCATGACAAAGACTTCTAACATGCTGTGACATGCTTGTGCTGTACCGTCAGGGAGTTCATGTCAAAGTTCTGCGGTCTTTTTTTTTCTCATGCAAGTGGTGCCGTCCATGCAGAAGCACCGTTCAGGCTTTGGTACAGGTCTGGCTCGTTTGGGCTGGCGTGAGGGCGGGCGGTGGGAGGGTCTTTGAGGATGCACTGTACATCCCCCCCCACCTTTTCGGGCCTTTCGCGGGGCACACATGTTGCGCCTCCTTTCAGGAGGGTCTTTACTCGCATGCCCAAAACTGGCTTGAGGCCGCTCTCGCAGCGAGCTTCGAGCAGAAAAAAAAGAAGCAGGGAAGAAGCCATCTCTCTCTGGCGCCGCTCTCCGAAGGGTTCCTGGTCTCGGCACTCCGGGGCGGTGGACTTAGAGAGAGAGGGAAGCCCAGGACAAGGTGCTCTCGAGCTCCTCCTTGACGGCAAGGGCGGCCTCCGAGCTGCCCCTCAGCTGAAGCTGGTCCTCGTAGTTGCTGAGGCCCTCGATGCCGGCCAGCAACTGGGTGGCGCTCTTCTGGGCGGCGATCTCCAGCTGGCCCAGGATCATGTCCAGGTAGCCGAGCTGGTAGAGCTCCAGCGTCTTGCCCTGCCCGTCTCCCTGGGGGATGCGGGCCTCCTCCTTGTGGCCGACGCGCAGCCAGCAGTGCATCCACTTCTCCAAGAGGGCCGCCTGGGCCCTTGTCCGGGTGAGCATCACCACCGGAAGCCTGGTCAGCACGGCCTGGCGCGGGCGGAGGTACAGGCGCACGTACCTTTCCAAGCTGCGACGCAGTGGACAGGCCTTGAGGCGGACGGCATCCTTGACGTAGACCCGAAGACTGCTGCTGCCGAGTTTAATGAACCTGGAGGTACATAAGAGATGCACGACGCCGAGGCAGTCGTCGGCGCTGGAGCAGCCGAGCTCCTCGGAGAGCGCCGCGTCCAAGCTGGCCATGCGCGCCTGGATCCCAGGCAGGTTGTAGCACCAGAAGCGGCCGAGCTGGCCCCGGAAGAGGTTCCAGACGCGGTGGCTGCGGCGCTCCTGCTTGGGCAGAGCCTCCAACCGGGCACGCAAGAGCGCTTGGTCCTCCGGGGGCCTCTGGTAGAAGCGAAGGTCGATGCAGTCGCCAGGGCGCACGTCGTAGCTCCACGCGGGATTCAAGGCTGGCGGCAGCCGGAGCGCCAAGCCCTCTGGGTGTGCTTGAAGATTCATCTCCTCCAGCATCTCTCGCCACTGCATCACGCCCGTGGTCCAAAGGCCCCTGAAGCCACGCTTGTCTCTCCTAGAAGGAGCATCGGCGGGCCCTGGCTCCGAGGAGGCTGCTGGCGGCACTGGCGGCAGGACGCGGACCGGAGCCGCGGCGGGCCTGCGAGCATGACACGGAGACTCCTGCTGGCATGACGCCCCCCCCCTTCTCTAGAGGCAGCATTTGTCAGCATGACATGGAGACTCCAGCATGGCCCAGCTTCCCCCCCTCACAGCATGACATTAAAAAAAAACATTTGCCACTTGTCTCACCTTCCCCTAAACCCTTCTCATGGCGTCACGCCAAGCAGGAGACATCTCCACAATGTGTGCTCATTCAGCCTTAAACCCTCCAAGCATGACGCCGAAGAAGCCGCTAGCATGACGCGGGGCCTCTCCTCCTGGCATGACGCCCCGAACCCTCCCCGCGTAGGCCCGCCGCGCCAGTCCGCGTCATGCCATGAGGAGTCTCCAAGTCGTGCTAGCAAAGGGTGTAAAAAAGAAAAAAAAAAAAAAAAAAAGGGGGCCATCTAGGATCTCCTGCTTGGCGTGACGCCATGAGAAGGGTTTAGGGGAAGGTGAGACAAGTGGCAAATGTTTTTTTTTTTAATGTCATGCTGTGAGGGGGGGAAGCTGGGCCATGCTGGAGTCTCCATGTCATGCTGACTCTTAGAGCTGCATGAAGGCCTCGATGCTCTGCTCTACAAATAAGTTGAGAGCCGCGCCCCTGAAGCCGCTGTGCTGCCCGTGGTAGGACAGCTCTAAGACGTAGAAGGCGACGAGCTCCACGGCGTGTATCTGCGGGCACAGGTGCAGCGGCCTGGCTATCGGCTCATCCATCATCTCTACCGGCACGTCGTGCTCCGGATTCGCGTAGACGTCCTCGGCACAGTCGGCTTCGTCCTCGGACTGCTGGCTACCCTCCCGGATGCTCTCAAGGCTCGGCGCCAGGCAGGGCGTCGGCGTCGGCGACGGGTACTCCTTCACCCCCATGTGCTTGTGCAGCTTCCGGCGCAGTGTCCCTGTTCCCGGAGATGGCGTCAGGCTGGACTCCAGAGTTGCCCCTCTCCGCTTTCTCTCGGGCGTGACGAAGCTCTGCAGGGCCTCCTGCTGCTCCAAGGGCGGGGCGTCCTGCTGAGAGAGAGGATCCAGGACTGTCGCGGCTGGAGAGGTCGCAGGAGTCGGGCTCCTCTGCACCTGTGTCGGGGAGAAGGCGTGCTCGTAAGGCCCCTGCACTGAGACCGCTGGCAGCCATGCCTCGCCTTGAGTCGGCACGTCCAGCGACACGGGATTCTCCTCTGGGTTCTGGTGCATCGCCACGGCCTGTTCCAGCTCTTGGCATGCAGCCTCCAGGTCTGCCTGTGTCGCTGGCCCGGGTGTGCGAGCCCAGTCTGGCAGCTCGCTGCTCCCTCTGGCCGCCATGCTTTCTCAGACCCTCAGCCTAGAGCTTGAGGAGAGCAAACAATGGCTCAAGTGCGGAGAGGGCACAAAATCAAGCAAGAAAGATCTTGGACAACAAACCACGTCCGGAATGCCAAGAGTCTCTTAGAGCAAGTCTCGTTTCGGCCCCCTGCTGAGGCCCTCGTAACTCGCCGCTAGCTCCCGGAGGCGCTGCTCGGTGCCGGCATGTGGCCTGAGATTGGACGAGCAGGTCCGTCGATGTGCCATGGGGAAAGCTTAAGGGTGGTTCCACGATGCATCCCAGCGTAGGTTACTTGCGATATGCAGAGGCAGTGCATCCACTTCGGGCCACGAGCAGAAGCCGAGTTAGGCGAAGGGGGCTCGTCCAGCAAACATCACAACAGCTACAACAGGCCCCAACCAGTCTGCCCAGCGAACCCCAGCTTTGCGCGTGACTTGGCTAGGAGTGGTAGGGATGCCGCGTGCCTCAGTAGCGGGGAGAACACAGAATGCTCACAACGGCTTAGAAGTCATGGAAGATGGAAAGGTCGAAGCAGGAGCGGCCTGCCCGCGCTCCGCAGCAGAAACCTGCCACAACTCTCAAAAGACAGGTGTCTGCAATTCCGCAAAAAGATAACGTCGGCCATTTCAAAGGTCTTCACAGGTACCTTCCATTGAATTGATCACACATGTTAATTCGCCTGCGATTTCCGTCTACTTTCTCGTCCTCAGAAAACCTACGACAACTGCTAGCTGCTAACTGTTTCGAGCACAGCTTGGTGTGTGTCATACTTGCGGGTGTTACTCCAGCACAAAACTGCACCTGCAAATCGCTGCAAAACGTGCCGGAAAGGCTCCTTGGTGTGGTTCACCCTTCGGTACAGCTGGATCAGAAAGCCGATCTGCGTTTGAAGAATTACACACAGCGATGGCTACAAAGCTGGACTTCAGCAGGGTGAGCAATATGTCCCTGCACTCTGAAGCACTCCGGTGGTGGCTATGGCGATGGTGGTGGTAGTGGTGGTGTGCCCGTTTTGTGTCGCAACATAGCGGTCGCGTAGTGCCTGGCAGAAAACCTGGGAACCCAACACCAGCACAGCACGATGCCCACGAGGTTCGCCGCAGCTATCGCCCAGCCTGGCGTGGCAAAACCATGCAAAACCAGGCCCAGGTCTCCTCGACAACCACGAAGGAACGCCTGCCGAGTTGAGCTCGTTGAAGAGGCCCTCCTTGCAGGGAGCACTGCCTCCCCCAGATGCCAGTTCCAGATTGCAGCAAGACAGCAAGAAGCAGACCAGAGACCACAAGCTCACACAGAACCAACATTGCCTCCAGTCAAGAAACCTCTGGTCATCTTTCTTTTGCGACATTTCAAGCAAAATCTACGTCCTTGTTTTTGCTAAAGGAAGCTGAAGCTGCAACGCCAGCGCCGCACATCTTCGCAAGTATCACAGTTGCACGCGCGTACCCTTCATCGCTCCGAGTTCCGGAGCGTTACGCCAGAGAGCTTTCATGCGGAGAAAACACTTCCGCTACGCCTTGCATGAACATCTACACGTTGATAGGGAGACCTGCCTTGGGCAGCATGCACAGCAGCGTACTCCCGAAGGGGCCAATGAAGGTGCCCAGTGAGCGCATGGTGTTCAGCCGCACCTGACAGCAGCCCCCGGCTTTCATAAATGTAAGCCGATAGCTGAAGGTCCTGAAAGTGGCCAAGGGGGCCTGTGCCGCGGCCACTTCCTCCACGCCAGAAAGGGCCTCTTTGTGTGGGATTTTGGGTACCGTAGCATAACTGGAGCCGCTTGAAAACCGCTGATGGCCACTGGCGTGCGGACCCTTGCGGTCCAGGCGAAGAGCAGAGGAGTACAGGAGGCCCCTACCCCGCAGATGATCCGTGACCTCCAAAAGCAAATCGACTCTGGAACCGTGGAAAGCAGCAAATAGGCATCTAGGAATCTAGGGGCGTCACAACAGAAGCAGCCATGGGACAGGTGCCAGCGCATAAAGCACACCTGGCTTGGAGGCATGATCACAGCATCGACCTCTGCTTGTTCTTGGATGGTATTATGACACGATTCGTTGAAACAGTGTTGAAACAAACCACTGCATCAGACGCTGGGCTGCCATGCGCTGTCTCTGATCCAAACCACGCACAAAGCGTGCAGCTTTCTGCATCGGGATCTTTCGAGCTGCAGACCATTCGCGTGTTCAGACGAAAGCACGCGACAACATCATGGGTCATCCCAGCACTTGCGACGCTGCCAGGAGCACGCGTGACGATGGCCAAGATCGGCTCAATCTCGATCTCCAGCTGGCCAATGAGTCAACATCTCCGTTCCACTCATTGGTGCATGTTGGGTCTACTTGGGCGTCGGTGGACTGGACAACGAAAGCCGCTTAGGAGTCCGTTTCCGGGAGCTTCTGCCACCTTAGACACCAGCATCTCGCAACGCAGTTAGACTCAGTTAGACTGACAAGGCACTCAAAGACTTGATTGTCGCCATCAAGCTCCGCTTTCCTGGGACTTCAGAGCTACAAGTGGCAAGTGACAGCATCAGGCCACGAAACAGTAAACTGTCGCCGAAGATGCCCCGATCAATTGACGACACCAGAGGCTAGCGATCGCGATGCAGGCTCTGCCATGCAATGCTCACGCAGCTCTCTCTCTCTGTCTCTGCCGTTGCACAACACTCTGATTAACTACTCCAGAATTAATTTGCATATCTAATCTTACTCTTCTTCTGTTGGCCATGAGGTGTCGGAAGATCCCGACCGCGGTGCGTGCTCGGGCTGCAAGGTCGGCGCGAATCACTTCCGAACGTGCAGGTTTTTCCCGGCCTGCAGGACACGCCCTTTTACGCATCTGCCAACAACTCGATGCCGTTATCGATCGCCTGTCACCTACTTCTGGCCGTGTACGGCCGGCAGGCTTCTCAGGCCAGCGATCGTCACATAGCGGCCAGGGACCTGTCAAGCCTGCGAGCACCGCAAAAAAGCGGCGATATGGCGGCCAGGTCTTTCAGGCGCAAGGACACTTTTGCCTTTCGCGAAACCCGACGTCCAAAAGCGACGACAGTTTCGTTTTTTGCAAAGACAGACAGCCAAGAGCGACAACCAATCCCCAATAGCTTGCCGCAACGGAGGATCCATCGGCGGAACCTCCGAATCATGAATTTGCAAGAGCTTGCCGCAACACACGCAAAAGCGACCTTTGCAGGAGCCGAAAGCTATGCAACGACGTTTTGGAGCTCCGAATAACTCTGCGGCCATGCCCGCGCCCAGGCGAGAGCTCGATTTTGTTTAAATGTATACTCATTCATTTGCAGACATGACGGAGAAAGGCTGTTGACGAGGCAAGATGCTTGAGAAGAAGGTTCGGCAAATGACTCCAGCTGCGCTGCCTGACCTCAAGCAAGGCGTCGGTGGGAGCTCGGTTAGTCGTGGAACTCAGGCAAGCACACCGTAACAAGGCAAAGCGAAATGAGGGCCTCCATTGGTGGCAAGTTGTACCACCGTTGGACATCACTGCCATCTGCACATCGCCATGCCACCCAGTAGGAATGAGCTTCAGAGCCATCCTGTCTCGCTAACACACAGCGCTGCAACATGTTTCCATCACGCGAACCTGTGATGAACATGCACAGGTCATGCACAGATCTCGTTTCCTCTGCAGCTCTTCCTCGCTTCGCCACAGCTTTGGCTCGAGGATCCCAGCAGGATGCCAACAATCTCCCCCCTGCGACGACGGCACGACGCTTTTGGAGCTTGCAATATTTTACAAATCAGGCACTGCAACTGGGTTTCGGTCATCACTTGTGCAGGAGCGTGGCAGATCCGAAACGAAGCAGCGATTTCATATAATTTGCTACCCTGCTGCCTGGCCGGAGTAGGCGTGTCAAATCCTTCAGGGCAGCCGTAGTCTCCGCCAGCGGCAAATGGTGCAACACTGCACCTGACATGCCGTGGTTGGGTCGGCTCTTGCCAGTTCCCGAGATTTCCCGAGCCTGTGCGACTCTATGTTGCCTTTGAGCCTTGGGTGAGCCTGAGCCGGGCCGAGGTGCAAGACAGGATGTCGTGGACGGAAGCATCAGGCAGCGCGACGGCGCGCGTGTCGCCGTGCAAGAAAACGACCTTGTCATGGAGGTCGCTGAGCTCACCGAGGCGCTTCTCAGCTGCCCTGAGCATTCCCTGTGAGAGGTCCAAGGCAAAGATGTTCTCGAAGCCCAGCTCCAAGGCCGTCTGCACGTGCCGGCCATCTCCACAGCCAGCCACCAACAGAGTTCGGTCACCAGAGCCTCGGTCAATCCCTCGGTCAATCCCTCCTTGTAGCCATGTAACCACAAATGGCCATGGGAACCGCCGGCTCTCAGCGAAGTTGGCCGAAATCTTGTCGTAGGCCGCTTCCACCGTCGCCCACGGGGTCTGCTGCCCAGGCTCCCCCACATCTCCAGATCGCCTGACCGCCCACTGAACTCTGGGGCCAGGCTCTGTTAGGCCCCAGACGAACCCGAACGGCGTAGCCAAAGCCAGCAAAGCGATAACTAACCAGCTCCGAGTTCTGGGAAGTGCTCTTGCGACAAGTGGTCGTCGTGGAGCTTTTCGCGAATCTTAGCTACCAAGACTTAGCATTCACTGGGAACACTGCTGCTGACAAGTTTTGGGCGCATGGAAAGCAGGAGCACGTTTTTTTCACATCTTCTGCTCCAACGATTCTCGGCAGCTTCGCGCATCCCCCGATGTCGCAAGTTCTGCGAGTGTCTGGTTTTGTGCCACAAGACTCTACAACTTGCACCCATTCCTTGCACCTGAGCTCCAAGCTTGCCCGTGCCATCAATGGGCTCCGCCAGCTCCTTTCGTCGCGGCTCGCCGCCATCGCTCTTTTCTGCCGCTGCGTGCCATACCCCGAGTGGAGAAAAGCTGACGTCGTGAGGGTTGTGACAGCCGTCACGCAAACTTCTCCCAAGTCCCTCTTGTTCCAAGACCAGTTACCACACTCCTCTAACATCATCGAACCAATCGAACTATGTGCTTGTATGATGTCTGCGCGATGTGCCGTACGAGCCCGAATACATGCACCAAAGCTGGACCAGAGGCGGTCTTAACAGTTTGCACCCAGGGCATCAGGCGAAGAGGCCTCCGAGAGCTGAGCAAAGCAGGCAGCTGCACAGCAGCACCTTCCAAGTGAGTGGCTTGCATCGGCTGTGTGTCATAATTACCATCTGCCTAGATGTTCATCTTCATATAGATATGATACATAATTATACATACAATATGTGCAAAGACTTATATAATTTGTAATGGCAATCAATAGCATGTCTTGCCTGGAAATCGAAGCGATCCCCCAGAGCCCCGATGATCCTGCAGCTTCGGCTGCAGGTAGCGCCCCCCGGCACACTTCTCGCTTCTGCTTTGGGGGGCCCCCTCTTCTTGTTGGAGGGCCTCTGTTGTTTTGAGTGGCATGTCTAGCTCTGCAAACGAGGGGCGGCTGACAAATCACCCGGGTAAGGGAGAACGTGCCAATCACCAGGCCGAAGTACCTTTCTCACTCCCCACAGGCTCCGAAGAAACGACTCCGTGTAGGACAGCATTAGATGGGTAGCCACTTGAAACCGAGCCACATCTCAGGGGAGCCCATTCTCTGTAGGAGCGGCCACAACGTGGGGATGACCATCCCCCACCTCAAGTGTCTCAAGTGAAGCTGCATGCTATTCGAGGCATCTCGGAAGCGACTCCGCGATCACTCTTGTACCAAGCTCACGACTCGAATGTGCCGAGAAAGATCACGTAGCACAGCGTCCCAAGCCCCCTGGGCGCTGGGGCCTGCAAAGAACGAGGCGGGTTCTGAGTTCTGAGCTTGGTAGGGACTCAACAAATCAAGGACGAACACCCAAAAAGAAACAACGCCTCCAGGCGCGTGTACATGGCTGGCACAGCTCAGTAGCTCACGTCATTACTGCTACTGGCGACAACAGGGGCAAACTCGTAAGGCCCACGAGTGACTACCACAGGCATTGGTGGCTTGGTTGGCTTGGTTCTTCGTTCGGATTTACAAGTCGTGTCGGGCGTTTGTCTCTCCTAGGTGCGATTCTGGGTGCATGCTGGGAGTTGGAATGGCTGAGCATGCCTTGAATCAACGCAAACCTCATGGACCATTGAATAGCTTCTCAACCTTTTCCGGCACCTGTGAAAACGATAGCCAGCAGCTACATTTCACGGCTGTGGCATGCGACTGCGACTGGCCGAAGCTGGCAGTGAGCTTTGCTCTCCGCCGATGCAAAGCACGGGCGTGCCAGGAAAATCTAAGGTGTACCTTTATACTTTATGGGTCGCTCTGTGATCTTGGCGTTGTTCTTTTAATGTTCTGTCTCATGGAAGCGTCTATGGTGAGGTGCTGCATATCGCGCAGGAAAACCGCCATGTGCCGCGGCTACGCACGGACATGAGCACATGCGTCCGTCCAACGGGTCTGCCATTCAGAATTCAGCATGTCCTCAAGAACTTATGACAAATCTCAAGAAGTTTGCGAGGAGGAGGATCTGAACCTGAGGGCCGAGGGCAGCGCCTGGGTACCGCGGAAAGGGGATGACATCGCGAATGTTCTGGACCTCGCATACCGGAAAGGTCCAAACCGGGTCCAATGCATGGAGAGCGCTCACTGGGTCCCCTGCGCCAGTGCAGAGCATGACGAGTCGCTCGAAGCCCACTCCAAAACCAGCATGGGGGACTGAGCCAAACTTTCCTCGGCAGAGAATGAGAGAAGATGAGAGAAGGTCACACTGTCCCGCGCAAAGCGAAGCGCCCCCAACACGCGCTTGTTTTCGCTGACGGAGGCGCCCTTCTCGAGGCTCAGGCTGAGGTCTCGGTACCACCAGTAGTCCTCCTTGTTCAACCCCATCCTTAGCCCAGAAGATCGCAACAAGGGTTCTCCGGTTTCTTCAAAAAGAAATTGAGGGTACATCAAGCTCCTTTGAAAAACGAGCAGAGAACGGGCAAAGTAGGCCCGAATAAGAAGTCGTCTTTCATACCGACTCTCCCCTCGGATGAATGGCCCAATTTTGGGGTTGCAATGCTGCTGCAATTCCTTTCTTGATACGCAAAAAATGAAAGGTTTTCACGTGCCGCGAGAAGTTGAAGAGCGAGCGGCGTAAAACTTAACTACATGCACCAAAAGAGAATCTTTAAGGTTAAAGGGACCCTGCAAATCGAGGAAGATGCCGCACTTCGTGCCGTTGTCTCGTTGCAAGAGATGTCAAGGAGCTCATTTTTGTTACCAGCAACAACAACAACAACAACATGAACGCAACGCAGAAGGTTTTTGAAGGCCAATGGCTCTCTGGACAAGGGGTTTTAGGGTGCAGTCGGAGAAGGCCTTCAGCAGGACTCCTCGAGATAGGTGTGGGGTTTACGTGCAGGCCAAGAACTATCAGATTGTGAAGGAGCCGGCGGCGGCACCAAGCGAAACACACCACGCATAGCGTTTCGGTTTTGCAGCCTTACGTTTCCAGGCGATGTACCATTCCCTCCCTTGCCCTTTGGACACAGGAGTCAGCCTGCATAAGTCAAATGCCACGGTCAACACCTCGACCTTACTGATGGGTACAACGACGACAAGAAACCCCACACAACTCAAAAAAAAAAACGGCATCTGAGCCAATTTGATGAAACAGCCGCGCCTTTGTGCACAGCGTCGCATTCTCAGGATGGACTTATCCCTTCAGGTTCTCACGGGCTTTGTACAAGAACCCGGGATTCGGCTCACGCAATGGCGTGGCTAGGCATTGCTCGCGAACTCTGCCAGCAGCGGGCCTGAGGGGCATGTGGACACCGAGTCACAGCTTGCCGCATCTTGCTGCCCTGCTTCGAGACATTAGGTCCAGACCCATCTCCAGATTCAGCTCACAGCCGGCCGGCACTGACCGATGCTCCGAGCTGCAGCTGGCGCGGCGCGGAGCTATCATGCACCAGGCCAGCACAAGACTCAGGGCCGCAAGGCCTTGGAGGCACGGGCTTTTAGGCCGTAAGGTCTGAAAGAGAAAGACCACTCTGAGCCAAACACCAGCCAGCACCAGAACGAGTTCAGATCGGAAGCCTTTCTGCCCAGGGGACAGGGCTCCAGCCTGACAAGAGCTGCTGCGATTTGCGGAGATGATCTATGCTGGCTACCTGGCAGAAGTTTCCAGACTTCAGGGCCAACGTTAGCTCCGAGCCTGCGTTTTCATCTGTAAGATGCTCCACTTACTCGGCAGCCCTAGCAAAGAGGCTTCACAGCTCAGCCATGTCACAGATATCCTTTCCCGTTGAACGCTGAAGTTGCTGTTGGGAGGCGGTGCTTGTCGAAGAACTCATAGATGAGGCGGTTTGCATTAATCCTCGCGGGCAGATGTTTGGGCTTCATTGTGATTGTACAAGCTTTCTATGCAACCAGTCGCATTCCGAAATGCGACCCCGTCCTAGCTACCTGGCCCAGATTTGGGATCGCCCATGCAGCGTTGGGCCTTGGCTGTTCCTCTGCATCCGCATGCTGAGGTGCAGTACAAGATCTAATAAAAGTTACGTGGTCCCTGAGTATGGTCCCTTGCCATCTTTTACTGCAGCTACGGCCAACATTCAGGGACTATGTAACTACCCTGAGATGGAAAGGAAACAAGAAACAAAGAACGTGACCTAAAGGCGGGCCGTTCCTTCTCTTGCGAAAAGGCGTCTTTGGCGTGTTGGGATACCAGCCTTGAGCTGAGGGGCCACTGGTGACCAGCGCCGCTCAGTCGGATGAGCTCCACTGTCGCCTCGTCTTCGCAACCAGTGTACCTTGGAGTCTTGGAGCCTCTTTTGAGCCTCTTTTCCAAGACTGTTCACTGACATGTTTGCGCCTCCGCTGCCTTCATGGCCAGGCTCTCGCTTGCTCTCACTTGCTCTCTCCACGATTCAAGCCGACACATCCCACACGATTCGCAGCCACTTGCAGCCACATGGCGATGCCATTGAAAAACCTCAGGGACAGGTACGGACCGTTCGCGCCGGAGTGAAGGAAGGGCCCCCCCTGCCTTGTTGCCACACGAAGCTTGGGGCCATGTCTGCATGACCTCAGAGCGACTGGCAACGATGAAGTCATCAGCAGCAACGTTATCGTCAGAGCTGCGACGACTCCACACCCGATGTTCACAGTTTTTGGCTGAGGTTGGGGTAGGGTTGGGGTCCGGAGTCTAGGTTCGTCCAGGGTCGCAAGTTATCCGCCAGGGCACTGCAGCGATTGAACCTGGCCCACTTCTGCAAGGATGCAGGGACCGAGGACCCCCAATAGCCCATGCCATGGCCTGATGCGTGCCGCCAAGACGTGCTCACCGAGGGCCACAAACTGCTGACTTACATTTTGCACCCGACCACACAGCGATCTCTAAAGACCCTAAACGCCTCCCCACGGGTTGATTGGATCAGCGTCCCCATGGAAGGCCTGAGCTACAGTGTACAGGAGCACATGGCGTGCTGCAAAGAGCTTGAAACACTTCCTCGATAGATGCATCCATGTGACCAGGATTGGAATGGGCCTGCCTCGCGAAGACAAGAAAAGGGGCCGGGGAGGGGGGGGGGGGGATGCCGACGGTTACAGGCTCCGGCTCCAAGATTTGCTGACAAGGCACTCGCATTGTTCGGGGTTGGATACCGAAGTCCTGGCAAACCGCTTCAGGCGAACAAACGAAGTCATGCGAAGCCTCCGCTTGGCTTCGGAAGGCACGAGTTGGGAAGAGGCTCCTGCCACAGGAGCCACGGAGGCGATTATGCTCGGCCTCGTCCGCTGGACTCTGCGAAGTGCCAAGCTGCGGTTAGGGGAGGCTGCGTCTAAGTTCAAGGCAACTCTGAGACCAGCCGCATACCTGCAAAGCAAGGTGCTGCCACAGTTCACACCATGCGAAAGGATGGCTTGCATAAGTTGTCAAAGCTTTGAAAGCTCTGCGGCTGCAAACAACGACATCGCACGATATGGCACGGCAAGCCCGACAGCCTTCTCAAAAAGGAACCCACGGGATCTCTCACAAGCCAGCTCATGTCTGAAACAAGAAAACAGCCACCCACTGCCGACAATGGCCTAGCAAGAAAGCCACCTTTCCTCGGCCGAGGAACAGAAACGGGCTCCATTGGAGTAGCCAGTGCAATGGATCCGTCGAAGGTCTATGCATGACAGCTGCGTCACCTGTTTGGACAGTCGCTCATCTCTCGCCCCGTCACTTAAACTCTGCTACATGATCCGAGTTGCTTCTAGCATTCTAGAAGTGTACTCCCCTTCCAGCATTCTAGAAGTGTACTCCCGGCGCGTCTGAGCTGCATCTAGCACAACTCGCCTTGCGCAGGATTGCTCGAACCAGGTCCACATCGTGCACCCCCTGGCGCGAGGGTGCTGTGGGATCCTTGCCCCTCATTGCACAGAAACTCGACCCCTAAATGATGCTGCTGGCCTGTCGATCCTCACGTTGGCTGTGCAAACCCACCTTCATGCACGGTATTGCAAGGTTCATGTCTTGAGTTTTGCGACAAGGTGGGAGGTTTGCTCTCGCCCAGGAACAGTGCCCATCTATGTAAAACACTACTGTAACTGTCTGCATATTCGTGGGGAGACACGCGTGAAGCGGGGAGACACACGCAAAGCCACATTTTTCGGATGCGGCCAAGCAACGTTGAACTGAGACCTGGGCGACAAGCTCGGAAACTCCAATGCTGGTGTCCGTTATGCAAAAGGCTGATTTGGATGAGTCCTGCACTCACCATAGTAGTCGGAGTTCGCCATCGCCTGTCTGCTACACCCATGAAGGTAACATCGGCACAAGACATGTGACCGACCATTGTCCGACAATTCAATCGGTACTTCAACATATTCAGAAGTTTGTCAAAAGATTTCCTAGGGACAACGGTTGAGTACACTGTCATACGGTCGTCGACGCATTCGACCGGTCCGCCTGCGGAACCACAAGGGCGACATGCTGCATTCGAGAGAACTCGCCCAGGCCTGACCGAGTACCGAGTGTCTGTACACTGAGAACAACAAAGCCCACAAGAGCACACCCCTGCTGGAGGTGTGGCACAGCTGATGATCAGATTACGCACTTCAACAATGGGGTCATGCCGACAGTGCGATCGCTGCCGTCCTGTATGTATGTATGGACGCCTGCTGTCTGTACAGGCTCCAAGATTCAGCGTGATGCTACGTTTTTGTCTGCGTATTCGTGTGCATGACATGCCGTGGAACAAGGATGCAGTTGCCGGTCTCGCGGCCTGTGTATCGCAGGAAGTCCTCAGGACCAGCAACAAGCCAGCATCTGCCATGTCGCCGCTTCAAGTAGTCGAAACTGCAGAGTCAGTGTGAATTGCCATCAAAGGGCTTCAGCATTGCCGTCTGTGCCATGAAAGACCAGCCAAAGTGGAAGCCGACCAGCAAAGACGGCCGGAGGAAGAAACAGCAGAAAACCTAAGCTCACAGAACAACATCTAATTATGCGATGAGGCGAATGTCGACGAACATCTGAGCACCATCAAGGATAGAAGAAAACTCTAGATTCCCTAAGGCAAGCTACTGCGCGTTTGCCCATTCACCTCCACCTCGACTGTGGTGTCCTCTAGGCCCATCTCACAGTTCTGCTGAGTGACCTGAGGATGTGTTTGCACGACAATTTGCACGACAACATGCACGCACCATGCACGCACCCCATGTCAGCTGCGTGATCGCGCTATCAACCTCGGATTCAGGCAGCGAGGTTTCCCACAACTATCTCGTCCGGCAGGACCTTCTCTGGCATCGCCTTGGCTACTTGCAACAGCTACTGCTTCGAAAGGCATCCTGCCTCGTGTCACCTAAAGAAATTGAAAGGCCTGGCCGAGCGAATCACTGTTTGTGCCGCAGCTTCTTCCGTCGAGGATGTTGCAACGCTCGTCGTTGAGAATGTCCTTGTTGTCACTGTCCTTGTGAAGCTACTTGTCACACTCGTTCTTGTTGAAGTCCATGTTGTCAAGGAGGTTGTAGGCGTCAAAGTCGCTGTCGTGGTGGAGCTGCCTGTTGTGCTCGTCATCGTTGAAGTCCGTGTTGTCAGGGAGGTTGTAGGCGTGAAAGTCGCTGTCGTTGTGAAGGTGCCGGTCAGGCTCGTCTTAGTCCGTGTTGTCAGGGAGGTTGTAGGCGTGAAAGTCGCTGTTGTTGTGAAGCTGACGGTCAGGCTTGTGGACGTGTGTGAGCTAGTGGTCGTTTGCGAGGTTGTGTATGACGTCGATGTTGCCGTCATCTGTGCTGTCTGCTATGGCGCGCTGGCTAGACTTAACAGCTCATAGTTGCATGTCCGACAAAAAGCAGAACAAGTACAAACGCCACAACCCCACGCAGACGATTGCACGTAGTTCACATGTCCCACTGTCGCTGCTACTGCAGACAAGTCGCTGTTGCAGTCAGCGTCGTCACCTAAAGATGCGGCTGGACTGTGCTATGAGGGTTCAAGCCGCAGACGCCCAAGTTCGAGGATTTGCCGCCAAAATGCACTGGTGCTGGTGATGCTTGTGCTGGTCAACGTCTGCGTGGCGGTTACCTGAGCTGTGCGAACTGCCTCCAGCAGCAAATCCCCCATTCAAGAGGGCACCATCGCGCACAAATCAGAATGACTTGCGACGCACAGCAAGGGACGAAAGCTCTATGACGCCTGGGGCTGGACAAAAGAGGAGCCTCAGCGCTAGACAAACCCAACAGGCAAGCATCCTGAACAGCCCTCCAGGCCCACAAATTCCACAGAACACGGCCCAGCAAGTACACTCCCGACAAGCATCATGAGCATCAGTTGCCAGGGTGCTCAACCACGGACCCCCCCCCCCCCGCCCCCGCACACAGGCTCTTAAAAGCGAAGGGTTGCTACCTTCCAGGCCTCCAGAGCTTCGTAAACTGCCCGCTAGGGTGTGTACAATGACGGGACTGTTAACACAAGCCGATCGAAGCCTGAACCATCAGCCACCGGCCTCTGCAATAAATCTGATTTAGCCTGGGTGCCGTTGTTGCAGTTGTGCTTGTCACTGTGGTTGAGGAAACCTCAGCCAACTCGATGAGGCTTAAGCGATGACGCGCAGAAGGAGTTTGCCTACTTCAGCTGTGCAGCTGTAGTCACTGTAGTTGCTGTCAGGGTCGTCTCTGAAGTGGTCGTGAGAGTAGTGAGAGACGTGGACGTGAGCGATGTAACTGTTGTCAACGTCACTGTTGTAACGGTTGTGATCGTTGTCCTCGTGGTTGCTGTGATGGTGGTCCGTGTCGTCTCGGGCAGAGTCGTCTGGGGCAGTGTCGTCTCGGGCTCGAAATGAAGGAAGGATACCTGGCAAAGCAGCTTGGATGGACGAAGTGCTGTGAGTGCCTTGAGTACTGACCTCTCAATCCTACCGGTTTGCGCCTCAGGGGTCGTGGTGGTTGGCCTGTGCCACTGAACCTGCGTGACTCAAGGAAACTGGCCCCTGCGGCGTCTAAGTCTACGTTTTGATGGCAAGCTTGGCCACCGACAGTCGTCTCCACAGGTTCTGGCGCGAGGTTCCCATTGTGGCAGCTCGGGTAATCCGAACAACCTCGCGCAGTTGAGCCATATGATTGCTTTGATTGCTTGAGACCGGCTTCAGTGGTGGCTTGAGCTCCGTACAGTCGCCGAGCTCCACGCACCAGCCTTGGTGCTGGAAAATTGCGGGCAGTGTGCCGGGATGCTTTGCTTGGCTAATTCTTCGCCCAGCCACTGATACATTGGCAATCAGCACCAGGCCTGGGTTGAATCTGACAGAACACAATCTAACGACTCGTCGACATCTCACGAGCTGCTACTCTGTTCTTCTACTCCGTTCTGCACGGTCAGACTCATCTGGCGAGCCATCCTCCACCTTAAGCCACCGAAAGCAAAGCGCTGCCCGGAGTCTGGAGCACGTCGCAGCGGCCCACGCAGCTGTTGGAAAGGCTGGCATCCACCTTGTTGGGCAGGAGAGAATTAGAGAGAATTACCGCTTTGGAGAAAACGCCTATGAGCGCTTGAGCACGTCAACAACTTGTCAAGACTTCGAAGACTTGAGTGTCCCCAAGTGTCCGCCGCGTTTGTTTACGGAGGAGAGGGTTTGGGTTTGATTGTCCACCCAGCGAACTCGTGATAAGTCAGTCTGAACGTCCAGCTGCATTGCGAAGAAGAACTGGCATTGGACAAATCACAGATAGCCACGATCGGAAAGCATCAAGGCAGTCAAATTTGATGTCACAAGAGGCCTTTCTGAATTTCTCGCCCAGAGAGACAGCGACCCCCAGCACGGAACAATCTGCGAACTCTCCACCAAACCCTGAACGCGTCGCTATGAATGCGCACCAGGGCTGGGCCGTAAGATGCAGATCGGACGGGCTGGACATAGTCTTAAGATGAGGCGAGGCATGCAGTGGGGCCGCCGGAAACAGGCTGACAGAAAGCCACAAGACTGCACAAGCGATACAAGCGACAGCAAGCGGCTGCAAATTTATCCGTGTCAAGGTCGCTCAACGGCCAACATGCAATCCCTGCCCATTGTGGCCTGTCGGGACACCGTCAGCAGCTGAAAGAAAAATTGCAAGCGAAAAGCGGGTACCCAGGAGGCCTAGCAGCCTAGCAAGAAAATCACATGGGAGGCAGACCAGTCCAAGTCATCCAAAAAACATGTGCAGCTTCCGGAAGAAGCAGACAGGGAACTCGAAATCCTCTACAGGAGCATGGGAGGTCCGTGGCTTGGGCCGGCTCGACCGCCGAGGCCGCGAACCCAAACATTGAGAATAACTTGTGATCTTTCTTCTTCCTTCCTCCAACCTCCTGCCAGTGCACAAGTACTTCTCCTTTGCTCTCTCTATGGGGTGGCCAGAGGCTGTGTGCGCTTTGTCTCTCTTGACCTATCTCTCTGCACCTCCACGCTGCTCAAAGGCTCTTATTGCAGGCATTGGCACACTGAAGACTTGCAAGAGGACTACAAGCAAGAGCTTCCTGAAGGGCGCGATGTCCACCTGCGCAGCACGCTCTCGTTGCATCAGTCCTGCGGCAAAGGTAGATCAGTGCCACTGAGGTACGCCCGCGCCCTTCATGCTCTCATGTGGAGCAGACCGTGTCACTGCCCTCCGCGGACATCTGGCTGCTGGCGGCCTTAGTGGGCCGAAGCGGAATCTTGCCGGCTGAGAAGCTCGAAGTAGCAGGCGGCACAATAGAAGCTCGATTTCACTTTGACACTTCTCTGCCCAGGCGCTAAGAAGCAAGCGCGCCCAGCCCATGACAAGAGCTTGCCGTGTGCTGCAAACGGCAGCGGGGATGCCGGGCATGCATGAAAAATGGATTCTTGCCGCGGTGTTCTGCGCAACGCAGGCTCTCCTAACCGTGGCACGGACAAGGAGTCGAGGAGCTGTTCAGACATGTCTGAGAAAAGAAACCAACGGGCCGTTGCTGGGTACTTCGGGTGACTGAGGACCTGGGACGGATTTGGGATAGACTTGGGCCTTGGCTCGGCGATTCGCTCATCAAGAACCTGTGAAGTGCAGGGTCCAAAGAATGAAACACAAACCAAGCTTTACAACCATGCCGCTTCACGGCACGGCAGGGCTTCTCTTCCACTAAGATGACTAGGTGCACGACCTCAATCCGCTCCTCGCGTTGTGAGCCACCTACGAGCTCGCCAATTCCTCTGAGACAGCACCGAAACTTGAAACTGTCTGCGTGAAACGAAGCAAAGAGGCAGGATCCTGGGCACAGAAGGTCCATTGCGGCCACTGTTTTGCCATCTTCGTTGAGTCTCATGTAGAAGGCCTTGCAATCCTCCAGGCACAAGACATGCCCCTGAGTCTTTGGCAGCAGCTCAGCTCCAGATCCGTCTCCTTCGGATAGTTGTACACAATGCAAGGACCTTTGCAAACCTCATCCGTGAGGAACTTCCTGAGCGATAATCTGAGCGGAAATTACGGGCTCAAGCCACTGACATGATGCTGGCAATCCACTGGGCAGAATGGGCTCCATGCTCATGCTCCGTTTGGAGCTCCTTGCCCCATTCGACCTCGAACTCGAACTTCACATCCCCAGCTTGGATGTGCTTCTGGAGAACCTGTCCAACATGCTCCGACGATATAGAACTCTGCTTGCTGCAAAGCTACACGCAACTCTGTACACTCCTGCAGCTTCTCTTCCCTTGAATATCCCACAACCCACTTTAACATGGCTCTCGAACTCTGCTGAAACCTCGATTTCTCAAACACTCGAAGACTGGAAGCCTCCCTAATCAAAGTCGCTGCCTCCACCGCCTCCGTGTAGCTCATGCGGGCAAAGGGCTTGGAAGCAATCAACTGCAGTCTCTCCTGCACAAGCCAAGCCGTGCAAAGCCGACACTAAAGCCCCTTAGAGAGCCACACCGAACCCACACCCATCACTAGGCTCAGCCACCCCGATATGGGACTTATGGTACAGCTCGCAGGGGCGCTAAAGGGCTTGGACCGGGTCTATGTGCACGTTGAGCTTCCCCACTGCGGCGCCTGGATCTCTTTGTCCTCAGAGGGCGAGAAGGGTGAACAGGGGCGAACAAAGAGGCGCAACTGCACTCTTCCAGTCGAGGCTCTACGCGAAGGTTGAAGAAGTCCACATCAGACTTGCAGGACTCCAGGACATTGGAGACGCAGAACCTTCTTGGCTCAATACTTCAGAGCCCAAACACAGAAGCACAACAAAAGCGATGACCCGAAGCGGCCTGATGAAAGCCTCTGCACAGTCCATGTCATCCTCCAAGTTGGCGAAGGCTATCTCTGGCTCGATCCTCAGAGAAAGTTCCAGGGACGGCTGGCGATGGCACTTTGATGCACCTTGCCTCTCAAGTAAGAACAGGACATCCAGAACTCGGCTAAATGCCTGGTGGTGCCTCGCAAAGAGGCTGCCCAAGGTCGCGTGAACGTGGCACACGCATCTGGGGGAATTGCTGGAATTCTCGGCACGAAAAGTAGGGCCGAAGGTGTAAACCTAGGCAATGGGAGCTGAGCGGTGGCTGTTCTTTCGCTGTTGCCCTCTGCCAGTCTTAGGGATCCGACATCACCCAGCCCACAGCAGAAGTTTTCCACTGCCAGCTGCCCGCTGACCTCTTTGACTGAACTCTGTTGCTGACCCTTGCCCACAAATGCGGAGGAGTCCTTGGCCCTCCACCGTGAGATATGCTGCCCGACCGAAGAACTCTGCGCCTTCCTTCTCTGCCTTGCTGTCCACCACGTCTTCTCCCTTAGGCCAGACAATGATGGCTACACCACGACTCAACTTCCTCCATTGACACATGCCTTCTCAGCAGTGATGCGGAACATCTCGCCGGCTCCCTCGCAATCTGCCGTGGTGATGATGGGGGTATGCCTCAGGAAACAATGAACTGCGAATTCAAGAGCACGTGGTCATGGCTTCGCGACCCGAGGCCATGGCACATACAAGAACCCCCTGTCTTGGAAAAAACGGTGTGTACCTGTCGACATGCACCCTCGACGGTCTTTTTCGCACTGGATGCAGGACATGTCTGCTCAGTTGCCAATACATTATGTGCTGACTCCGATGTGAGCTGAGCATTCACAAGGTCACTCATTGCCAGGTTGTTGCGGACGCGGCTGACTGCCCCAATGAGGTTTGACCTGCCATCACGACGCATCGCATGTCAAGGACTTCAATCGACACTCACGGTCTGGCGAAATCTAGTGTGTCGGCAGCGGGGGGGTGGGTTGCCCCTTGGGCTTGGACTCTCACGCTCGCGCAGGTTCTTGGAATCAGCGATTTGGAGCCTAACTAAAGAAATTGCTTCGGCTTTTGGGGCTCAGGGCTTGGGGCTTCGGAGCTTCGGACCCTGTGGTTCCCCGCATCTACCATAGAAACCTGGCAGTGAAGGAGGGTATCTGTTGCCCAAGCTCAAGCGCGATTTTCGTAGCAGATTGCAGTGCTTTGCCGCTGATGTCTGCGCAGCTCGTCAGCGAGGCAGCAAACGCTGCCACAACTTAGGCACCCAATGCAGAACAGCAAGCTCGCTGCATGCTGGACTCTGCTTGCACAACCTTTCTTGCAACTACGGCACCCTTGTGAGCATGCCCTCCTGCACATTCGGAGGTGGCGGCATGTGCTCTGATCCATCAGAAGTTGGCGGCCTCAAGAATGGAATGGAACGAGCATCCGCCAAACGGAAGAGCACAGTTGGAGGAATAACGCAAATGATGTGGTGCACGGGGTCCTGTTTCAGCTGAGGCACGCCACACTGGCCACCTCCACTGTGTAGATCATCACCTCCTCCACGCCTTCGCGGTTCATTCCTTAGGAAGGCTTGCCCACTCCAGGGCCGGACTGATTTGAAGTCAACTCTACCCTTTGCAGCACAGAAATCAAAGACATGGTGAAAGATGCAACGAGAAAGAAAAGGTGACCCTGTCTTGGTGGAGCTGAAGTGACGAGGTGGGATGATGAGTTCCCGCCGCCCTCCTGCAAACAATGCATCACCATGCAGAAAGCGGATGAGGAAGATCCTCTTTGGCAAAATATAGACAGAATCCAAAGGTGTCGTCAAAATATACCAAAATCCGAAGTGCCATCCGCTTACGTGCTAAGACTTCCGACAACCAGTGAACCAGCAGGCCACTCTCCTGAGCGCATGCCCAACACGCCCTCGCCGAGCGCGGGGAACTCAGGAGAGTTTCCGGCCTGGAACCAGCCAAGCAAAATTGGCTGCGAGGTCAGGTTGCTCGGGCGCGGCCTCGATGCAGAGTGGGCTCGGTCCAGCATTGTAAGAGGACTCCATCACCTTGCCGTTGAGCCGTTTGCCTCAAGGGCAGAGGGTGGCTGCAGTACACCCCGACTACCCGGTGACCCGGTGACCACCCCGAATTGAGGCATTTTGGGACACCACGCCTTCAAAGTGGATGCAAACGAGCCAACCTTTCCTTGCAGCATGGCGGGAGTGGCACCATTTGTGGGACCCCCAAAATGCAGAGTACATGAAGGCCTGGAAGGAGCCTGCCTGCCAAGTCCCAACACTGTCCTTGCATGTTCTTTCGCCGAGGTGCTCGGCCACCTCCTCACCAGACCCGATCTTCAGGTCGCAGCATCTCATGCCCCCAGAAACCTCCGGATGTTCGTCTAACCCTTTGCAAAGGATTTCGACGAAGGGCACCTGGAAGTAAGTTGTGGATGCAGCGCGCTTCGACTCCAAGTACTTCTCCTGGCGTCCACGGGGGAGGGGCTTCTTGCAATGTGTCTCAAGTAGGAGAAGATGCGGATACGACCTGCAGAAAAAAACAAAGAGTCCTTGGACACCAGCTCGAAGCGCTTGTCGTTGGCCTCACACCTTGTGCTTGTGGACCGAGCGACAGGCACAGGCCCGCAAGTCCGGCATCGCAGGTGCTCTGCCTGAGAACCATTATGTCTTAACAAGATCAGCTCAGATTCTGCTGGCATTATTGTGGCAACTGTGCGAGCATAAACGGCGCGCTCCTCCTTGCAAGGTGCACTATTCCACCATTAAGGCCACCACGAGGATCCCTGCGGCCAAGCCAGTCAGGCCGGCCAGCCGTGCCATGGGCTGAGATACTGATTACACTGCTATCGGTGCTTAGCACTCTGTAGCACTCTGTAGCACTCTGTAGCACTCTGTAGCACTCTGTAGCACTCTGTAGCACTCTGTAGCACTCTGTAGCACTCTGTAGCACTCTGTAGCACTCCACCACTCGCCATGTACTTACCACGGGCTAGCTGCTAGCTGCTGGAGGCATCCATGGATGCAGCATCCCACCGAGTCAATTGCCTCTCATATCAAAATCTCATGAAGAGTCAGAGTCGTTTGAGACTCGCCGTTGCACGGCTTGCGCTGAAACTTGCGTGAGAGGTGACTGACATGAGATGTCCCCGCTTCTGGGACAAGCCTCGGCCGCAGGTGCGCAATTTCCCGGAGAAACTCGATGCTATGTTTCCTTGGCAAAGCTCAGGGCTGAAGATGGCTACAGGATGCAGCAGCTAGGTGTGGCTACATGAGAGCTTTGCGAATGCCGAGGCCGAGGCTTCTTGGACAATGGGTAGGCCTGGCAGGATGCTGACAAGATAAATGGGGGCTTGGGCCAGCTTGGGTCTTTGGATGTCTTTGGGTCTTCAGGACTGGTCCGGCATGGCCTTGGAGTCAACGGTCCCAAGAATTTCTATCTGAGCAAGTTGCCACGGTCAGATGGACTTCATGGATATCAATCTTAGAGTCTTAGCTCGGCACGCTGTGCTCCGCCTGATGTGCTTCAATCAGCGCAACACAAAAAAAATCAAAAAAAACACACTCATTCGCAGAGAGTTGCTTCAGGTAACCTCGGCACCCAGCCGTGCTGCAGGAGATTTCTACCTCTTGGCCCTTGGCAGGCGACTCCACAACCTTATCATCGGGTGGCCGAGCTCAGCACTAGGCAACGAACATGAACCGTGCCAAATGTGCCAAAATGCCAAACTTCCAATGCCGAATGCATGGGCATGCGGAATGCGGAACGCGAAATGCGCACCTCGCCCTCCACTCGCACGGAGGCGCCAGTGCCCAGGCTACCGACCTCAGATATAACCAAAGATTTCACAGGAAGTGGAAATGCGGAATGACAAATGCAGAGCCCGCATGGCCTCCTCAAAGCCTTTGGCATCTGCAAGAGCCTTCAGCGGCACTTCCCGGAGAGTGGGCAAGACACCACGCAAAGACAGGAACCATCAAAAGTGGCTGCATGGCTGGCGGCTGCCCGTTTGCACTCCGCTTCGTAAGTCTAAATCTATGTCTGCGACGCTGTGAAACTTGACCCTGCGCGGCGGCATCGTGACCGATTGGAAAATAAGGGCCACGGCGATCCCACAAGCCAGACCAAGGTGTAGCAGGAAAACTCCACCGACAATACTCAGAAGTGCTGGTAGGCATGCAGGTTCATCTCTGGCGAATGGGGACGGGCTGCATGAACCAGACCCGGAACACGACCTCCGAGCAGAAAGCAGCCTGACCTTGGCAAGCTTCACACTCCGTTCCCATCACCTTCCCCGCGCGTCTTTGGTAAAACACGTTCGCCGACACCGCAAAAGCTCATGTAAGCTCCCAGCGCAACAGCGCAGAATGGCACGGTCATGGGAGGCAACCTGGCACTCCCCAGCGCCTCCTTGAACCCAATGGTAGCCAGGGTTGATGCCATAGCACCTCAAAGCGCTCCATGGCATACATGGTGATCACAACCTGGGCCTAACCTGGGCCTGACATGGACCTGCGAGGCCAGTTCCTAGCCGGTCCTAGCCGCCACCTCCACAAGCCAGCATGGCGAAGGGCACGCCCAGCGGCACGAAAAAGATCCTTGGATCCCGTACAGCCGGCCAAGGTTTCTCAAGAATGAAGCGCACAGAGTGGAGACACTCTTACTCTGCCGGGGATCGAGACAGCAAGGGCTGTCAAGGCCGAGTTGTAGCCCCAGAGTCCATCCATCACCTTCAACTCTTTACCACTTGGTCGGTCCCGTGTCAGGGATGGGCAGCTGTGACACGAGAGAGAGAGAGAGGGACTCGGAGAGAGAGAGAGAGAGAGAATCAGAGCAAGAGAGAGAGGGAGAGAGATGGAGAGAGGGAGAAGAGAAAGCGAGAAAGAGAGAAAGAGAAAGAGGAAGAGAGAGAGAGAGAGAAAGAAAGAGAGAGAGAGAAAGAGCGAGAGAAAGAGAAAGAGAAAATTTGACAATAAAGGAGAGAAGGGGAGAAAGAAGGCGAGTGAGCCAGTGCTCCATCAGGTGGCTTTTCAAGAGTAGCCAGTGCATCCAGTGACTGCAGTGGTGAGTGCAAGAAGCAGAGACCCCTCGGGATCGTGAAGATAATCACCCTCGAGCCTCCCTGAACTTGATTGCTGGAACTTGCATTTAGCATTATTCTTGGAAGCCCCAGAGCGCAGGCGGAGGACAAGAGGCGAAACAACATGTGGGAAACTATATGTACAACTCCACTAAGCAGAGGCAGGGCACTTCATCGACATCCTGTCGCAAGAGGATTGCTGTCAGACTGCCGAGCAGGGACCCTGCAAAAGTCACTGCAGCTGCCGCAGGGCTGTAGCAGAAAATCCTTGGTTGGCACGCTGGCGAGCTTGCAGGCAAGCTTGGAACTATGGCTTCCAATGCAAATGAGTGGCCCCCCAAGTACCATCAGTCCTGCTAGATTTACAGTTAGTCATGGCACTCCAGGAAAAAATCAGACAGCCACTGGCAGCCACTCTCCTGTGCCGGCATGATTGGCGACAAAGATCTGAGACACCCCATGAAGAGATGCCTCGATCATGTCTGGAATCGCTCCTGCCAACAGGCGATGCATGCGCCTGTTGCCGCACATGCTGGGTAAGCTCGGCAACATATAGCAAGCGCTCCTGAGCGAAAAAGAAATCCCACAACAGATCCTCCTGAGCTAAAAGCATGCATTCGACCAGCACGAACGCGACTGTGGCCCACGTTCATCTGCTTCAACCAACAGACACATCAGTAACCTGACCAGTCAAGGTGCTCGCTGGCGGCTCCGGACTCGTCTTCGTCTTTGGCGGAAGCATCAATGTAAATCCGGCCAGTACCTAAAAGTCTGAAAAGTTGAATTGAAAGCGCCGAGGAGCAATCAACCCAGAACTGTCTTCGAGTATGGAGGCATGTCCCTCCCACACAATGCCCAAAAAAAGTATAAGTCCTGCAATGACAGCTGTAGGGATGTACTGGTGGCCAAGGCGAGATGGCTATGGCAAGAGGGTTCTCTGAGCACCCCACAGCCAAGACGATGGCATTAAAGGCGATGGTATACTGCGGCACTGGGGCGAGCAAAGGGCCCAGCTTCCTCAGCTTCGACATGCTTCACGCAGCATACACAGATCCTTCATGCGGACTGTTTCTGCGGCGCGGTGCTTGGTGTGAACTGCGCATGTGCTAAGAGTCGTGAGTTTGGATGGCATGTGTCTTGGGGGTGTACCACCTGAGATGATTGCACAGGCGAGATGACTTCAATGATTTGAAACAAGTGTTTTTTCATGTCGTCTCGCAGCAACCTCGCCTTTCAACACATGCCTGGCATACAAAGCATGCCTCCACGCCTCCAGGCATTTATCCTGCAAGCCTTGAAGCCGTTTAGCTAGCAACCAGTAGCACAATAGATTTCAGCAGGCAGCAGGATTGCTAGAGACTTCCCAGGCGCCTTTGAAAGCTTTTGAAGGACTCAAGAAGGCAAGGACAGGTTGGGACAAGTTTTGACAGGTGGGACTCAGGTGGGACACTTCCTGCCGTTGGAACCGCAAGGTGCAAGAACAACCCCATCAGAACCCTCCTCTTCCACTCTTCCACTCTTCCACTCTTCCACTCTTCCACTCTTCCACTCCCTTGCATCCTTGCGCGTCAGGCGGCGCTGCGAGGGGCACCGTGGCTGCGGCTCCGGCAGCTGTGAGCCCAACCATAGCCAGGGAGGTGCAGAGCTGAGGCGTGCACCTGTGGTGCAGCGAGCCTTCTGCCTTAGGGCCTTCCCGTGTCAGTCGAACTGTCGAATTCTTGCTGTTCGACTTGTCCGAACTATGACTATTCTGATCGGTTCTGCCTGCACAGGAGGGCCCGCCCCCCCCCCCCTGAAAAAAGATCCCTGACCAGCTCCGGATGTTCGGATCGACCCCTGGGGACAGACGACGATGACGACGAAACCCGCAACTCCAAACGTAGATGTTGGTTGGCAAGCAATAGATTCAATAGTTTGAGTCTTTGAGGCTTGCGCCACAAAACCTGACCGGAAACCGGCCCACAACTGATCCAAGCACGGTTGATCTGAAACCGGCCAAAAACCAGTTCCTAAACCACCGAAACCAGAAACCAAGAGAGTGTGTTAGCCCAAGCTCCCACAGAAGGAACGGTATGATACACTCCCAAGGCGCCCTATGGTTCCAGCTATGGCAGTCCACAGCGGGATACCAGGCTGGAAGACGGCGAGAGCACATCCAACCAGAGCCCCATTGTAGCCTCAAACTGCAGGCCGCAAAGCCAGAAGCTACAAAGCCACACAGCAACAGTGCCAATGGCAGCGTCTGAAGTGCGACTCGAGTCTCCCATCAGTCCATCCGATATCGCCTTTTCTGCACTTCCACAGATCTCGACTCACTCTCCCAGGCTGAGAATTTGCACAGCGCAGTCGGACTGAACACGCCAGAGTGCTACATTGCTACATCTTGCACGAAGCCGAGCTCGCAGCTTGATGATCCACTGACGCAGCACGCGCCGTGAGGGTGGCAGCGGTGACGCCCGCAAGTGCCGTGACGCCCAGCCTGCAGCAAGCAAAACAGAATACGAGAGCATGACAAAACAACAGCTTGACACTGAGCATTCCGATCATGAGAGGCTGTCAGCCCAGCAGCTCTGCATCTCCGATCAGCAGTCCGCCTGCCTTGCAGAATTGTTCGAACTGCTTCTGATAAATCAGACTATTTCAGAGGCCATAAGTGAGACCAAGCTGCAATGGCCGCGCCGGAAAGCGCACTATTGCCTCAGCAAGTGTGCCGAGATCTGCATCATTCTGTCTCTACAAAGTCAATACGCGATCCTCACATGAAGTCAGGTTGCAGAAGACAACCTGTCCCATACCTCTGAGAACCTCCATGAAGAACCTAAGCTCAAGAAACCAGCTGCAGCACGACCTGCCCTTCTCTGGCCTCGTGACTCAGAGCCCCCAGTTCCAACTCGTTCGTGCTGTGTAGGCCAAGCGGCGGGTGCACGGGGGGCGGCCCTGGCTGGTCAAGGCCTCTCACATGGAAAAACAGGCGCCCAAGATCATCGAGACGTGGACCTTGTAAAGCTCTAATTTCGTGCACCTTGTGGCTCTGGAATGGAGCTGCTGAAGGCCCTCTGCACCATGATGGGCTGCCAGGCCTGATGCCGCAGAGAGTCTCAACCACCTGCGGTCTATCAACGCTTCGGGCCTGTTTTGTTCTCTGCAGGGTTGTCTGCAAGCATCTGCCCTGGCCCGCGAGGCCCAAGCTGCCGGGCAATCTCCTGCAGCTGCACGCCGTAGTCACTTTGTCATGTGTTTGCAGCTACGGTGAAGTCGGTGTCCTGATAGAAGCCCTGGCTGGCTGGCAGCAATGGACCCAGTGCGCCTTTGAGAAGCGATGGGCACGTGCTGCTTACAAGCTTGCGCAAGCCCACAATACAGCTGCCAAGGAGCACATCGTGACGCCCACGCCATTGAGCACAACGTGTAGAAGGTCGGTCAGCAGCGACAGGAGAATAAACAGTACCAACTGCAGTTGCAAGAGTTCACGTCATCGAACTTCATATGACATAAGTAGTCGTTGCGACACCATGCATACAGCCCATGTGCAACTTCTAAGTTCTCATGTATTCATGCGCATATGGTTGAGATGTCCTCACGGGCCCAAAACCGTCCCAACAACTCGGCAACATCAGCACATGCGAGTTGCATGCGCAAACAACGTTCAGCACAAACAAGCTCTGTCTAGGAGCGGGGCGACAATCTGAAGCTCCTCGCAGTTCAACAAGCCACGTAGAATCGTCGAATCGACAGCCCAGAAAGAAAAAAATTCGCGGAATCCTGAACTGACGATCCATCGTTGACCTGGTCAGGACAACCATGTCCAGGATGTCAATTGGTCCGGCTAACGTCCAGACTGCCCAATGCACAAAGGATTGCTGCATTCATCGGCCTTCAAGAATGCCAGCTTCTTCTGGGCACGGACAGTGCGCACCTGGCCATGCTGGGATGCACTTCTTGGTTCACAAGGCAGTTGGAATCAAAATTGCTTAGGGCCAGGCCCAGCCACAAATCACCACCTGTGACTCCGACAGACAGGCAAGCCTCCTGAAGCCCGAGTAATGCATCATTCTGCCTTCTGCCCGATGAGAGAGCGGCCACCGTCCGGCGCCTCATAGTTTCATACTGCTTGGACTTGGGGGCGGAGTATCGGAAACGTGAAGTGCGGCCTCGAGGATTTGTCTCACGCGAAGCCGCCCACCAACCGCCGAGTTAAACCTCAGGAAATGACAGCTGGGGGGGTGGGGGGGGTTGCTGTTTTAGCAGCTGACCCGGCAGCCACCTCGGCCTTGCTCTCTGCCTTGCAGAAGCAACGTCTTCAAGCGGATTATGTTAATCACTAATATGTGTATATATGTATGTATATATATATATATATGGTCAGCCCCCCCCCCATGATCCACACCTATGGTTTTCTTGTCTTCGTCTTTGTCTGATTTTCTGCTTTTTCCTCGGAAAAATGCAGTAAAAACTGCACTGGAATACAAAAGCTCTATTATATTATCCTCTAGAAAAACACCTGTGTTTTTATGTGCATTTTGCTTCTGAAACTTGTGTCTTGCGGCCCCATAAAATTTTAGAAGGGCAGCCATTTAGAAGCTTAAGGCTTTTCAGGGTTTAGGGGTTTATAAAACCTAGATGATCTGTGGAAGGCGCCGGGGCTTCCCCAGACCATTTGCAATCCTTAAAAGGGGCAGCCCTTTTCAAATTTGAAGGGCTTTAAGGTATTTAAAGCCTTTCAAAATTTTCAAGATTTAAAGGATCTTAAAAGGCTTTAAAGCCCTAACAAACCTCGAAACGTTTATCCCTTAAAAGTCTAAACTTCCTTAAAAGGAAAAAAACAAAAACGGGCAGCCGATTAAAATTAAGGAAGTTACGGATTTTGGAATTGAACATCCTAAAAACTTTAAACTTCAAAAGGACAGCCATTTACAACTGCAAGAATTTCAGGGTTTTACGGATTTGTAAAAATTTATATGGTCTGGGGAAGGCACCGGGGCTTCTCCAGACCATTGGCAACTTCAAAAATCTCTAAAACCCGCAAAGAGCAGCCACTTAAATACGTAAGCAATTTAAGGTCTTTAAAAGGCTTAAAAGGCTTAAAACCTTCATAATCCTGAGAATGTTTAAACAGAAGCTTAAAGATTTTTATAAGATTTTAAGGATTTTCAAGGTTTAGATGGTCTGGGGAAGCCCCAGTGCCTTCCCCAGATCATGTAAACTTGCAAAAACCCTTAAACCCTTAACCCTAAAAACTTAACACTAAGCCCGTAGAAACCCTCAACACTAACCCTACAAACTTAACACTAAGCCCTTAGCACAAACCCCAAACACTTAACATGAAACCCTAAACACTTAATTAAGCACTAGACCCTAAACACTAAACCCTAAACACTTAAACACTACACCCTAAAAACTAAACCCTAAAAACTAAACCCTAAACAGTACACACTAAACCCTACACACTAACCCCTACACACTAAACCCTGAACACTAGTAAAAATCTTAACGCCCTGAATCCAAAAAAACAAACCCGAAACCCTTAACACTACTAAACCCTAAAAACTCAGCACCAGACCCTAAACACTAACCCTAAAAACTTAACACTAAGCCCTTAGCACAAACCCCAAACACTTAACAGGAAACCCTAAACACTTAAGCACTAGACCCTAAACACTAAACCCTAAACACTTAAACACTACACCCTAAAAACTGAACCCTAAACATTACACACTAAACCCTACACACTAAACCCTGAACACTAGTAAACATCCTTAAGACCCGTAACCCAGAAAAGACACCGAAACCCTTAGCACTGAACCCTAAACACTCAACACTAGACCCTTAACACTAAGCCTAAAAACTTAACACTAAGCCCTCAGCACGAACCCCAAACACTGAACACGAAACCCTAAACACTTAAGCACTAATCCCTTGCTAAACACTAAACCCTAAACACTTAAACACTACACCCTAAAAACTAAACCCTAAACATTACACACCAAACCCTACACACTAAACCCTGACAACTAAACCCTAAACCCTAAACAGAAGGATTTTCAAGTTGTCAATGGTCTGGGGAAGCCCCGGCTTCCCCAGATCATTTAAATTTGTAAAAACCCTTAAAACCCTTAACCCTAAAAAACCAAACCCGAAACCCTTAACACTAAACCCTAAACACTAACCCTAAAAACTTAACACTAAGCCCTTAGCACAAACCCCAAACACTTAGCACGAAACCCTAAACACTTAAGCACTTAACCCAGAAACCTTAAACATGTCAAACTAAGCCCTAAACAGTAGACACTAAACCCTGAACACTAATCCCTAAACCCTAAACAGTAAACCCCAAAGCCGGAACCTCGAGCCCTACTAAATCTAAACCTGAAACCAAAAACCCGTCGGGGTTTCAGATGCTTACTGTTTGGATTTCAGAGTTTAGGGGTTTTTTGGGGTTTTACCCGAGCCGCTTGACCCTAACTCCTAAACCCTAAACTTAACACTCAACCCTAAACACAAAACACTAAACCCTGAAACCTACACACTAAACCCTAAACACTAGACTTCCAGAAAAAATCTGAAGAACCCAGCCCCGGACTCCAGACTCCATATTTCCAGAAAAAATCTGGAGTACCCGGGCCCCGGACTCCAGACTCCAGATTTCCAGAAAAATTCTGGAGTACCGGGGCCCCGGACTCCAGACTCCAGATTTCCCGAAAAAATCTGGAGTACCCGGGCCCCGGACTCCAGACTCCAGATTTCCAGAAAGAATCTGGAGTACCCGGGCCCGGACTCCAGACTCCAGATTTCCAGAAAAAATCTGGAGTACCCGCGGCCCCAGACTCCAGATTACAGACTCCAGAATCTGGAGTCCAGGGTCCCGGTACTCCAGATTTTTTCTGGAAATCTGGAGTCTGGAGTCTGGAGGTACTCCAGATTTTCTCTGGAAATCTGGAGTCTGGAGTCCGGGGCCCGGGTACTCCAGATTTTTTCTGGAAATCTGGAGTCTGGAGTCCGGGGCCTGGGTACTCCAGATTTTTTCTGGAAATCTGGAGTCTGGAGTCCGGGGCGTGGGTACTCCAGATTTTTTCTGGAAATCTGGAGTCTGGAGTCCGGCGGTACTCCAGATTTTTTCTGGAAATCTGGAGTCTGGAGTCCCCCCCCCTCCCAAAACCCCCTTCCCGAGGCCAAATGTGTGGATCATGGGGGGGGGGGCGAGCATATATATATACGAGTATGTGACTTGCATATCAATATATCTATATCTGTATATATATATATATATGTGTGTGTGTATATATATATATATTATTCGGGGCGCTCGGCCAGGGGGGGAGGGGGGGGGGTGTGTCGACCTGGCCGAAGCCGAATTAGTGAAGCTGCATTGCCGTAGGTGACGCCGAATCGTCCGACGCCACATTACGGGGTCACGCCCAACTGTCCCCTGACGCTGAATATCGCTGAATTACGGCGTGAAGCCGAATCTCCCCGTGACGCCGAATTGTGAAGCCGAACTACCGCCTGACGCCGAATTGCTGAGCCGAATTATGACCCCAATTGTCCTGCCGAATTACCCGAATTGTGAAGCTGAATCACCCCGTGACGCCGAATCGCGAAGGCGAATTTCCCACAAAAGAACCCCTACTGAGCATAACATCTGATTATTCGCTGCGTGGTGGAGAGCGAACTTCGGACGGAGTCGGACAGTCGGACTTTGACAACACACAGCCCTGAGATGAGGCTGCTCGCCTGAGCACTGACTTTAGCAATTAGTACACTGCTGTGGTAATTCATGGAGTCGTGGCTTCACTCGTCGGTTCTGCGCTTCTTAGCAAGCCGTTCTGTGAAGTTTGCTTTCCGCTGTTCAAGCAAGACGGTGAAGTTGCCGATGCCTTTACTGTGCATTCTCTGAGGACCTGCATACTGCCTTTGTGGCTTTTGGCGTGGAGAGGGCCTCCTCCAACAGAACCAGGGGAGCTAGCTGTCGGGTACTGTCCGCACGGGAGACGGGAAGAGCAGGAACGGTATGGAGCAGCATCCTTCATCGACCAGCCGAAGACTCGGAGCCTCTTCGCCTCCTCGAGCCCTAAGGAACGAGGAGCCGCGGCTCTGAAGGCTCCTCTTCTGCCTCTGCCTCGGCTCCCAAAACTTCCATGCTCCCCAAGCTCACCAGGCTCGCCAAGCTCGCCCCGCTTTTGTACTCAGGCTTCGGGCTGTTTCCTTGTGACGGCCACACCGAGCACAACAAAGCACCCGACAGCACTATCACAATGCAGGTGACCTAGGCTCACGAAACAAGCGGAAGAGGACTGGGCAATTTTACACCAACAACAAACAACATCCAATCATGCATTCACTGTCGCAGCGCACTGAATGGTCTGCTGGGGCGAGAAGGCACCTAGAGCGATGCAACTTTAGACTTGAGGACGACACTTGCAGTTGCCGCAGCACATGAGCACTTGCACACGTCGCAACACGAGTTCCCAGCAGCAGCGGCCGCAGCACAGTGCTTCAAGGCATGCTTCGTAGCATGTGTTGCAGGTCGAGCAGCGGATGCTGCTAACATGCCACCTCAGAAGTCCACCACAAGCACCGTGCCCGACCATCTCGGACTAGCTGAGAGCTGGGCTGCAAAGCAGGCGCGGGAATTTCTGGCCCTCTGCCCACTGGCACAGCCAAAGGCTGCGAGATCAGCTCAACGAAGATCTACTTACGACTCAGCTTGCATGAAGGGGTCATTCGACGTGAATGAACTGAATGGATCTGCACATGGCTTTCTGTGGTCGTACGATGTCGCACGGTCTCAGGTGCATGGTCCAATTTTTCGGGATCCTCAGAATAGCCGAACAGATTGAAGTCGGGTCCGTAACGCTCCAGCCTCAAAGGGCCACGTCTCACGTCTCGGAAACTACCGGAGGCATGAAGCCATGAAGCCTACGGCCACATGCGAAAGCAAGATAAAGCAAGCATGTTGCACGTGCAAACAGAATCAAGGGGAAAGGAAACAATCAGTCAAGGTTGTTAACGGCTCCGTGACATCATCACAGAAGCTTGACTCCGGTCCCTCGCCGTGTTCAAGTTCCGCTTTAGTTCCTATGCCCCTCTTTGTTTCCGCTGGTCATATAAACAGCAAAGCAGCAACCGATCTCGATGCTGTTGCAAAACCCGGATTGCCATGTCGGCAGGGAGAGCACGTCGCCGTCGCGCACGCAGCTTCCTCACATGACCACACATGTGCGCTCACACTTAGACAATGAGTCAACAGCTTACTCTCTAGCCGTTACTTTAGCCAGCAGGATAACATCAAGAGGCCTGTCCAGCGAAGTACCTCCGTCACGGACCCGATCTGACCTGGAGTTCCAAGCGTGGAGACGCGGCAGTGGCCTCGAGCAATGCAAAAGCTTGCGATGCCAAGTTGGGTTGGATTCGACACTTCCACATGAGTCTGACAGCATGATGGAAACAGCAGGGCCTGCAATAATTGTACAGTTGGCACAGCTTTTGTTGCAATGCCACCATGTCCTCTTCCCGGCGCTCCAGATGCACCTGAGCTCTGCAAGTAGCCTTCCAGCCATGAAGTGGACGAAACATTCACACAACTTGCGCACCGCAAGGCGACTGGGAGCGACGCAACATGGAACTCGCTCACATCGACACTTCCTCATGACGACAGTTGCGATGGAGGCGGGATGTGTGTCTGAAAACCGCTCTGCGCCGATGCATTGTTGTACCGCTCCCTTACCGCGCGGTTTGCGATGACCTTTGCGCGCCGTTGCCCTTGCACACTTGCGCCGCTGTGCGTCGGTGTGACGTGGTTGCACCGTTCCGTCGTTGCCTGAACTCAAAGCCGGGGGCCTTGTTCCAGGGCTTCCGCACAGAAGGCCTTTTCCGAGCCTCTCCGGGCCGGGCCTCTGCGGGGCTACTCCGGGCGTCTCCACGGCCTCCCCGTCTTCATAAGTCATGACTCATAACAAAAAAACCTGAAACCCGCCAAGGTTGGGATGTGGGCGGGTGGATTGGAAAGGAGCCCGATACCAGATGCACACACCACGTTACACGTCTGGCGCGGCAGCGTGCGCGGCACATTGGCAAACCCAACCTGCCCAAAACCCTTGACCCCGTGCCGGCACAAACAGAAAAGCTGCAGAGCACACACATGGGCAAAAATCTTCTACCAAACCTGGACAAAACCCTTGCCCCCGTGCCGGCACACCCAGAAACCCCTCAAAATCCCAGAAACATGTCTATTGGCTTCTGCAAAAGAAAGAGAAGCTGACCACAACAACTAGCAAGCCTTGCGGCGACATGTGTGCAGGTCGACCAAGGTCCAGTACGGTCCATCACAGTGAATGCGCTGCAACAGCCGAGGATCCGTTTAACTCCTCTTGCAGCGTGCCAGCATGGATTCCCAAGGTGTAAAGATAGGTCCGCGACATGTGCACCATCTCCCAGGAACTGCCTCAGGGAGGTATAAGCAGATCGCTGGCATGCTCTGGCCCAACTGATACACTGACAGTTGCAGAACTGTGCGCCTGCCATCAAGAACATGATGCCGAGTTTATCAGTGACTTGGCCCTTCAATGCTTGAGGGAAGTCTGCCGATGCCATGAAGCCCAAGTAGAATGAAAAGTCAAGCCTGCCACCGCCAGGTAGTCTCGAGTCTCAAAACTTGATGCACTCAGTGCCAACACCTTAACCATGGTGGCAACAGGAAATGTGACAGCTTCAGCACAGCTTCTCCACGGTGGTGTTCAAAGCTCGGAAGCCGTTGATCACCCTGTCTCCGACCAGTCGTGCACGATCCTGGTCGCTCCCAAAGGAAATTGGCTCAAGCTCAAAGGAAACACGGATATGGGGTACTGGGTCTAGATTGAAAAAAGGTACCTGCGCTTTCTGTCATTAAGATCGGGAATTCAGGCCCATTCAGGCCACTGCATGTAAGGCTCCAGGTACATGGCCCGGTACGTGGACACCAGGCGTTTGTACGGGTTGCGGACAAAGAGGACCTTGAGCCGCCCCTCACCGTGTCGGCAGCATGTCCTGAGATCTCTTAAGAGGGGGCAGGAACTGCGAGAGCAGTTCCTGCTTGCAAATGGGGAAATACGATATTCGGGGTTACTTTAGTGGGGTCCCGATTTTCAGGGTATCCTACTATTTGCGGGCCCCCTAAGTTCGAAAACCCCCAAATGTTTGAAGCTCCAAGCGGCAAGCAGTTGGATGCAGAGGCGGCTAAGATCACCCCCGTGGATTCATCACCGAAACTCGATCTTAAGGCCATCTCTGCCATCTCCTTCGGCTCCCGGGGCTCCCTTTGTAGGAGCCCTTGATGCCCCGGTGCCACCCAGCGCGAGGCCCAGTCGAAGTAACGATCCCGGCTCCTGTTCAAGGGCGCCCACGTGGAAGCCATCAAAGCCAAGTCCCGGGCTCTGGCCGAGTCGATTTGCGCAATCCACCGAGCCACGGAGATGGAGGCGGATTTCGAAATCGGTCGGACAGCCAGCGGTACATTCAAGGGGCAATGCAATAGGCGTGCCTTTCTCCTGCTGCAGGCGCAGCAGCATGCGTGAAGGCAACAAAGACTGACGGCTCTGACATGACTGACTCGCACATACTCGCACCCCGTCTTTGGTCAACTTGCACCTGCTGTCCCAGTCTTCTCCGTGGCAGTTGTCGTGCACGAGTTGCAGGGGTTCCTGGGTAACTTTTGCTGCGCACGCGGAAGGAGTAGAGATTCGACAATTGCCAGTTCCCTGCGAATAGATGTCCTCAGACGAAGCAATGCAAAACCAGACGGCAACTGAATCAAGGACTCGGTTTGCTGAGTGTCTAACCGGGTAAACTCAACAAACAACTGAAAAGGCCAGAATCACAGCGACCCCAGCCAGGAACGCAGACCCGCACACGGCGGGGCAGAGGCTGTGGCACCTCATTTTGAGCCCACCAAACACAACCAACATCGACTTCGTGAGCCTTGCCCCGAGCACAAAGCTCGCTTCGAACATGTACGTTCGGCGAAGCGACAGCCAAACGACGCTCCGCTGCAAGAACTTCACGTGGAGGCCATCTCAAGTGCTTTGGGTGCCAGAGCATGACCTCGATCAGCAGCTTTGCAAGGCCCGTAGGCTTTGTTACCAAAGGCTTTCGGTCCACACCGTGGCTGCAGTCAAGTCGCCCATTCGGCATCTGTCACCCACACAGCACTATCCACCAAACGGCTGAATTTCGAGATGACCGGATCAACAAAATACAGGCTGAGAGATCTGTTGTCTTCGCACGCGGACCTGCCAGCACTCGATGCGAGCATCTTAGAAACGCTTTAGTATCTGCTTCCAGACCGTCTTCTTCGAAGCCGGAACACGAAGAAAGGCGCTAGATTTTTCCAGTATGTTTCCTTTGCTTAGCAACCAAAGGTTCTAAAGTTTTCCTTCGCTCAATTTTCAGAATATGTCTAAGATTTGTTCTTGGTGATTGGCGACTCTGTCTCTGGAAACCTTTAACTCTGTGGACACTAAGTAGGAGATGAGCCCAATTCCTGACCCCAAACCCTGAACTCAACCCTACAACCAAAATACTTGGGCCCTGGAAATCAAAAAGAAAATCAGAAGGGCGTGAATGGTAATGTCACCTTTTGTGCCCATACCGTCCTTGCAAAAAAAGTGTCCAGGCAAGAGAAGCCTGCCTACTGACTGGCAGGATCTGAGGTCAGGTTCTTGGGGCCCATGGGGCCCATATGGCATGATGCACGTAAGTCATCCTTGTATGTGGGGCTGTTCCGGTTAGATGAAGGCAGTTGTTGCATGGAAACACGGGGCCCCGAGGCCCGGCCGAAATCCTGGAAAAATCTAGCATTTACCCGGAAAAGTCTAGCTTTTACCCGGAAAAGTCTAGCATTTGCCCGGAAAAGTTTAGCTTTTACTCGGAAAAGTCTAGTTTTTTGCCAGCCTTGGCATGGAAAGGCTTAGCCCGGCTCAAGAAAACACCTTCGAGAGCATGGGATTGGACGTGGTGAAAGAAAAGTTCAGCGCTCCGTTTAGATTGAGGCATAGGTTGTATGGAAACATGGGGCCCCGAGGCTCGGAAAAGTCTAGTTTTTGCTCAGCCCGAAAAGCCACTTGGGGGGGGGGGGGGGGGGTGGGTGGCTTAAATAGGGTCTATTTGGAAGCTGAGAGTCGTGTTTTGGTGTGGTAGATAGAAAGGAAAGGGCATGACAAAGTAGCGAGAGGAGCTCTTCAATTCCCTTCCTTATCTCCTATGCTCTTTTCCTTCTGTATTGCAACAGGAGAAGACAGGAAAAGGGCTTCCATTCCCCACTTGTTCTTCCTTTCTTGTGTTTTTGTCATTTAGAGGGGAACAGGAGAAGAGGAGGGAGAGAGAAGGAGAGGGGAGAGATAACAGGAATCCAATTTCAGTGGAATAGCAAAGAAAAGAATAGAAGAGAGATGAATAGAGAAGAGGGAGAGACAAAACGAGGCGCTGAGAAGATGGCACTCTTCTTTATCTATCCTGTCTCCCTTATCTCCCTTACCTTCCTAGGCTTTATCATTCAAGTTCTTTTCTTGTGTTTTATCAGTTAAACGGAAACAGAAGGAGAGAAGGGAACGGGAAGTGAGAGAGGAGAGACAAAAAGGAGGCCATTTTAATTTTCTGGAAGGGTACTGAACAGAAGAGAGGAGACAAGAAACAAGGAGACGGAGGAACACAACAAGGCGCAAAGAAGATGGCACTCTTCTTTATCTATCATCTCTCCCTTCCTTGTCTCTCCCTTTTCCCTCTATTATTAAAAAGGACAAGACCTCTTCGCAGATAGGTGCCCTCTCTCTTCTTCAGGAAGCCCCCTTGCCCTTATTTTGCTTGCCTTCTGAAACGACAAGGAAAACAACACATAGAAAGAGAGGAAATGGAATGAACCAATAGGCAATGGAGCTCTTCAATTTCTTTCCCTATCTCTTTTCTTCTTTTTTCATTCTTCATTCAACAAGGAAAAGAAGCTTCCTTTTGTGTGTTTTTGAGATTTAAAGGAGAACAAGAGAAGAGAAGGGAGAGAGAGAGAGAAAGGAAAGAGGAGAGATCAAAAGGAATGCAACTCTAAATGGAAGAGCAATGAAAAGAATGGAAGAGAAATGAGGACAGGCGAAATGCAAAAATCAGGCAAAGAGAAGATGGTGCTCGTTTTCATCTTTCCTCTGGTTCTTAATTTTCTCTTCTCTTGTTCATTTCCGTTAGAAAAAAACAAAGGAATAACAATGAACATGTAAGCAAACCCAGCTGATGCTCATGATTTTTTCCTTTCTCCCTCTCTCTCTCTCTCTCCATATATGGGCGATGGAACGGGTGTCCTTGTTGGGCCGTTTCCTGCATCTTCAAGTGAGGAACCTAAGTGTTTTCTTTTGTTCGTTTGAAGACACAGAAAGCGATTAAAAGGGACGTCCATTTTGGATTGGCAGCCAACCTCTCTCTCCCTATATATGGGCGATGGAATGGGTGTCCTTTTTGATCGTTTTCTGCATCTTCAAGCGAGGAAAAGGGACACCCCACAAGAAAGCACTTAGGGTGTCCCTTTTGCTCGTTTGAAGACACAGCAAGCGATTAAAAGGGACGCCCATTTTGGATTGGCAGCAAACCCAGCTGATGCTCATGATTTCTCTCTCTCCCCATATATGGGCGATGGAACGGGTGTCCTTCTTGGATCGTTTTCTGCATCTTCAAGCGAAGAAAAGGGACACCACAAGAAACACTTAGGGTGTCCCTTTTGCTCGTTTCAAGAAACAGAAAGCGATTAAAAGGGACGCCCATTTTGGATCGGCAGCAAACCCAGCCGATGCTCATGATTTATCTCTGTCTATATATGGGCGATGGAACGGGTGTCCTTCTTGGATCGTTTTCTGCATCTTCAAGCGAAGAAAAGGGACACCACAAGAAAACACTTAGTAAGGGTGCCCCTTTTGCTCGTTTCAAGACACAGAAAGCGATTAAAAGGGACGCCCATTTTGGATCGGCAGCAAACCCAGCTGATGCTCATGATTTATCTCTGTCTATATATGGGCGATGGAACGGGTGTTCCTGATCGTTTTCTGCATCTTCAAGGGAGAAAGAAGGGCACCACCCAAGAAGGACAAGTAACATCAGATATAGGGAGGAAATTGAAGAGCTCCTCTCTTTACTTAGTCATTCCCTTTCCTCTCTTCTTATCTGTTGTTTTCTTCGCTTCAAAAAGCAAAATAAGGGAAAAGAGATTTCCTGAAGAGGAGGGAGGGCACCTATTGAAGAGCTCCTGTCTTTACTTAGTCATTCCCTTTCCTCTCTTATCCGTTGTTTTATTCGCTTCACCTGTCTTTACTTAGTCATTCCCTTTCCTCTCTTATCCGTTGTTTTATTCGCTTCAAAAAGCAAAATAAGCAAAAAAAAGATTTCCTGACGAGGAGGGAGGGCACCTATCTGTAAAGAGCAATCGTTTAGAGGGGAACAGGAGAAGAGGAGCGAGAGAGAAGGACAGAGGAGAGATACAGGGAATCCATTTTCAATAGAACAGCAAAGAAAAGAATAGAAGAGAGATGAATAGAGAAGAGGGAGAGACAAAACAAGGCGCAGAGAAGATGGCACTCTTCTTTATCTATCCTATCTCCCTTATCTCTCCCTTCCCTCCTTCTTTTCGAAATAAGAACAACTAAAGAGGAAGAATTTATGAAAAGGAGAAGAGTAAGGAAAAGAGCAGAAGTAGGCCGAGAAGAGGGACATGATGAAGCACGGCAAGGTCCAAGCGCAAGGAGCCACCCTCTGCTTTACCTTCCACTGCTTTATCATACAAGTTCCTGTCTTGTGTTTTATCAGTTAAACGGAAACAGAAGGAGAGAAGGGAAAGGGAAGTGAGAGAGGAGAGACAACAAGGAGGCCATTTTAATTTTCTGGAAGGGTACTGAACAGAAGAGAGGAGACAAGGAACAAGGAGACGGAGGAACACAACAAGGCGCAAAGAAGATGGCACTCTTCTTTATCTATCATCTCTCCCTTCCTTGTCTCTCTCTTTTCCCTCTATTTTTAAAAAGGACAAGACCTCTTCGCAGATAGGTGCCCTCTCTCCTCTTCAGGAAGCCCCCTTGCCCTTATTTTGCTTGCTTTCTGAAACGACAAGGAAAACAACACATAGAAAGAGAGGAAATGGAATGAACCAATAGGCAGTGGAGCTCTTCAATTTCTTTCCCTATCTCTTTTCTTCTTTTTTCATTCTTCATTCAACAAGGAAAAGAAACTTCCTTTTGTGTGTTTTTGAGATTTAAAGGAGAACAAGAGAAGAGAAGGGAGAGAGAAAGGAGAGAGGAGAGATCAAAAGGAATGCAACTCTAAATGGAAGAGCAATGAAAAGAATGGAAGAGAAATGAGGACAGGCGAAATGCAAAAGTCAGGCAAAGAGAAGATTGTGCTCGTTTTCATCTTTCCTCTGGTTCTTATTTTTCTCTTCTCTTGTTCATTTCCGTTAGAAAAAAACAACAGGAATAACAATGAACATGTAAGCAAACCCAGCTGATGCTCATGATTTTTTCCCTTCTCTCCTCTCTCTCTCTCTCTCCATATATGGGCGATGGAACGGGTGTCCTTGTTGGGCCGTTTTCTGGATCTTCAAGTGAGGAACCTAGGTGTTTTCTTTTGTTCGTTTGAAGACACAGAAAGCGATTAAAAGGGACGTCCATTTTGGATTGGCAGCCAACCCAGCTGATGCTCATGATTTTTTCTCTCTCTCTCTCTCTCTCTCTCTCTCTCTCTCTCTCCCTATATATGGGCGATGGAATGGGTGTCCTTTTTGATCGTTTTCTGCATCTTCAAGCGAGGAAAAGGGACACCCCACAAGAGCACACTTAGGGTGTCCCTTTTGCTCGTTTGAAGACACAGAAGGCGATTAAAAGGGACGCCCATTTTGGATTGGCAGCCAACCCAGCTGATGCTCATGATTTCTCTCTCTCTCTCTCTCTCTCTCTCCCTATATATGGGCGATGGAACAGGTGTCCTTTTAGATCGTTTTCTGCATCTTCAAGCGAAGAAAAGGGACACCACCAGGAAACACTTAGGCTGTCCCTTTTGCTCGTTTGAAGACACAGCAAGCGATTAAAAGGGGCGCCCATTTTGGATTGGCAGCAAACCCAGCTGATGCTCATGATTTATCTCTGTCCCCACATATGGGCCATGGAACG